GGAGAACCCTCTTGTCAAGTTATAGGACAATCAACTTAGAGAAGCACAAATTACAGCTACAGAAGACAATTACAAGACCAAGAAACAGAAATGCCAATCAACTCTCCATGCTCTCCATCTATGCTTGGCTCCCACAGGAATGTGTGTTCCAAGATAACCAAAGGGAGTCACCCCTCCTCAAACACAAAGTGATACTAGATATTTATTTACCACAGACAACCCTGTAATGTTAAAAATAAGAGAACTGACAAGGAAGATGGGTAAAGAATCAGGTTACAGAAAAACCAACCAAAAAGGAGGTAAGAAAGAAATGAAAAAAGGGAACATTTTCCCTGACAACTATGTCTTTAAAAAGTACCCGGTCTACATACATTTAATTACAAAAGTCTACATGGTTTCTTAATTTCATGTAATGAAATATTTAAAAATTTTGCAGATGCACTTTTTCATAATTCTGTCTCCAAGCACCAAAGGAAGAACGATATGTAACTGTATCCACAGACAGTAAACTTCAGAAATAAAAATCATGTCACAAATAGTAGAAATTCCACTCAGTAATTTATACAGACTCTACTTCCATTATAAACTGTGACCTAAAGCCTTAAAAACATAGTTATAGATCTGATCAATTTGTCTTCAAAATACAATTGTTCTGGGTCTGTTTATTTCTGTTCCCAAAAGCAAGAGCCATGCCTGCGTCTTTGAGGTGACTTCCATTTACAATGATGATGAAAACATATTGCTATTTCTGCAATGGGTTTTAGAAAGGCAGAAGAACTCAAGAAATCTGCCTCATTCATCAGAAACTTTCTCTTTCCAATCAACAACAAATCTCAAAAAGTGTTCTAAATAGTCTGGATAAACAAATCAACGACATAAAATTTGGAGACCCAGAATATTAAGCTCTTCCTTTAGGCTATGGAACCTGCAAAACCAAACCTGAATCTTAGAAAAATAGTGGTGGGGTCTCACCTGGGCCCCCACAATAAATGTTCGAGTCTGAGAATCCAGGGTCTTCACCAGCACCTCCAGGTTGTCAGGCTCCTCCATACTGGTACTAGTACTGTCACTGGACTCCATGGCCGACAGATCTCTAGGGAAGAATGGAGAGAATAGGTCTGCCGTCGTCTGGAAAAGATTTTATATGCCCGGAAGCATCCCCAGGCTGAGTCCCCGCCCCAATATTTAAAAAGTTTCTCCCACACAAGAATATACACTCACACCCGCCCCCAACCCCCTTCTGATTCCGGGGCAAAGAGAGAGAAACACAAAGGGCAGGGGATCTACAACAGACAGCTGAAAGACAGGAGGTGGGAGGGGCTCCAACGATGCCAATCACAATAAGGGAGGACTGGTTGGATTAGGAAGCAGGAAAGGAAGCAAGGGATCAGTGTCATTACTGGTCACGTAGGATAAGGGTCCCAGGAGTCGGCAAACCCTGAGATACTGAGAGGTCAGGCAAACCCTGAGAGCGGGGGTCGCGCCAGACACTGCGGAGAAAGTGGCTTCGCGCAAGCGCGCCACGCCCACCGAGCCTGACTAAGTCACGACAGACGACCGACACTCCACCGACACTCACGGGGGGCAGGACCGACTAGCTGACTGGCCCCCTCTTCTTCCTTCCCTCAGTGTTCCAGCAAAATGGCGCAATCAACAACACAGCCAAATAAACATACATACACAGAAACATACACACACTCTCACACACACACACTCTACACCAAGACTCCACCCCCCACTTCCCTACGGTACCGTCACTTCCGGTCTCCCCAACCTGCCACCGACGGCCACTTCCGTTTCCCCGATCGATTTGGGGATCGCTAGGCGGTACTTCCGGCTCACCCCCAGGTCCCCAAATTTTCTTATGTGGGGCACGACGAGAAGATCCGCAGCCCCCCAGAACAGTGAATCCCTGGGGGCAAGACGGACAGGGGTCGGCTTAGATGGGAGGGAGCCGAGCACCCCGAGGAGCCGCCACCGTCGTCGCCCGGGGGACCGTCCTGCGCCTGCGTGAGTCGGAATACGCATGCGTACATCCCTAAGTATTCCCCACCCCCACGTTTGTCCGGCACGCGCCTTTGAACCCACGATAAATGCCTGAAAATAAATTGCGAAATGAGACTCTGCGAATGCGTGGCAAAAGGCTTTAGGCTGTCTCGTAATTCTTGGAGTTGGGAGATTTGGGGCAGTGTTTCTTTTCATCTCTCCAAAGGCTTGGCAGACAATTTCAAACGGCACTACCCCAGCCACCTAAAACTCGGCCTTGCTTTCCGTGTAGCCCTCACTTCGCCCTTCCTTTGACGCGTCCGGAAGTTCCTTTTCCCGGGCGGTTGGTGGTTGTAGGGTTCTTAAGCGCGTGCCAGTCGTTAGCTGGTCCGCGCTTCCACCCGGTGGGCGTTTTTTAGGGGTTCTGGGCGCCATGTACCATACTGTTGGTTCGCGGCCGAGGAGATATGCCAGGTTTTTGGAAAATTAAGACTACTGCTACCTTTCAGGAGTATTGTCAAGAAAAGAGGGGGTCTTCGAGATCTAGAGTTAAGAGCAGATGGAGTCATGTTGGGCCAAAAAGACAAAACTCGGATCCAAGGGGCTTTTAGCAGGTCCGAGTTTGGGGAGCTACTGCCCTTGTACGCCCTTCCCCAAGGGCAAAGTTTTGAGCTCCTTGACGCTACGATTTGTCTTAATATCTCTTCTACATATGCTTGCCTTAGGAACTGCTCAAGAGACAGCTTTTACATACCAAGTCCCCGTGAAAAGTCTTAATAAGCACTTGTCTGGTGATGTAGTGACACTTGCTTTGTATTAGACACTATATTAAAACTATTATATACTGCTGTCATATTTAAGATTGTCAGCATCTGTTTTATTTATAGTTGAATTCACCAACACTAAGTAGCAAAACTGTCCACTTTGCTACCCAAATATATGGAGATAAGACACATCCCTAGTGTATACGCTTCCCGATTTTGAACCGTGCAGTGTTTTCCTTGCTCTGTTCTGATGACTGCCTCCTGGTCCAAGTACAGATTGTGCATAAGCACAATTAAGTGTTGTGGGATTCCCATCCTTCTGAGTCAGCCACAGTTTGTTGTGAACCACACAGTCAAATGCCTTTGCATAGTCAACACATTCCTCTGGTACTGTTTTCAGCCAAAATTCATCTAACATTTGCTATTACTATCGCTAGTACCAAGGCCTCTTCTAAACATCTAGCAGTTCTGTGTTGATGTACTGTTTTAGTTGTTTTTGCAGCCTTCACTATGGATTGAAGCTCACTATCAAGAACACAAAGATTCACACCACTGGGCTGATTGGAAGAATCATGATGGATGGTGAAGAGATTGAGATGGTTAACAACTTCAGTTTGCTTGGCTCCACAATCAACACTCTTGGTACCAGAAGCCAGGAAATCAAAAGATGAATCCCATTAGGAAAGTCTGCTGTCAGGGACCTCTCCAGAGAACTGAAAAACAATGCTGTCAGTCTGAAGACTAAAGTGCACCTGATTCAGGCTATAGTCTTCACAATTACTTGCTATGCGTCAGAAAACTGGACTATAACTAGGAATGATAGAGAATTGAGCTGTGGTGCTGGAGAAGAGTATTGAATATGCCATGGACTGCCAAGAGAACAAATAGGTTCGTCCTGGAGAGTGTAAAATCAGGCTGCTCCTTGGAGGCAAGGATTCTGAGGCTTCGTCTGACAGAACTTTGGTCATATTGCAAGGAGGAACCAGTCCTTGGAGAGGTACATCATGCTTGGAAGGGTGAAGGGACAGCACAAGAGAGGAAGACCGTCAATGAGATGAATTGATTCAGTGACTGGGAAAATTATGGTAGGTGTGTCAGAGACAATAAGATTGGCACAGGATAGAGTAGGCTTTAGGGCCGTTGTACATAGGGTCGCTATGAGTTGTCAGTGACTCGATGGCACATAACAAAAACAAACCCCAAATATTTTCAAATTAAAAAAATTTTCAAACATCCAAGGAGAATAGTACGATGTACACTCATATATCCACAGATTGTGTTTGTTTTTTAACTAAATTGAAAGCCTCGCCTCTCTGGACAAATATTTTCCTCAATCTGTGTTATAGTAAGAAATCCCCACCTCCAATTACACACTATCTGCACTATGTAATTACTGCCTCTTGACAGCATTTGTTTCCTTACCTTTTATTGATAAAACTTATTACCCATGGGAAACTAATAAGTTCTTTGCAAACATTACTCTTACCAGTGAATATATACCTTTATCTTGTCAAATGTCTTAATTAATCTTATTAAAGTTTTTCCATTTTGCAGGTGAAGAAACAGGCAGAAAGACTAAGGAAATTGGGGTTTGAACCAAGACTTTTAACGCCAAAGTCACTCCTTTTAGCCCCTACCTTATGTAGGTCTTGCTTAGCACTGAGTGCTGAATTGAACTAACTTAATCAGCAAACTTCCAAGGGTAAACGGTTTCCCCAATTAAAAATTGTCTCAAAGAGAAAGCCTCCCACCATCACCTGGTTGGTTTTTATCTGCTGTTAAGTACTTACATTGCAATGATTTATTTACAAAGCTGGGTTTCCCTGGACTTCTTCAAGGCCAGGAACTCTTATCTTACTCATCCTTATGTCCTCAGGGCTTAAGTTAGTTCCTGGCAAAAAGCTGGGGCTCAAAATTTGCTAAGAGAAGGAATGAGACTTGATCAAGTAACCTCCCTTCAATGCTGCAAAGCAAAGATGTTATCTGGCCCAGATATGAGTTGAAAATCCCAGTTCTTTCAACTCCTCAGAGACCCTTGACATGCCAGGGTATATTGTGGAGTGGTTGCATCCAAAGGGGGAGGAAGGTCCAAACTCTATATGTAATCCAGGCTTCAGTTGGAAAACAAGGTTGAAGTTACTCATTAGCAGGTAAAAGGGTCAAGAGTCAAGGCAAGGGGGCTGGAAATAGAGTGCACTGAGCTGCCACTAGGAGAAAGAGCAGTTAAGGCACCAGTCTCTCCATACAGGGCATTGGCTTCCTTCTGCCTGAAGATGTTCCACCAAGTTTGGGCAGCTCTGCTCTACCTCTATGGCATTCTCCTTAACTCCATCTCTCAGTGCCCTGAGCACAGTCAACTGACAACCCTAGGAAAGGATGGGAAAGAGGTATGGACTGGGAATGAGTGATGCCTATGGTGAAGGTTCTGAGGAAACTAGGTGGGTGGCATAAGATGACTAGAAGTTTCGAATCCACCAGATGCTCTGCCGGAGAAGGAGGCGCAATATCCTCCTGTACCAGTCAGATCTGATTTGACGGTACACGCACACAAAATAAAAATAAAAAAATTAAAAAAAAAAAAAAGATGACTAGAAGCCACAACAGGAAAAGAGTAAGTAGTAAGAGGACGATGTGAATGTTACAATGACTAAAGCAATAAAGACATTACTAAGGCTATAATCATCAGTGTAGAGAGATGGCCAAATTAGGGGTGGGCTAAGTTAGCCAGGTTGCTTGAGGGGTATCGGAGAAGAAAAGTAATTGATGGTTTTTCTCTCGGAGAGACATTCCATGTATAAAACCATTATTGTAGAATGAGTATGAGGATCCAAGGTAGGGGAGGGTGGAAGCAGAGAGGTGAAGATGTGGGGGGTGGGAGAATTAATAATGGGGCCACAAAATTTGATGGGTGGGCAAGTTAAGGGAAATGGGAAGGAACTGGTGTGAAAAACAATGTATTTGAATTTTGTAAATATACTACGAAAAAAAGAGAGAGATATTCCCTAATTGGAAATAGGAGAGCAGCCAGCACCTCCCATTCTGAAGCCTTCTCATGCTTTCTGATGAAGAGGATGGATGGAGCCTGTGATGAAACCCACCCTCTTTGCTTCCTTCATTGCCTCCAGTTTTCAGAGTCCCACCTGGGCCAGTGGTACTTCATCGCAGGGGCAGCTCCCACCAAGGAAGAGTTGGCAACTTTTGACTTTGTGGACAACATTGTCTTCAACATGGCTGCTGGCTCTACCCCACTGCAGCTCCAGCTTCGTGCTACCATTCGCACGTGAGTGATGAAGCAGAAGCACCATAAGGTGCAGGCTCTGACCAAGGTGTGAGCACTCATCCCTAGGACCTGTGTTCTTGTTGATATATCCACTGCCCTTGGCCCACTTGATTTAAAAGTTCCATTAATTTTCCTCTGGAGGGAAAGAGATGGGCCTAACCCTGCCTAGGTAGTATGAAACTCAAGGAGATCCAGCTTCAAGGAAGAATAAGATGGGAGACTGATTCGGTGTGGCTTGGGGTCACTCAGTCTTTCCTCCATGACACCATACCTCTGCAGGAAAAATGGGATGTGTGTGCCCCGGAAATGGACCTACCACCTAACCAAGGAGGGCACCGATCTCAGAACTGAAGGTTGGTTTCCTCAAGACCTCACCCTCCCCAGGCCCCTGGGCTTGCTCGGTTTTGAATGCCTTCCCTCTACTCTTCTCCCCACCTACCCTTGCAGGCCGCCCTGACATGAAGACTGAGCTCTTCTCTAGTTCATGTCCAGGTGGAATCATGCTGAAAGAGATGGGCCACGGTTATCAGCGTTTTCTCCTTTATAGTGAGTGGGAATGCAAAGCAGCAAAAGTGGGAGGGAAAGAAGAGGGCAGAAGGGCCTCTAACTCAGCCCTATGACATCATCCCAGGGAGGGCTGAGTACTTTCATGAAGCCCTCACCAGAGCCTGTCCTGAGGTGCAGGGGCTTAGCTAGCCTACCTCTGCTCTGCCCTTCCAGATAGATCACCACACCCTCCTGAAAAATGTGTAGAAGAATTCCAGCTCCTGACCTCCTGTCTGAATTCCAAGGCTTTCTTACGGACTCCCAGGAACCAAGGTGAGAGAATCAAGGTCTCACAGTAGAAGGCTAAAACTGAGCAAGTGTCTGGGAATGTTGGATGGAAGGGGCTTATGTGATGTCATAAAAGGATATAGCCAAAGCTGACATCACCAGAATGCCTATGTTGGCACTCTAATTTGTGTCATTGGCTACAAAGGCACCAGAGGTTTGTGCCAAAAGGCTGTGATGTCACCTGAGTAAGCAAGACTAAGCTCTCAGCTACTCAAAAGAGTGGTTGCTGAAGCATGGGTGAAGGATCAGAAGTGGAAGGGAAACAAAAAGGTCTCAGACATCCCTTTTTGGAAAAAAGGAACATGGCAAAATAAAGGAATACATTCTTCCTCGCCATTACCACCAACTTTGCTTATTTTCCTGTTTTTTCCCTTTTCTATCTTTGCATATTATGTCCATCCTGCTAGATGCTTGCGAAGTGTCCAGTAACTGACATGTAACTTCATCTGTGCCCTAGATGGGTATCATGGGAGCTGTGATGGTGGTGTGTGAGAGGAGACTAGCTTGAGCCTCCACATTCTTTTTCAAGACCAATAAAGATGTTTTTCAGTCTTTATTCTGAAAAGTTTTCTCCAGATACAATTCCTACTCTCCCCATGTTAGTTAGCACTCCCACTAAATCCCCAGCTGAACGACATCAGGAAGGACACTGAGTTGTGGCAACTCTCACTTTGTAGTGGTATATTTAGGATTGGGTGTGACACAGTTATTTATTGCTGAGTGAGCAAACCCCCTAGTCTCCCAGTGGGACTGCAAGCTCCGGTGCCTCACTACCATGCCTCTCTAACCAGCTTGCACTATCCTTGTTCCCTCTGCCCTCGGGCCCTCATGAACACCTCCTATGTCCTCCTGAAAACTCGCCCAGCAGCCAGAGCCCCCAGCCCCCCGTCCACCAGGAGATCCCTTGAGTATCCCAACTATCTATCCTCTTATCCCAGCAGTCTGTCTTGCCTCTAGTCTCCTCCATCTTTGGGAACTTAATGAAAGGTAGGAAGAACCCTGTAATATTTATTTCCCTCCCCTTTTTAAATGAAAAAATGTAAAAGCAAAAAGTGACAACAGCTGGTGAAGACAAGGAGAATGTTTCTATGAACTACAAAAACAGACACTCTAAAGCAGCTCTATTCTCTCCTGTGAAGGAGGGCCCTGCGCTCCGCTCCCATGCCCTGGGTTTCGCCCACATCCCTGAGGTCTCTATGCTCCCAATCTGGGTCATAACCCCCAATTCTCCTCCTGAAGGCCACACTATCTTCACCACTTGTCCCCACGACAATGTAAGTGAGGCTGGGTCACACTCCACCAACAATCATAGCCCCTTTCTTACGTCTACCCGCTGTTCCTCACCCTCCTTCCTCAACTTCTCACTCTCCTGGTCAGTGGCTGCTTCTTCCCCATTGGGTGCCCGGAGGCTGACAGCCAGCACCAGAGCTTGCAGGAGGCCAAAAAGGCAGGCAAAGTGTAGGGGGTGGGCGGTAAGGAGGCTTAGCACAGCATGCAGCCCATGCAGGGCAGCTAGGAAGGACAGCAGCCCATGCAGCCAGAGACCCACTGGCCCTCGAAGGCCCAAGGCATCCAAGGCTACCCGCAGTGGCCTCGAGCACAACCCCAGCAAGGCTGAGGCCAGGAGTTCCAGCAGGTGCAAGGTCAGGTTGGTAGAGATCTGCAGACGCTCCTCTGAGCCTACCAGGTATGATGGGGGTGTCCCTGTGCCACCACCTGAATCCCCCCGCAGCCAGTCGAGCAGCTTCTGATGCCGGCCTGGCTTCTCCACTGAAGCTTCAGACCCAAGGGAGCTCAGTCCTCCTTCAAGGGGCACCCCGATTCTCCTGGCACTGTCTGAGGCGACAGGATCCTGTCCCAGAGTGGCAACAGCCCCTCCAGCCAATAGTCTCCCAGACTCTTCATCACCAGAGACAGCCTTGTTCAATTGGAGGGAATCCGTTCTTCTGCTCCCCCTTTGAGTGACTGGGGGACCCCTACTTGGTTCTGGAGCAGTCCTAGAGCTCCTTTGTATCCCTGAGTCTTTGGCTTTGGGAGGCCCCACATCTCCCATAGTTTCTGGAGCACTGTCCCAGTCACTCCCTGAATTCTCTGGGGAGCTATCCATCAATCTGGATTCCGTGGTAGCAGAGTCAGGCTTCACTGGTTTCCGGCGGCCCCAGGGGTGAGGCAGCCAGCTACTTAGTCGTCGCAGAAACATGGTTGGATGCTTAGTGAACCCCCAAACTCCGGCCTGATTCCTGGCACTGCTCAAACTCAGGTGGGGTCTGAATAACAGAATCCTGCGTGGTGATGATGTCTTATTCTGAATTCAGAAGTGGCTCCCCACTTCCCTGATGGTCATGCAGCCTCGAGTGTGGCAGGGGGTGGCCATGTAGGTTCCTTTTCACTTTTCGTAATGAAGGCAGACACATCCAAGTTTGTTCACCCCTTCCACACACACACACAAGAATCTCAGGATCTGATGGAGGCCTGGGTCACTCTTAGAAGGTGTCCTCCCTGGATCGTCTTCCCAGCAGGCAGCACCCCAAGTTTCACTCACCAAGGCCACGCCCCAAGGTGCCCCAGAAACTGGGGAGGCGGTGCTCCATACAAGAAGGTGGCCCCGGGTCCTAAGTACTCCTGGATCGAGGAAGTCGAACTGCTGTCCTGGGAAATTTCAAGGAACAGGATGTACGCTGGAGGAAGGGGTGCCCAGCTAACTCTAGCCAGCAGCGTTCGTCTTTTGATACAGAAGACTATCCTACGAAGTAGCTTCTATAGTCCTCGAGCGCGCAGACGAGATGCGGCCTCCCCAAGGTCAGGCTGGAGATGTCCTCGGTGATTCGGGCCGCAGGGGTACAGCGCAGCCCTGCGTGAGGACCCAGACGACTGAGCGTTCTGGGCAGCTGTCCGTCAGAGTCCCAGCATTGGGCCGCGGCCTCGCCGAGCCACTGGCCGCCGCAGAGCCCGGAAGCAGCTGCACCGGCACCGGAGGGAGAAACGGGGGCGGAGCCAGCAGCTTGTTGGGCGGACCTTGTTAATAGACCGTCCTCACTACCCCACGCCCCTTCAGCACCCGCCTTTCGTGCTCACCCCAGTGTCCTGGAGGTCCAGTTCTCCATTTCCACCGCCCAGCATTCACTAAACTCAGACAAGGGCTAGTGCCTGTCTTTGACGCCTTTTCTGCACCACTGCTCCCCACTCCAGCTCCTCCCTTTGCCAGATTCCCTTCCTATTCCTGACTTCCTGAAAGACTTTTCCAGGAAAAGGGGAGTCTTGGACTTGAGTAGCCTTTTCCTATCGCAGATTTTACTCCCTGAATATAACATTCCACCTCCTGAGTCGGTTCTCATAGTAACCCTCCACAGGGCTTCTGAGTCTGTAAATCTCCCTCCCTTCAGAGCTGACCTTTATTCAGTTAGCAGCCAGATGCATTAATGCATTCAGGACTCCTTGGATGACAATATTGAATTCTTTATTTTCACCTGTTAAGAGCAGGACTTGGGAAAGAGCGGGAAAAATAAGATGTACTTCCTGCCCTCAGGAGGTTTCAGGAAGTGAAATTAAGAACCCCAAGTTGGGAAGCCAAAGTTCTGGCCACAGTTCCCATCCAGTGGCAAGCTCAACAGTTAGAAATCTCAGAGCCTCATTGACAGGCTCTTAGATATTTGCATTCCTAATGTTTTAGTATTGTCAGACTGTAGTATTATTTTGATGTGTTATTAAAACAATTCATAATCTGCTAGTTTTGCATGCGCCTGTACAAAAGCAGTACGGGAAGTGGAACAGAACTAGGTAACTATGGCATTGATAAATGTTGTAGAATATCTTATCTGATTTTCTTCTAAAAGAATGTCTGCGTTTTACTTCTTTTTGTAATTTATGTTTCAGAAATGGTATTAGTGAATGGGTGCCAAGATTGAATATGTCCTAAGGAAAAAGGTGCTTGTAGTGTGCTAGTTTTAAGCCTATCTATGTGGTTATTCATCCGTAAGGATGGGGATATATGCTCCACACACTTTAGATTTTGTACAGAGAATTTTTTAACTTGATGAAATGTATATAAAAATGTAAATCTTTAAACATGTATATACTTTTTTTATCCTGCGTGATAGTGTAGTCATTGCATGTAAATATAATTTATTGTGTATTCCTTATTATAAATCATTGACAACTTGCTTTTTTTTTGGTAAGCCAACATTCATGGAATGTTCTGAAATGGAGTTCTTGAAGTGATAAAGATTGTAACTCTGAATAAAAATACTAATAATTTTTTCTTTTTTTATTATTAAATTTTATTAGTTTTAATGAACATTTACAGGGATTTTGGGTTTTCATTCCTTCATTGCTGCACCGTTCTCTCTACCCTCCTCCCCAGTTTGTTCTTCTTCCCCCGCCCTCTGAATGTCTGTTTTAATTGTCCAATTGCCACAGTGCTTGTCAAAGCCAGTTCTGATTAATCTCCTTTGTCAGTGTGTCCCTTGCCATTCCCTATCACTCCTCCCTGAGAGAGACTTCACCCTGATTCATAAGGAAAAGGGGATGGCATATTCTCTTAGCTACTTCCTGCTGAAAAGGGATGCTGTGGGTTTCATGGTGAAGATCTTCTCTCACTACTCTAAAGGGCCCCTTTGGCAGTAGAAAACACATAGACTATTATGGAGATTGATTTTGGAATTTAGATGCATTCTTATTGATTGTGCTTGGCCATACATGTTCATATCCTTGAAGATGTATCATGGGGGTGTTGCAACCTAGAAGACACAAATTTAACTAACAAGTTAAAAGTACATGAGTCAAAAATTATGGAAAAGTAAAAGATTCTTTCATTGTTTTACAAACCCTCCCCCAGGTCCCCTCCACCATGTAGCCATTGCTCTAGACTCCTGTCATGACAGAAATACCTAGTCACATATCTCTTTTAAACAGTTTTCTCCCTCCTGTTTCAGTGCAGTATACATTATTGAACCCATCTTACTCAGTCTCTCCCCAACCCTGAGGTTAGTCCCATTCTACAACAGTGGCATCATGCAATATTTGTCCTTTTGTGACTGGGATATTTCACTCAGCATAATGTTCTCGAGTCAACCATTTTGAATAATATTGCATGAGTTCCTTGTTTTTCAATGCAGCATAGTATTCCATTGTGCGAATATACCACAGCTTCTCTAGCCATTCGTTTGTTGATGGGCACTTAGGTTGTTTCCAACTCCTTGCTATTGTGAACAAAGCTGCAATAAACATGGGTGTGCATATATCTGCTTGGATGTCAGCTATGGTCTCTTTGGAGTATATTCCCAGTAGTGGAATTGCTGGGTCAAATGGTATCTCTATTTGCAACTTTTTGAGAAAGCGCCATACTGCTTTCCACAGGGGTTGCACCATTTTACACTCCCACCAACAGTGAATCAGGGTTCCAGTTTCTCCACAACCTCGCCAGCATTTGTTGCTTGCTGTTCTGTTAAATTTTGCTATTTTGACTGGGGTGAGATGATATCTCATAGTTGTTTTAATTTGCATCTCTCTTAGGGCTAGGGATTTTGAGCATTTCTTCATGTGCTTGTTAGTCATCTGAATGTTGTCTTTGGTGAAGTGCCTGTTCATATCCTGTGCCCATTTTTCTACTGGGTTATTCACCTTTATCTTGTTGTGGTGCTCACGTATGTCATAAATTCTGGATATAAGTCCCTTATCTGATATGTTATTACCAAATACTTTTTCCCAGTCAGTGGCTTCCCTTTTTACCCTGTTGGAGAAGTGTTTGGATGTGCATAGGGATCTGAGTCTTAGAAGATCCCATTCATCTACGTTATCTTCTCCTGGTTGTAAAATAGTAATAAATTTAAAAAAAAAATCTGAGCCCTTTACTACACTGGATTCTGCAAGAATGACCCACTCTTATCTCTCTGATTGCCACCACCCCTGTATTAGCATACATTCTGATAACTGACCACAGGACTATCTCTTTCTACAGCTGTTGGGTTCACTGAAGGTTGGAAATGTCTTATTCATATCATTCATACACAGTATATTAATTGGCTGGAATGTTCATGAAACTTGCATGGAGCAAAACTAGCTCCTGGGTCAGGGAATTTGGTACTACCTGAACATTCTTGGCAGGATTTAGGCCTCGAAGTGAAGACCCTGTCATGCCACCTGAGACTGGCTGCTCCTTATGGCTCTGATGAGCCTTGCTAACGTAGCCCCCTAATCTTCACTTTGCTAACCCATCATACCTTCCAGAAAAATGAGACGATAAAAGAGGGCGAAGATTAATTTATTTGTCAACTCTTAGCCTCTCCCTCTCAAAAGGCAGAACCCACTAGGCAAAACTTGAGGGTCTTTACTCTGTATTTCCAGTATACACACCTAGCATAGATGAGACACTTATAGGCACCTCCAATATGTGCCCTTTCTCCCCCCAGACAGGAGAGGTAAGCAAGGGTGGGTGGTCTTGGACTGGGTAGGTCAAGTCAGGGCACATACAGGCGCAAGTTTAAAGTTCATTTTTTTGAAGTATTGGACTGCAAAACCACAACTGCTTGTTATTAAAAAACAAAACACCAAACTATTTTTTTTTAATTTTTTTTTATTTTATTATTTTTGTGTGCATGTACCGTCAAATCAGATCTGACTGGTACAGGAGGAGATTGCCCCTCCTTCCCCGGCAGAGCATCTGGTGGATTAGAACTGTGCACCTCTGGGATTGTAGTTGCAGCTTCTTGCCACTAGGCCACCAGAGCTCCCCTAAAACACCAAACTCTTGAGTGTCTGGTACTTCTTCAGGGAGTAGAGAGGCCAAAGTACTCCAGTCACTGGCCAGCATCAGGATCAGTCCTCACAGAGGTCAGAAATCAAGGTTCATGTATGTCCTGAGATCTCGCTCCCAAGCCCTGCTCTTCTCTTCTTGCCTTCTCTCTTCTCTTTGGGTCAGGGTGGTCAACCGAGGGGTTCGCTTTCTCCCAGCCACAGCCCGGGTATCCAAAGCCTGGAAGTGTGTGATTCGGGGCTGCGGAGCTGATCTATAACCAAGTCCCTCCTGGTCCCTCTTAAGGATGGTGGGGATAGGGTTTGCACGACCTTCACCTCGAGGTCCTAGCCCCATTCCTGGCTCCCAGCCCCCTCTCAGCAACAACTTGAAGCCTGGGCTGGAGGAAGGCACCCCAGGAGGTAGGCTGGGGGGCCATGGAGCCTGGGACAGTGAAAGCAGATGAGCAGTGGATGTGTGATGGTTGGCATCTTGAAAGTGGGTATCACAGGTCTCACAATACTGTGGTGTGCGAGAGTGGGGTCTGCAGAAGAAAGAAAAGGAGTTATGGGTCAAGGTATTCAGTCCTTCAGCTAAGGAACAAATTGCCTTCCTCTCCACTTAGCATGGAACTTAAAGGGAAATGGATGGGAGAAGTGATGTTAACAATTATTTCAGTTGATAGCACTTACTATGTGACAGAGGAGTCCTTGGTGACAGTAAATTGTTAATTACTCCTTCATTATTGAAAAAGTTAGTAGTTTGATCCCTCTCACAGGCATAAGGAAGACAGGTCAGGCAATCTGTTTCTAAAAAAATCTTAAAATCTGTTTCTAAAAGACCTGTTTCTTAAAAACCTTATTGTTGTTGTTGTTATGTGCCGTCGAGTCGCTTGCGACTCATAGCGACCCTATGTACAACAGCCCTAAACTCCACTCTGTCCTGTGCCAATCGCACTGTCTCTGACACTCCCATCCCAATTATCCCAGTCACTGAATCAATCCACCTCATAGAGGGCCTTCCTCTCCTGTGCTGTCCCTCCATCCTCCCAAGCATGATGTCCCTCTCTAAGGACGGGTTTCTCCTCACAACATGTCCAAAGTATGTTAGACGGAGCCTCAGAATCCTTGCCTCCAAGGAGCCACCCGGTTTAACCCTTTCCAGGACAAATCTGTTTGTTTTCCTAGCAGTCCATGGTATTCTCAATACTCTTCTCCAGCACCACAGCTCAAAGGCATCAATTCTCCTTCTATCCTCCTTGGTCATTGTCCAACTCTCTGATGCATAACAGGTGATTGCGAAGACCATGGCCTGTATCAGACTCACCTTAGTCTCCAGAGAGACACCATTGCTCTTCAGTACTTTGGAGAGGTCCCTAACAGCAGACTTTCCCATGGCAATGCGCCTTTTAATTTCCTGGCTGCTGGTGCCAAGACTGTTGACTATGGAGCCAAGCAAACTAAACCTTATAGGGTTAAAAAAACCCCAAAACTTTATAGGGTAGTTCTTCTCCACATGGTCACATGAGCTGGAACTGACTTTATGGTAACTAACAAGGTGACAAGCACCACTTTTAGCATTTTGGATATATTAACAACCTAACAGAGACAGACAAACAATATCCTCCCATAGGATTCACAACCTCTAAACCTGGTGGCCTATGGCAATAGGCTGCACTGCACAGCTGGAGGCATGCAGTTCTCTTCCACAGGAGGAGGATTGGCAGTCTCCTCCATGCGATTAATTGCCTCTGAAAACCCATCAAAGGGTCAACTGTGGGCCAGTTCAGATGGTACTCAACAACAACAAAAACAAGTAATATCACCCTCCACATCCCAGATGTGGAAACTGAGGTACTTAGCTGTTATTTGCCCAAGTAAGAGGAATCTGGATTCAAATGGATGCAATCATCATCCCTTTAACTATACTACGATGTTGCCTTATCAAAAACTACACTGGAGTTGGGATGGAGCCTCTCAGCTATTTTCTGGGGCTTGTGGTGCAGAGTGACTTTAAAGTGCTAAATACATTGAAAGGTGTAGGGTAAGACCTCCTTACCGGCTCGTGGGGCTTCTTATCTCTCCATGGCTCTCCCTGACCATACGGGCCACTTCAGGAAAGCCTGCTTCTTCGGCCAACTGGGCAGCATCCCGGCCACCCAGCTCACAGACTCCCACCCAGGCAGCTCCTCGGCCCAGAAGATACTGCACAGCTGCTCCCTGGCCTGCTTGTGCAGCACACATCAGGGGCGTCCACCAGAAGGTATCCCGCGTATTGATATTTCCTCCAGCTCCTCCAGCCTCTCGGGGCTCCAACAGTCTTCTGAGTTCTGCCAGGTCACCCTCCTGAGCTGCCCTCAGTATGCAGTTGGTCATCTTGTCCTCTGCCTCAAGGGATTCTTGTCCATATCCCTCTGATGCTGCTGCTGTCACTGCTTCTGCTGCAACCTCCCTCCTCAGTCTTCTTTTCTTCCTTTTTATCTTCCTGGCGGGCTCTGACTGTGATCTCTGGGGCTCAGTGGAGTTGTTCTCCTCAGAAATCAAAGACTCATAGAAAGCTCGGATTGCAGACCCATCCAAGGCAGGTTCCACCTCCTCAAACTGGGGCTGCCGTTGTTGCTGACCATCTTTCCAGAGGTCATTAGAATCTCTGGCTGGAGTAAAGGTGATGAGGGAGGGCTTGGACATGGCTTTTGGGATTAGCTGAGAAAATGTGATTGGGCAAGGGAAGGCTGACACAAGTAAGCAACTCCCCAGAAGGCTCCGGCAGGGACCAGATCCACTTCCAGGAGGCTGACAAAATGGGGGAAAGTAGTCGTACAATCAAAGACCCCCCTTCTCAACCAACATGTGATCTCACGACTTAATTATTTGGCAGACATAAAAAAAGAAAAACCTACAATAACAAACTTAATTTTTGCTAACTATCAAAAACGAAAAGTCTACGAGAGTCACCCAGGGGTCTTACAGTCTGGTTCCTCTTCCCCGCTCTCAAATAAAAAGAATGAGTGACTGACTCTTCGCTCGAGCTCTGGTGGCTTTGTCCCTAGAGAATTTTGCTGTTAATTCAAAAGGAGCGTCTCGCTGATGGTTCGAATCTACCAGCCGTTCGGCGAGACAAAGATGGGCAATCTCCTCCGGTGAGATTTACAGCCTCCAACACCACCACGCTGGAAGCTCAGCTATCAATCTAGTCCAGTTCGATCGCAATGAGAGAGTCTCTCTTTGCCACACTGTACGACATACCATTAAGACTGAAAATAAACTGGTCCTTTGACTCTTTCTCGCTCCTTTTTTAAGGTTCTGTCTTTGGATCTTTCTCCGGAAGCAGATCTGTGAAAGAGGCTCCGCCTAGGCGTCATTGCAGCTTCCGTACGGCAAAATGGCGCTACCCCTAAAAAAAGAGATTAGCCACTCATCAGTCATGTGACGCGAAGACGCAAGCGTCCCAGGAAAGAGCACCGCCCCCTACCATCAGTTCAAAGTACGGGCATGCGCAAAGTACCCTGTTACGTTTCCCGCCCTGAATTCTTTTAAAAAATGTATTGAAAGAGCCGCGTATTGAAAGGTGGCGCGAGGGTTGAGATATAGCTGTCAGTTGGGGTCCTGTTTTTACATAACGCCCCACAATGCCCTTCGCTTCTCTCAAGATTCGTCCCTCTCTCGCTCCAAGCTCATTTTCTGGAGCTAGGGTACCATTCTCTGGGTTAAGTAAGGTCCTGAGGACGAGGGGAATCTGGAATGCCGAGAAGCTGTAAAATGAAATAATATCACGCAGCCCCTCACGCGTATCTTACTTGTGGCCAGAGTTCGAAGGTCACACTTAGAGCCCGCAACAGAAGGTCCCATTCAAGCCCTAAGAGGATATGGAAACGTGCAAGGGAGCAAACGCCAGAATGACTGGTGCCACTTCAGGTCAGCGCACTGGGACGCCTGGTTCTTAAGTCACAGTCCAGCATCTAGGTCTCTCAGCCCCGCCTCAAGGTTACCGGGCCCGGGGTGAAATGTGGAGTCTCTGGGGAAAGGGCAAGTACCAGGGGTGAATTTGATTAGGACCTACGAGGCGATAAAGACTCACGGGCTGGGCAAACCAATAATTGTTTTTCTGCAAACGGCGCAACCCACTCGCGTGTTAGTTTTCAATGAACAAGAGTGGGGTTGCGCTGAGAACTGAGCAGTAAGAAGGAACCAACGGGTGCTGGAGTCCAGACTGGCTGCCTCTTTTCCCCGCCCCTTTTCAGCCGCTCTTTCCTAGGAGCACAGGACTGTATTTCCCAGGTCCCTTTGCCCCGGAAGTGGTACAACGTCTGCTTCCTGTGGTGCACGCCCGCGCATCGCGCTCCGCCCTCGAGCGGCTTCCTCGCGGGCCCTAGGAACTCTGGTCGTGTGCGCGTCATCTTGGGATTCGTAGTTCGCTTTTGCCTCGGCTCACCAGCTTCGCCTTAGCCGGCGTACTTTATTTCCCGGCGTACTCCGCGGCGCTCGCCCCCTCTGCGCGTGCGTGTTGCCCTATTCCCTCCCCACCCCGATTTCCACTCCCCCTCCCCCCCACCGCGCTTCGCCTGCCGCGGTCGGGTCCACGGCCTTGGTTGTAGCTGTCGCTGTTGCTCCTTGGAAGCAGCTACTCCCCTCCCCGCCCCAGTCCCGGACCCTGTACAGCGGGTGAGTCTGAGGTCGCCGCCGCCTTGAGTTTCCTACGCTTTTGGTTCTCTGCACATGGGGTCTCTACGCTTCTGTGGGGGCGGGGAAGGAAGTGACCCGGTCCGGCACTGAGATGGAGGGGGCGTCTTGAGAGGCAGAGGTGGAACGTGCCGCCTCTTGGGACGTGACAACCACCCACCACTTCCCACCCCCGGCCGTGAGAAGAGAAGGGGTTGAGCTCTTGCCCGCAACGGATAAACTTAGGAACGTTTGAGAAAGGCGCTGGAAACTTAAGAGAGCTTTACATTGGTAGGGAGCCAGAGCTGAGGGCCGACCGCCCTGCTGGAGTTGACAACACCAGGAGGTGGAAGGGGAGAAGGGCCTGCCCGTCAGCAACGCCAAGGATGTTGCTGGTTATTTAGATCTTCTTACTAATAGACAGTACATTGGAGGGGGGTGCTCTGGATCTTGGGATCCCTTAAGAAGACCTCGCTCCAAATTCTGTGTTTGGAGGGAGCAGTGTAGGAGGAGGGAGGGAAAGTCCTGGGTCACCAGATTGGTTTACACCCCTTGTTTTTACAGCAGACGTGAAGATGAGCAGTTCAGAGGAGGTGTCCTGGATTTCCTGGTTCTGTGGGCTCCGTGGCAATGAATTCTTCTGTGAAGTGAGTTCTTAATGTCCGTACTTATTTGCACATCCTTATAGTTGTTGTGACCCAGAAAATCTTCTGCATACTCACCTTTCACATAGTTTTCTTACATGCTTCTGTGGAAACACACCCCACTGTAATTGAGAAAAAATCCTTTAAGTATCTCCCACTAACATGTAGTGAAGTGATAAGACTAGGGCTCAAGTCTCAGGCCTTTTCAGCCCTCCAGTGTGGTGTTGGAAAAGTTTATCTATATCCTTTCTCTTATGTTGTTATGTGCCGTCGAGTCGCCTGCGACTCATAGCGACCCTGTGTACAACAGCCCTAAACTCCGCTCTGTCCTGTGCCAATCGCACTGTCTCTGACACTCCCATCCCAATTATCCCAGTCACTGAATCAATCCACCTCATAGAGGGCCTTCCTCTCCTGCGCTGTCCCTCCACCCTCCCAAGCATGATGTCCCTCTCTAAGGACCAGTCTCTCCTCACAACATGTCCAAAGTAAGTTAGACGGAGCCTCAGAATCCTTGCCTCCAAGGAACCACCCGGTTTAACCCTCTCCAGGACAAATCTGTTTGTTTTCCTAGCAGTCCATGGTATTCTCAATACTCTTCTCCAGCACCACAGCTCAAAGGCATCAATTCTCCTTCTATCCTCCTTGGTCATTGTCCAACTCTCTGATGCATAACAGGTGATTGCGAAGACCATGGCGTGTATCAGATGCACCTTAGTCTCCAGAGAGACACCATTGCTCTTCAGCACTTTGGAGAGGTCCCTAACAGCAGACATCCCTAACAGCAGACTTTCCCATGGCTTAGTAACTGCCTCTGGTGTTAATTAAACTCACACTTAGTGTTATCAAGTCAGGATCCTCCAGCAGATTTCCAGAGGCTATAAGTCACCCAGGAGGAAATTGCCCCTCTTTTCCTTCATAGAGCATCTGGTGGATTCAAGCTAGATGCCTTTGGGCAGTATAACTCTAGTGGGTATTAATAGGATAGAAATACTGCATGTTAAAATGTTTTATTATATGCAGAATTTTATGTTTATGTAAAGGATTGTGAGTGCCTCATTCAGAACCCAGGCTGTTCAACCGCTTAACTCTTTCAGAGAGCCACCTTTCCATAAAGAGATGACAAGGTTGCTTCTTAGAGATGACGTACAGGAGTAGGAATAGGAAACTTAAATTTTTTTCTTTGCAGGGAGGAATTCTTTTTAGAAAAGAAAGGCCAAAATGTCTGGGACGGCGGGATGTTTATTTCTGCTGAGTGGGAGATGAAGGAAACAAACATTTATGTTGAGGAAAAAGAATCAATCCAGTTAAAGACTAGGATTTCTTTCTGGTTTCCATCTTTACTTCCATCTCCTGACAGGTGGATGAAGACTACATACAGGACAAGTTCAACCTCACGGGCCTCAATGAACAGGTGCCCCACTATCGACAAGCTCTAGACATGATTTTGGACCTGGAGCCTGGTAAGATACCCTCACTCTGATTTGATTTTGCTTTCTTTATTACTCTCTCTTTGAGTCTGTTTATTGAATGTCTAGATGTTTGTTTGACTTTTTGTGTCCAATAATTCAAAATCTCCTTCATTTTGGTTCCCCACCTATCTCTTGCCTCATTTGGTGACATGTGCTGTATGTGCCCATATTCTCTGAACCTGTTTTTTGTCTTTATCCTCTAATGTTAGTTTCTGCGGTTATTTTGTTTTCTACCCCCCCCCCTTTTTTAAAAGCCGTTATCTTATAGTTTAGAGCGCCACCTTCATTGGCATCTTTGCATTTATGTATAGAAAAGGGGTTTAGGGGGAGAGAAAGGAACAGAGCTTGAAAGATGTGGAGAGAAGTAGAACTGCTAAGAGTTGAAGGGACTCAAGTTCTTAGGTTGAATTACCCAGCTGGTGGATAAGGTGAGACCTGAAGGAGGGTGGTGGGAAAATTGAATAGGTGGTAGCCACTAGTAGTGGGTGGAACATTTTCAGGACAGTTGAATGACAAATGGTTGCGTTTGGGTTGGGTCATATTTCAGATGAAGAGCTGGAAGACAACCCCAACCAGAGTGACCTGATTGAGCAGGCAGCTGAGATGCTGTATGGATTGATCCACGCCCGCTATATCCTTACCAACCGTGGCATCGCCCAGATGGTAAGGCCTCTCTACTCCCACTTGATTTCTTCTGGCAATAAAGAGAACAGGTTACTGCAGTGAGAAGTCACATGTGTCAACCTTACTAAGGAGTCTACCTGAGAAGAATGGTAGAATCCCAGAACCTAGTCTGGGAATGAGAAGACAGGTAGAACCTCAGAATTATGTTAAACTGGATTATTTTTTAAAATGTAGACAAGACTGTAGATGGGAACTTCTTTTAGAGGGCTTGTTCTTCAGGGACCAAATGGCTCCCATGGCCTACAACCTGCCTAACTGGAGGAAGGAGGCAGCAGAGTCTGAGGGGCCCATCTGAGCCGAAGAAGGGGCCACTGGACAAAGGCAGGAGGGTTGAGGGACACAGTGGTATGGCTTGGGCTAAGGAAGGGGTGGGTCAGCTCTGTGTGGGTATCATCATTTCATCATTTGCATTTACCAATCCCCTCCATTTTATTCACTTTAGTTGGAAAAGTACCAGCAGGGAGACTTTGGCTATTGTCCCCGTGTGTACTGTGAGAACCAGCCAATGCTTCCTATCGGTGAGTGCTGGTTAGCGGGAGGGGAGGGTGACATAGGCAAGTTTCCCGGAAAAGTATTTGCAGTTTAACAAGTTGGGGCCCAGATACTAGAAGCAGGTTGCCAGGTGCCGAGTTGACTGAATCTTCCTGTCTCCCAGGCCTGTCAGACATCCCTGGTGAGGCCATGGTGAAACTCTACTGCCCCAAGTGCATGGACGTGTACACACCCAAGTCATCAAGGCATCACCACACAGACGGCGCCTACTTTGGAACTGGCTTCCCCCACATGCTCTTCATGGTGCACCCTGAGTACCGGCCCAAGCGACCTGCCAACCAGTTTGTGCCCAGGTGGGAATCAGGGACAGAATCACTGAGGGTCAAAGAAAAGAAGGAAGACCCCTGTATATAAGGGAGGATGGGATATGGCCCTTAATTAATGCCTGACCCTCCTAGCAGGCCAGTGTTTCTCGCTTTTAAGTGACCTTGAACAAGAAGTTATTTAATTTCCTTCAGTCTCAGGTTTCTTATTTATGAAATGAAAATTATGGTAGTATTTGCCTGGTAGGATTCTTTTGTATGTGTACGTTGCTTAGAACAGGGTTTGATGCCTAAAACATCATATAAACTATTCTCACTCTGCATGGTGGAAACAGTTAAGCACTCTGCTAACAAAAATGCCGCCGCTTTGAACCCATCTAGGGCCGTCTTGAAAGAAACATGCTTCCAAGAGGCCACATGTTGAATGAATCACCAAGGAATGAGCTCAACAGCAACTGTTTTTTTAGTTGTTATTATCACTATTTTGGGTGTTTAGCCTTTTACTAGATTCAGTACAGTTCATTTTCCTGGGTCATCAGTATTACTCTGATGGTAAAAAGGAGAAGTTCAGTTTTATATTGAAACAAGAAATGAAATACCATAGAAAGTGAATTTTAATTGATATTTAAGATGATGTTGTTATTGTTATGTGCCATTGCGCCTGTGACTCTTAGCGATCCTGTGTATGACAGCCCTAAACCCTGCTCTATACTGTGCCAATCTCACTGTCTCGGACACACTTGCCTCCACTACCCCAGTCACTGAATCAATCCACCCTGTAGAGGGTCTTCCTCTCTTGCGCTGTTCCTCTACCCTCCCAGGCATGACATCCTTCTCCACGGATTGGTCCCTCCTTGCAACATGTCCAAAGTATGTCAGACAAAGCATCAGAATCCTTGCCTCCAAGGAGCAGCCTGGTTTAACCCTCTCTAGGATGAACCTGTTTGTTTCCTTGGCAGTCCATGGTATATTCAGTACCCTTTTCCAGCACCACAGCTGAAAGGCATCAATTCTCCTTCTATCCTCCCTAGTCATTGTCCATCTCTCTGATGCGTAGCAAGTGATTGCAAAGACCATGGCCTGTATCAGGCGCACCTTAGTCTCCAGAGTTACACCATTACTCTTCAGTACTTTGGAGAGGTCCCTAACAGCTGACTTTCCCATTACAATACGTCTTTTCATTTCCTGTCTGCTGGTGCCAAGAGTGTTGACTGGAGCCAAGCAAACAAAAGCTGTCTTGAGTAGATAAGTTTGGGAATGATGTCCCTTAGCATCGAGAAAACCTAGGGAGGCACTTGGGTGGGGAGGCAAGAATGCAAATGACTCACACCACTGCCTCTCTGACCTCTGTCCGGCCCAGGCTCTATGGTTTCAAGATCCACCCGATGGCCTACCAGCTGCAGCTTCAAGCCGCCAGCAACTTCAAGAGCCCAGTCAAGACGATTCGCTGATTCTCCATCCTACCTGTCCCTCAGTCTTCTACACCCCTGTTCCTTTGCTGCAATGATTTCAGGAATCCTCTATGGTTTTTAGTTTAAATTAAAGGAGTCATTACTGTGGTGGGAATATGAAATAAAGTGGAAGAAAAGGCCACAAGCCAGTGTGCTAATCCTTGGGATCGGGGAAGGGAGGGTAGTGTGTTGTATCCTGGAGCCCTTAGGGTCACTTGCCAGTTGGAAACCACGACAGATTATGCCCTGTGGACTTTGGTGATGTTTTTGATGGAGAACAGACTTTTTTTTGGGGGGGGGGATTATATTTTGTGTGCGTATTGACAAATCAGATCTGACTGATACAGGAGGAGATTGCCCCTCCTTTTCCAGCAGAGCATCAGGTGGATTCGAACTGTGTACCGCTGGGATTGCGGTGGAGAACAGACTCTTAGGACAGTGTGAGGGACAAAATCATAAGGAAGAGATTCAGAGAAAGATTAATTTCATAGGAAAATAATTCTTAGGGACCATCTATCTATGCTTGTCTTTTTATACTGAAAGTTATGATCAGTACCATTGTTTTTTGTTCTGTTTTAAAGGGGAAATGGCCCTAAAATCAACAGTTTTATGAAGGACAAAGTCCAGAATTGCATCTCAGTGGAGTGTAGGTGTTTGCACATACTCCCACTGATTTTGGAGCTAGGATGCCTGTCTTGGAAAGATGACAATGAGGAATTGCTGGTCAGAGTTTCTTCTAGCAGTTTTGGTTTACCCCTATTTTGTGGGGAAGGTTGCAGGTGTTTTCACAGACAGACCTCCATGACCTCTTAAGGTGAGGGATAGGACCTTAGGGAGCATACAAAACAAAATGGTCACATAGAGATTATTAACCTCTGTCTGGGCTGCTACCCACACTCAGAAACCAGACCATGTGGGTGAGTACGTACTGTCCCTTCTGCCAAGTTAATAATTTCTCTCATGGCACAGAAGAGGTAGGAATATATCTCTGTACGTGTAACTTTTTTCTCAGATTCTCTGTCAAAACTACTTGCAACTCAGGATCAAGACACATGATCATAGGGAACTAATTTCAGGGTACCCTGCTTCATAATGAAGGTCCATGTACTTATAGGCATGTTGGTCTTGGTGGGCCTCTCAGCAAAAAAAGGTAAGTGAGGCCCAAGGGTAGGGAGGAAGGACCTCTGGAACACTTGGTACTTAGGCTCCTTGCAGTGCAGGAAAACAAGCAAGCCGAGATACCTACTCCAATTTTATGTTTTCCCCAGCTCCTGTTCCTGAAGTCCGGATATGCCATTTCTGCCTCTTAGAAGACACAACTGTAGGTTGTCTTTCAGGCTCTGAGAAATGCATGGTCAGCAGCTCATCCCCATGCATGGTGATCACCATCTTTTATGGTGAGTCAGTTCCCAGGAAAGGGCTCCAGATAGAATCACCCAGGGCTCAGTCTTCCCTTCACATAGTCAGAGGGACTACTTGAACCTGGGTTGCAAGAAGAAAGGATCAGGATCTTAGCTGGGATGTTGGGGAGCTGTTCGTGTCTTCTGAAAGAGACAAGAATAGTAGTCATGTCTGGTGGAGGATGGAGACAGTGGTTGAAATGCTAGTCTAGACTCATCAGTTATTGAGTATCCCCTCTCTTCCAGATTTGAAGCCTCGTTTCATCATCCGAGCCTGTGGACAGTATCATTTCTACCGCTGCAGAGAAGTACGTGAAACCTACTTTGTGAAATACTGGTTCCAGGCCCAGTGTTGCCAGTACGATTACTGCAACTCTTGGTCCAGCCGCCAGCTCCAGAGGCCCTCATCCGAACATCCTGATAGGTCTCTGGCCCTGCCTCTGTCAGAGCTCCAGATCCAAGAGTTTTATCAGGCCTTAAACCTCTCCCTGCCCCTACCCAACATCCATGCTGGGGTGGAGCCTGAAGGCCTAAACCCTCTGGCCCACCTGCCCCTGAACCTGGGTTTGTCAGTTGCTGATCTGCGCCACATCTACCTGTTTCTCAATAGGTCAGGATTTTTGCTTCTTCCATGGGCTGGACCCTGACACTTTAGTTCTCCCAGAGTCCTTTGTGTAATTATTGTCCTCTGACAACCCCCCTCCCCCCATCCTGCACTGTCCTATGTGGGATCATCTATCTTTGATCACTGTGATTTCTTAGGTCTTTCTAGTCCTACTCATAGGACTACTCTTTCACATCTTAAGTGGGAATTCTCTCCAGCCTGGCTTCCTAGGAAAGGCACAAATGGTTTCCTTCATTCCTCTCCCATCATCTCCCCTCATCTTCCCAACCCTGTCTCAGTCTGATCTTGTGTTTGGAGCTGGCTTTTTTTTTTTTTTTTTTATTTTGTGTGCGTGTACCATCAAATCAGATCTGACTGGTACAGGAGGATATTGCGCCTCCTTCTCCGGCAGAGCATCTGGTGGATTCGAACCGTGTTCCTCTGGGAGTGCAGTGCAGCTTCTTGCCACTAGGCCACCAGAGCTCCCCTGGAGCTGGCTTTTTGTCCGCTATCCTTTGCCTGTCTGTGAGAACTAGTTCTAGGTTGAACTTGGCAACAAGAAGGATGAAGATAGACGTCTGTGCTGACTTCTAACTTGGTACTTTGGTGTCCCTGCTTCACTCTTTACCACTATTTCCACTCCTACCCTGATTTACTGTTCTCTCTCCAACATCTCTTAGTCTCTGACCTCATCCTCCTCTCTAAGTTGTCTCCATAGGTACTTGGGGAGAGGGAAAGGTCTGCCCTTCCTTGTTCTGTTCCACATCTCATTTCCCCCCACAATAAACTAAGAGTGGGCTAAGTCTGTGTCACATTGTTTGTGGGCTCAGGCTTAGAATTATGGGCAGATGTAGGCAGGTTAAAGAGAGTTCTGTGTGATATTCAAACAGGATTGCAGGGCCCTGTCCACTGCCCTTGGCCTTTGTGGCTTTACAACTGCTGTTCCTGCCTTTTGTTCCACTAATGATCAAAGCACAGAGATTATGACTCTTCCAAACCATATACATACAAAACCTAGATAGTCAAACCTAGAGAATCCAAGGTTTTAATACATAAAAGGGGGGAAAGTCAGCCAAGAGGACTAGGGGAAAATAAACAGAAGGAACTAGGTCCAGATCTTAAAGCCACCTAGTACCAAGCTCTCCTGCCTAGAATTTCAAGGATCCAGCTACCCAGGACTGCCTCAGTGGTAGTCCAGGTTAAGGGAAGAAAGGGCAAAGTACAGAAGGCTGCAGGAGCTGCATCTTTAATTTTTTTAAAAAATACTTTGTTCTTGGAAAATTATAAACATACAAAAAGTAATAATTCAAATTGTTTCATATTCCATAAACACTGTTAGGAGTTAGGTCTTGCGGTAGGCAAGTATAATGGTTTTTTTTGTTTGTTTTAATCACTTTTAGTTTGTTTTTCAAAGGCAGTGCTGTATCGTTTCTCTGCCTTTTGGCTGAAATCAGGTGTAAAGGCAGTGCTGTTTAGTGGTAGGGAGGCCCAAACCCAGCACGGCATCTCTTGTAAATTAGCCTGTGAAGCTTTACTCCTCACATGTAAACTAGGGATTATACCTTATAAAGGGTAGAGAGAAGGCATAGGCTTGTCTAAAGCCTGTGTCATTTCAGAAGTGCTCTGTGAAAGCTGTTAAAAGTTTGAGGAAATTGGAGCTTTTTCCTTCAAACACACACATGCCTTAGAGATAAAGCAACACCTTGGTTTTGATATCAGAGAAGCTTGCACATACCATAAAATGGATTTTTTTAACTTTTTTATTTTAATGAAAGTTTACAGAGTCTTTGGGTTATCATTCATTGTTGCACTTTTCTCCCTGCCCCCCCCCCCCCGTTTACTCTTCTCTTTGAAAACTAAAAGATTCTTTCATTGTTACACAGTCCCGTCCCAAAGTCCACTCCACAATGCAGCCTTAGTTCTGGACTCCTGTCATGACAATACCTAATAAATCCCTTTTAAACAGTTCTCTCCCTCTTTCAATGCAGAATACATTATTTATCCCCTCTTTCTCAATCTCCCCTCAACCCTGATGTCAGTCCTCGTTTACAACAGTGGCACTATACAGTATTTGTCCTTTTGTGACAGATTTTTCATTCAGCATGATGTCATCCAGGGTCACTCATTTTGTATAATATTTCATGAGTTCCTTGTTTTTCAATGCAGCGTAGCATTCCATTGTGTGAATATACCAGAGCTGCTCTATCCATTCGTTGATGGGCAGTTGGGTTGTTTCCAACTCTTTGCTGTTATGAACAAAGCAGCAATAAACACGATTGTGTATATATCTACTTGGGTGGCAGTTATGATTTTTTTAGGATACTAAAATGGATTTTGGTGACTTGCAAGCACTCATGCAGCCTACCTCCAAATGAGAACAAATTTTTTACCAGGTTCAAAGCTGTCTTCCCACCAGGCAGTCCCTGCCCCCAACTCAGGGGTAGCCATGGTGCTGACTTGCAGCATTTTAGATAATCTTGTTTACTTGTATATTTAATATAGATGGCATTGTACAGCATATATTTTCTTCAGCTACACAATGTCTGCATATAATTTGGGTTTAATATGAGTGTTCAGGTTATGGAGCACTTTGAGGTGAATGTGTGACCTCTTAGTGTTATGCCTTCTTGCTGAACATGCTGCTTCCCTCTGTCTTTATTGTTACATGCTGTTTTGCTTGTTCTTGTGTACTGTAGAATCAGACTGGCACAGGAGGAGACTACCCCTCCTCTATTGGAGCGTCTGGTGGATTTGAACCACACATCTTTGGAATTGCAAGTGCAGCTTCTTGCCACAAGGCCACCAGAGCTCCCTTGTTAAATGCTGTTGAGTGGGAACTGACCCATAGATCAAACTGTAGACCCATAGTAGAAATTGACCCATAGGTCCAGTGAGTTTTCAGAAGCAGTACATTATGTATGAGGAAATTGCCTATCCCTCTCCCATAGAGCATCTGATGGATTCCAACCACATGTCTTTGGGATTGCAGTGAAACTAAGTTTATATCATTTAAGCAGGTCATACTGAAAGACAACCTCAGAAGTTTAGGCCCATGAAGATGGGAGTGAGATCTAAGTGTCAGGGTAGTCAGTGCAGAAGAGTTCCTCCATGGGCCTGACCTTTACAGAGTCCGCTAACACCACCGCCACACACCCCCGTGCCTGCCTACCCTCTTCTTTAGCTCCACCACTATCACCACCATTCTACCAAGAATGTGCACTGCCTTTTTTTTTTTAGAGGCTCAACTATGTCATTTATTATTCTTCAGTCCTGGACCAAATTCCATCCACCACTGGTTTGTTTTACAGCTTGGAAGTCCACATCCAAGGCAGAGGTGAAGTAAGGAACTGCTTATGAGGTTTTCCATCAGTTCCAACAACTAAGAAGAGTTGGGACCTCAGAAGGCTTTTAGGACCAAATAATAGGCTCTTGTGTCCAGGAGAAAATGAATATACTTACCAGTAATGTTAATGCTCACCCACAGCTCTTCTGGGAGGATCTAAATTGGCACTGCCTTTTTTGGTCTTTGTTGTAGATTCCCAATCCCCCTCCATCTTCTTTAGTGTAGAGCTAAGTTAGAGACACCCAAATAGGGCCCATATTGCTAGGAAAGGCAATTAGTTGTACCTGATAATACTTAACAAGCAGGGTAGCTAACCAGAGCTAGAAGCCAGGATGGGACAGTCAGGCATGACCACCTTCAGTGTTCCTCTCCTCACCAGAGACACACACCAAACAGTTTCACATCAGTTTATTTTAGGGTATCTGGGTGCTGGAAGAAGGGAAAGAAAATGAAAAATATCAAATTGTGATGACCTAATTGTAAAACTTAAGAAAATTCTGGAGAGAGCCTGGAGGAAGGATAGAATGGTATTGAAAGTAACCATCAACAGTCACAGGTGACCCAGGAGAGGCAAGGAGGACTTGTATGAGGGTCTGGAAGTTGTCAGAAGTCAGGAGGGTGACTAGGCTTGTATTTCCTTCACGGGTTTCTGCAGTTCTAAGAATTATGGAGCTCCCTGTTCTGAGGATCATTGCAGAAATCCATGAAGCAGCATCGAGAGTATATCCAGAAGCCAAACACTGGCGAAATTCGGGTATGTGAGCATTCACGCATCTGTTCATTGCGACAGCAGTCACTCACCATGAACTCAGTACTGCCTGTGGGAGAGGTGGGAGTGCCAGTCTAGGGAGGTCTCTGAGAAGGCCCCCAGTCCTCTCATCCCTTCATTCCCAAGTGATTTACCATCGTTGCTCCTGCGGCCTATTCTGGACCAAAAATGAAAGTGATTTCTAGAATCATGTCAGGGTGGAGAGTGCTTATTGAGTCACCAGCCACTGACCTGGGCAGAAGTTTTCCCTGAAAGATGGGGAGATGATGTTAAGTGCTGCTGAGTCACCTGCGACTCATAGTGACCCTATGTACGATAGCACAAGACCTTGTTCTATCCTTTGCCAGTCCCACTGTCTACGACATAACCTACCCCCATTACTCCAGTGACTGAATCAATCTATCTCATCGAGGATCTTCCTCTCCTGCGCTGTTCCTCCACCCTCCCAAACATGATGTCCCTCTCCAAGGACTAATTCCTCCTTGCAACATATCCAGAGTATGTCAGATGGACCTTCAGAATCCTTGCCTCCAAAAAGCAGCCTGGCTTCACCCTCTCCAAGATGAACTTGTTTGTTTTAGCAGCCCATCATATATTCAATACTCTTCTCCAGCACCACAGCTTAAAGGCATCAACTTTCCTTCTTGGGGAGTTGAGGGGAAGAATTTGAAATGTAGAAATAGTTCAAGAGGACTGAGTTGGGAATTGTGGAGAAGGACCAGCAGTGACAGATCATATAATAAAAACTTGGAAAGATGTACTGAGTTTGGATTGCTGAGAGGCAGTTTGTAATTTATAGGTTCAAAAAAGTACAAACTAGCTGCTCTTTAGAGGCAAGGATGGAAAGCCTTCATCTCACATGAAGCTTTGGTCGTTCCCTAGAGAATGACATCATGCATGGAAATGTGGAGGGTCAGAGAAGCACTTCAACAAGATGAATTGATGCAGTGCACAGTGGAGATAGTGAGGGTTGCACAGGATCAGGCATGATTTCCATCTGTTGGACACAACTAGGAGTTAGACCTACCTAACTCATTGGCACCTAACAACAACCAAGTAGGAGACTAATATGATTCTATTTCTAGAAATGTATCCTAAAGAATAAGGAAAAACTCTGTGCCTATAACTTAAGAAAATAGATTCAGGATTGTTCATTCCTGCCTGCTTGACAGAGGGAAAATTTGAAACCATCTCAGTGTATCAAAGGCAGGGCAGATAAGCCAGCTTTAATATGCCCAGACTGTGGAACACAATGCAGCAGGTGAATGCAGCAAATAAGTTGTTTACAAACTAAACATAAAAAGCAAGTGCAGAACAGCATTTATAATAATGTGTTTGGAGCAGGGGAAGAGGCAGAAAAACACCGTTCTCACCTTCTCTACTCCCAAGGTGGACTAATTCTCCCCTTCTGAGGGTTTTTCTGTCTTAAAGACTAAACTTTGATGAATACGAACCAGTAAGGGACTGAAAGAGTAAGGTGAAGACCCAGTGAAGGAAGCTGGTAAGTAATTTTTTTAAAAAAAGGTATATAGATATGGATAGATATAAATTGATAGGTAGGTAGATAGAAACATGATAGATGATAGATAGATAGATAGATAGATAGATAGATAGATAGATAGATAGATAGATAGATGGATGACTATAGGAAGAGTGAGGCTTGCAGCAAGTCCAGAAGACAGATGGGCAACAGGAATCCTGAGGGAAGGTTGTGGGTCTGAAGATCTCCAGGGAGCTCTAGAAGGCCCTACACTCTGAGGAAGGTGGAAGTCAGCTGACCTGAGAAAGGAAATGGGGTGTGGGAGCAGGGACAAGTGTGTCTGAAGGAAAAGGAGGCAGTAATGGAACAATATTTAGGGTTGTGGGAATGAGACTTGGGGTGTGGTTTAAGAGGCTAGTGGGGACTCCATTTGGGAGAGGGTGGGCCCCACAGTGAGAGAAGGTGGCTTACTGTTCCTTATGTGGATTGTGATGCAGCTGCTGCCCTTTGGGACGAGGCAGATGTCCGATCCCAGAAGGCATCCCAACTTCTTGGTCTCAAAGAGGCAACGATAGCAGCGCAGGTATTTGGAAAACTCAGGTGGAGCAGGGAGTTCCTGACTGAGGACGGCAAACTTACCTAGAATACAGGGGAGCACTGACACTGAGCACCCAGCCACCCAATTCCAGTCTGGTCAACCCCACTATTTCTTCCTCCCCTCATCTCAGTAAAGCCATAAAATCATGAGTTCTTTAAAATCATTTGGTTTAACCCTAACGTTCCGCCTGAATTTTACCCTCCACTGAAATTTTGATTCAGTGATTGGGGTATTGAGGGTAGGTGTGTTAGAGACAGTAAGATTGGCACAAGATAAAACAGGGTTCAGAGCTATTATACATAGGGTTGCTATGAGTTGTAAACAACTCTACGGCACATAACACCACCACCATATAAAGGAGAAATTTGCTTGCTTACTCAGTGGTAGAGGTTGCAGGCAACAGTCTTAAGGAGGTCCTAGGGCAAATATAATCCTCTCAGTCCACATAGATTTATCATTACTGTCTCACACCCTATCCTGGACCAAAACCTGAAGTTTCTGGAATTTCATTCAAAGTGTATTTGAGGGGCTGATGTGCCCAGCACACTGCATGCCTCTAGCTATAAAGGTTAGATGGAGGTAAACCATTGCCACTTTAGACAGACAGCCCTGTTAGCACAATTCTTTGGTGACTAGGCTTCTCAGTATCCCACAATTTCTGGTCACTCTCCTTTGAACATACTTTTCTTAACTATGATGTTCAAAAGCGAAAACAAGAGTGCATCACAGGGCAGGAAGAATCTCTACTCCCAGCAAACAGGAAACGTCAAGACATGTTTATGGGGACCTAGCAATTACTGCTTCTGAAAACCTCCTGGAGGGTCAGGTATGGGTCAGTTCTGACTTGATAGCACACAGCTACAGTGGATAGGGAGTTTCACTGTCAACACCAAGGCAGATGATTCAAATCCACCAACTCCCCTGTGGGAGAAAAATAGGTACTCTGCTCCCATGTGCTTTACAGCCTCTGAAAACTCTCTGCAGGATTAGCTATGAATCCATTCTGACTCAACTGCAGTGAGTTGGATTCTATCACTGGACACACTTATGTTTAAACTTTGTTTACCAAAACCTCCATTCTCTGTTTCCCTTCTCCAGCTGTACATATATGTCCCCTTCCTCTGGTCCCATGCCCAGGTCACACAACGTTAAAGTATTCCCAAACCCAGCAGAGCAATTGGTGTGAGGCAACTGCTGAACAAACCCTTTGAATTCAGTACTTATGCAGATAGTGGTTTGCAGCCAGTTAGGAAGTCAGTATTCTGTATCAGGCACTGGTTCTACACTGTGGATCTTGTTTTTGTCACTTAGTAGGCTCCCCAACCCTGCTTTCATATTTGAAGAAACTCCCTGGTATCTCCATTCAGGTCACTGCTGTTGAGAGAGCCCTGGATGGTAAATAGAAATGTCTCTCACGGTGGTTATTAGTTCATTAGCAGTTCTGAGGCAAGTGGTTGCCATGTACCCTAATCACATCTTCTTTCCTAACCACATTTAACTGAGTGTGCTGAACCAATGCATCCTGTCACCTAGATGCATACTCATATGCAGTCTCATACACAGCAGACCAGAAGACCCCTCAAAGTCACTTACCTAACACTGAACTCTTCATGGCCAACATTAATAAGAGCACCACGCACAGGACACAGGGCTTGCTGCGGGAGCCTGGGGGTCCTAGACTCCTGCTACCTGTAGGGCACTCCATGAAATACATACCTGCCCACAAGCCCTCAGTTTGTCCTTATATTGGTGGAAGAGAGATTGACCAAGAGTCAACACCAGTTCAGGATGGAATTAGTGCCAGAATGGTCAGAGGAACAGGGTGTCCTCACCCACAGCCAGTGTGGGGTCTAACATCCTGGTTCAGAGGAGGGCCCAGCAAGGAGGGAATGAGAGGAGGTCATTGATATTTATTAAACAGTTACTGAATCATGGAATCAGGTGTTGGAGATATTAACAGAGCTGTACAGAACTCTTGTCATATGTAGTGAGAAGAGAAGATAAATCAACAAGCAATTGGTGAGGGAGGATGGAGGTGCTGCTGGAAGCATCTGGACCGGGAAATCAATGATCAAAGGGACTTCAGCAGAGAAATGGCATGATTAGAGTTTTGTTCACGGTGGTGGCCTGAAACAGGTTAGGGAACTGTTCCAGTGTTCAGTCACAAGATGGCAGCCTGGCCTAAAAGGAGGAAGGTAAGGCAGCAGCAGCGGGGAATGAATCCGAAATATATTTAGAAGTTAAGATTGGGCATATTTGGTGTCAGGCTGGATGTGAGGAAAAGGCAGGTGGACAGGCTTGCAGCAGGGGTGGTTGGTGGTACCACTTTCCAATCTGGGAAACCGTGGCACTGTCATAAATCCAAAGGCAAAAAGACCTTCATCTTAAGTGACCTGGTGCCCAGTGCCTCCTTGGGGTTTGGAGAAATCAGTCCCTCTTCTTCCCTTTCTCTCCCACAACTCAGGCTGCAGGTTAATGGGTCTGTTCTTCAGCGCCCACGGGCTCTAGCACAGTGCGTTTGCTCTGCGCACCTGATGGCGGGCACCCAAGAGCTCTCCTGAAGACGCGGGGGTGGCTCTGCCCAAGCACAGTTCGTGGCCAGGTGCAGAGAAGAAAGGCTGCTCAACGTCCGGCCCCAGCTGACACACAGAGCACAGCAGGATTGCTCCACAGTGGGGCGCTGTGGGGTGACCATTCTTCCCAGAGTGCTGCAACCACAGGCCCCATGGGCGGCCTGCAAACGCCCGCCCTTTCCCCTGCTGAGGCCTCCCTTAGTCGCTGTATGCCTAATGGTCAGACGTTGTGTAATGTCTGCAATACACTCAAGCTTTGTTTACTTTGAGAATTGGTAGGCAAAGGGGCCAGGCTGTAGAAACAACACCATTTTCCCCAATTTTCCAGCTAGAGTTTCAGGGCAGGGCCTTGCATTTGGGTTCCCTTTTAGGGTTCCAGGCTGCAAAGAATCATTCAGTATAGGCACGACTTGGAGAGAGTGAGAATATAGGGGGGCAAAAGAGAGACACATGCCAAAATAAAGATGGAAGGGCAACGTTAGTGTAAATAAATTAAAAAAAAAAACACCACCAAACTTATGTTATCACATTTATCACTATGAACTTGGAGAAATGATGAAAATTATACAAGTGTTCAGGTCTTTCGTTTCACAGGGTCGCTATGAATAATCCACGACTTGACAGCACTTAACAACAACATCACATTTGAAAAGCTCAAGCTTTTTGTCATAGGACAAAGAAGATAGCCATTCTCACAGTGGTAACCCAATGTATTAGAGTAAAACTGCTACAAGGGTTTTTTGGAGGGTTTTTTCCCCTCTTGGCTGCCATTCAATGGAAGCAGATCACCAGCCCCTTGTGCCCCCTACGCATCCCAAATCATTCTAAACCAATAATTAATGTTGTTGTTGTGGTTATTATGTGCCATTTAGTCACCTGCAACTCATAGTGATTTTATGTACAACAGCTCTGAAGCCTGCCCTGTCCTGAGCCAGTCTGACTCTAACACACCTAACCCCATTGCCCCAGTTTCTGTATTAATCCATCTCATCTGGGGTCTTCCTCTCCTGTTCTGTCCCTCCACCCTTCCCAGCATGATGTCCTTCTCCAAGGACCAAATGTATGAGACGGAGCTTCAAAATTCTAGCTTCCAAGGAGAAACTTGGTTTCACCCTCTCCAAGACAGACCTATTTGTTTTCTTGGTAGTCCATGGTATGTTTAAGACTCTTCTCCAGAACCACAACTCAAAGGCATCAATTCTGTCATCTTTAGTCGTTGTCCAGCTCTTTGATGCATAGCAAGTAATTGTGAAGAGCATGGCCTGGATCAGACACACCTTAGTCTCCAGACTGACATCACTGCTTCTCAGTACCCTGGAGAGGTCCCTCACAGATTTTCTCAGTGCAATTAGTCTTTTAATTTCCTGGCTGCTGGTGCCAAGAGTGTTGATGGTGGAGCCAAGCAAGCTGTAATTGTTAACAACCTCAGTCTCTTCTTAGCAAGGTACTGGCAATTGACCCAGTGGTGAGAATTTTTGTCTTCTTGATGTTGATCTTCCATCCATATTGAAGACTACAGTCCTTAACCTTCTGCAGCAAGCAGAACTTCAGGTCCTCAGTTTCAACAAGCAAGGTTGTGTCATCTGCATAACGGAGGTTGTTGATGAGTCCTCCTCCAATCCTGATGCCACACTCCTCCTCATAAAGCCCAGCCTCCCAAATGATCTGTTCTGCATATAGCTTGAAAAGGTATGGAGACAGGATGCATCCCTGATGCACTCTTCCTGATTTTGAACCATGTATTTCCTTGCTCTGTTCTGAAGACTGCTTACTGGTCTGAGTATAGGTTTTGCATGAGCACAATCAAGTGTTTTAGGATTCCTATTCTCCTCAAGGTTTGCCACAGTTTGTTTTGATCCAAAAAGTTAAATGCCTTTACATAGTCAATGAAACACAGATATGCATTCCTCTAGTACTCTTTGCTTTCTGCCAAGATGCATCTGACGTTGGTGCTAATGTCTCTAGTGCCATGATCTCTTCTAAACTCATTATATTAAAGAAAAGGCGGTAATGAAAAACTAGGGAGGCATACAATTGTCTGTTGAATGACTGAACACAGTAATAGATAAAGAAATTCAGAGGAGAGGGACTACTGAAGTAACCAGAGCAGAGGCGCACACAAGGGCCTCTAAGCCTGTCTTTCAAATATGGCCACAAATTAAAGGCAAGGACGAAGGATCCTGGTGGTGTAGTGCACTGCTATCCTGTAGGAGAAAGAGAAGCAGCTTCTCCTGAAAAGATTCACAGCCTGGGAATGCTGGAAAAGGATCTTAAGTAGGGTTTTGGTAAAAGACAAAGCCTAGGATGCACCTGAAATTTAGACCATGAATAAGGATGACAGAAAATGAAGCCTTTAAATTGGGGCGTTGGCAAAGGACACTGAATATTTCACAGGTTGCTGAAAGAATAAACAAGTCTGTCTTTGAGGAAGTGCAATCAGCTTACTCCTTAGAGGCAAGGATGGTGAAACGTTGTCTCACATACTTTGGACATGTTATCAGGGGGGACCAGTCCTTGGAAAAGACATCATGCTGGGAAAGGGATGATCAAAGAGAGGAAGACCCTCAAAAGATGGACTGACACAGTGACTAACAATGGGCTTGGCATGTTGGAGATCTTGAGGACAGCACAGGATAGGGCAAGGTTCAGATTTGTTGTTCATAGGGTCGTTGAGTTATAGTAGACTGGATGGCACCTAACAACTAAGGGGCAATGGGAAACTGGGTCTGGCCATCCTGATCCAAAGGTCGATAGTTAAGATCCAAGAGGACAGACAGACTGTGGAGATTCAGTATGTAACACCTGGGTAAACTCCAGTGATATTTCAGGGATGAGTGGAATCTGAAATAGGTGGGACCTTTTTTTGAAGGGGTTTAACCTCAGTTATTAATTTCACCCTTATTTCCCTCTCATTCCTCTCTAGCACAGGAGGCAGGGTGCTGTTTGATCCCCAGATAACTCCTAGAGTTCATTGCCAGGGTGACAGAGCTCTGTGGCTGCTTTTTAGGGGGAAGAAGCATAACATATTATTTGCCCTGGTGACAGCAGCAAAGACAATGTCCACACCAGTGTCCCTTTCTGGGACAAGAGATAACTGAAGGGTAAGTAAACCTGGGAATAAGACTCCCTACTGTTAGGGGTCTGGAGAGTGGGGGCTGGCACAGAGGGGCCAGACTAAGCTGATCATTTCTCTGTGGAAAAGTCCATTTCTGACTACAGTCTGGATAGGAACAAGAGCAAACATCTTTAACCTGAATATAAACAGGCCCCTTGGGAGAGTCTGGGGCTTCTCAAGGAGTCATGTGGCTTATTGATTGGACAGACCCCCTTCCTTCCAGGGACAACTTCCTTCACTTGGGATAGCTGTGCTGTTGGGGATGCATGCTCCTTCTCAGCCCAAGCATGAAGCTCAGACTGAGTCCAGCATCTCACACAGGAAGCAGCACAGCTCAGAGGCTGGACCAGTGAGGTTGGACGAGACAGGAGTGTCCAGCCTTAGGATTACCTTTTCTTCCCAGGCTACCCACTCAGGCTGTAACTCCCCTTTCTCTCACCTCTCATTACCATTCTTAGTTTTGCCAGATCCTTGACCTCACCTAATGCTCACTCAGTCCAATGAGACACAGAGTTGAAACAGCTGTGGCATCTGATCTCAGCTGGTCTTCTGGTGAGATTACTAAAACCTGGCTATATGGGGTGTGAAGTGGATGGGAAGCTGTTCTCATCTCAGGAAGGGAGTAGTTCTTCACCTCCTCTGAGCCTAATCAGATGCGGGGGTGAACTGAGAAGGTAGACTGAGGTCCCTGGGTGGGCCTGTCCAGGCAGGAAAGAGGGGAAAAGTAGATGTAGGGGCAGCGCAGCAGAATCTTTAATGATCATGGCCAGGAAGAGAGTCCATGGTCTTCAGGGGTGGGAGGGGGAGCTGGGTGCCCTCTATTTACTTTTAAGGAAGTACCTTTATTTAAAATTTTTTTTCATTGTGATTTGAGTGAAAGTTTACAAAGCACATAAGGAGGTTCCTTTAGCTGACTTAACTGCCTCAAGGATATGGGAGGTTCAGACCATGTAGGTGGCCTCACTCTTCCTACCCTACTTGCCCTCTAGGTGACACAGGAGAAGGGCAGCAGTATCAGCTGTCCACTAGCTGTTGGCTGAAGATGGAGCATTCTACAAGGAGCTCTGTGGGTATTGTACATTATGTGGACTAATAAAAATGTTGGCAGTTCAAATCCACAGGAGAAAGATGGCCAATCCTTTTCCATTAAGATTTATAGCCTTGGAAACCTAGTGGAGTGTTGTCATGACTCAGAATTAACTTGATGGTGCCGGCTTTGGAGTATTAGAGAGCTGACCTCAACCTTCAGGCATCTTATCACCTATTAAGTCTCAGGTACAACCCTCTACCCCTTCAGGTGCTGCTGACAAGGTTGGGGTGCTTACAGCCCCTATTCTTCCTCTGCCTCCAGGATCACAGAGGAGCTGCAAGATAGGGATCTGAGGAGACACAGACATCAGCCAGAGTAATGCATCTAGGACATCAGAACCCTGCCGCCCATGTTAAGTGTTTTACTCAAAACAGAGGATCTAGGGTGGTAAACCTGAGGAGTTTCCCCTGGAAAAGAGGGTTTGTTTCCAAAGGAATAAGGTAGCCAGGCCACAAACTGATAGGTTCTAAGACATCCAAGAAATTAGAAACAGGATGGAAGTTATAGGGGAACCGACTTCCTCAGTTCCCATCTAAAAATATTCTTCTAACAGAGCAGTTGTTTAAAAATGCCAAGTGTAGCTTTGGGAGGACAAGTTGTTGGTGCCTGGCAGGCCCTGTATTTGTTTGGGTTTTTTTAAAAATTTTATTATTTTTGCGTGAGTGTACCGTCAAATCAGATCTGACTGGTACAGGAGGAGATTGTCCCTCTTTCCCCGGCAGAGCATCTGGTGGATTCAAACCATGCGCCTCTGGGATTGTAGTTGCAGATCCTTGCCACTAGGGCCACCAGAGCTCCCCTAGGCCCTGTATTTGTTGAGTTGCAAAAAAATATGTCAGTAGAGACTTGATGACACAGGGAGGGTGCAGGGTTTGCTGGGGGAGTCGTTGCAGGTAGACTGCCCCTCATTCCCCATGGGAATGAGCTGAGCAAGGAAAACTGAGGGTTATTGATGAGGAAACTTATGCAGACTAGACTTGAAGATTAACAGAGCAAGCAGGTGAAATCAGATGGTAGGATGTGCTTTGCGAACAGTAAAGCCTGTGAGGAGGTAGACATGGGTTTCTTGGGTGGTTGTGTGTAGGCGGAGTGAGAAAGGGGGCGGTGGCCATGAGGCTGTCCAGAATGCTACACAGCTTGGGCATGTTAGACACACCAGAAGGGACTATGCTCAGTGACCAACTAACTACATGAGGACAGCTCAGGTTACAGGCTGGAGGTCTGAGGGTACAGTGATGGGGAAGGTTAAAACTCTACCACCTGGGAGTGAGGTGTCCTCAGGACCCAACCCTTTGAGGCCACAGTTCTTCCTACCACCAGCCCCTGGCTCCCTAAACATTCAGGAAGTCACACAACCAGCCAGCCAGTTAGAAAAAATACCATTTTATTAATCATTAGGAATAATCCATTAATTTAATGCAGGGTGGGTGTTGGGGGAGTACTGCCAGGTGGAAGAGAAGAAACGTGCAAGAACAGTGAGAAGGGGGATGGTCTCCCACTTTCACAAACAGCAACGTGAATGGAGAATCACAAGTAAGAGCGTCCTTCTTCAAGCCCTCTCCCAACCCAATCCTCCAGAATGAGTCCCAGGATGGTTCCTAGAGGTGCCAGGGCATCTGGAAGTTCTGGGCTGGGAGTGGGGTGCAGTGTGTAGCCTCAAAGTTGTGCAGATGCTTCCGAGCCTGAAGACAGAGGCCAGATGTGGGGAGAGGGTAGTGAGGTGCAGAGCTCCATGGGGGCAGCAACATGGACGTCCTGCCCAGCTTCTGACCTCTGAGCCCACCACCCACTCACTCCAAGGAAGCTGCCATCCAACACCTTCATGCCTCCCACCCGAACTCACTAGAAACAAAGCCAGCTGCCGCCGTCCCTCTGCACTCATGTCCTCTCCTGCAAAGAAGAGGCACACGTGGGTATTCACCCCCCTTTCCTCCATCTCTTGCCCCAGGACCTCCTTACTTACCCACGCTCCAGGGGAAGTCAGGCCCATGTTCTGCCTGGTAGGAGCGGAGGACAGATAGACACCAGTCTTCCTCTACTTCCCATCGGCTGTAAATCGAGGCTGGAAGGGGAGAGAGAGGCAGGCCCATCAGTAGCCTGACCCCTTCCTGGTCCCCACCAAAAGGCCTTACTGGGTCCACTCTTACCTTCTTCCACCTGTGAGGAAGCCTCCAGCCACTGCTTCACCACTCGCAAGCCCTCCTCAGCCATGACTCGGGGATACCTAGGCACGGGGAGAGATCAGAACCCAATTCTCTTCACTCCTTGTTCCTGATCATTCCTCCCTGTGTCTGTGTGTGTCCACGTGTCCACCTGCACAACTTCCCCTGCTCTCACCGATGCTGCAGGAGTTTTAGTAGGAGATCATTGCCTCGGTTGGACATGATGTCCTCAGGAACCCTGGGGGTGAAAGGAAGGTCCACTGGAGAGGACTGAAGGTCGGGGAGAAAGGGTCTGGATAATCAGGTTTGATGGTTGACAGAAGTGGGGAGTGATTTAGCTCTCTGGGATACAGGTGGGCAGGGGCTGCTGGGCACTCACGTGGTAGTGATGATCTCATCCTTCGTCCTCCGGATCAGTAGCACAGGGCCCTGGTACCTTCAGTGAGGACACAGCAGTGGGAAGGGAGCACTCAGGGGCAGACAGGTGACAAGTGGCTCGCCCCCATCCTATCCCTGCACTGGCTGCATTCTCCCCTTCCTTAAAGCAAGGCCTATGGCTAGCCCTTTGCCCTGATATTTAAAAATGGAAATTTTTTAGGTCAAGTCGGCCCTGGCAGAAGATCCCTGACTGTGCCAGGCATTAACCCTTGGGATGTGGGACAGAGTAGTGTGTGGAGAGTAGCAGTCATTTTCTGGCCCCCGCCCCGTGTACTTGAGCACTACTTTCATGGGTCAGCCCATCCAGGAAAGCCCTATGGGACATGTGCACTCACCGGCACAACTGCTCTGCATTGTTTAGATTGAGGTGCTGTCTCACAGTCCTGGTCACCAGACCCCCTAGAGTGGAGAAAAGGGAAGGCATGGCAGAGATAAAACCCTCGCTCAATGTAAAGGTCCTGGTGTGCATGGAAAGAGAGGACTGGAGCCCTAAGACAGGGGAACATGTTCCCTAGCCATGATAAAAGGAACCATCCCCATTTAGAACACCTCCCTCTTCTGTTCCAATCTACTGCTTCCCTGGAAGGCCCGGGAAATGAGAGCTAGACTCACTCCAGCTGTCTGGCATGACTTTCAAGGCCAAAGGCACCAGGTCATCAAAGGAAGCATCCAGGATCACAGCACTGATGTCTGGGTAGGACATGGCTGCCCAAGTGGCTGGTACCAGGACAGAGAAGAAGAGTGAGGGCTGAGGGGTCTCTTCCCACCATCCCACTCTTGTCTGCTGACCCTCCAGCTAAATTCTTCTTTCCTACTGTGTTATCTTTGGTCTCTCCTTGTCTCTTTCACTTTCCTTAGCTAAGACACTATCTAGAGAGGCTACCGTATAAACAGAACATTCTTCAAAGAGCATCAGATACAGAGTGGTGGAAGCAGCATTCATTTTCTCCCTGATCTCCTCATCCCAAAACTTTGGTTTACTTCTTTTTTTTTTAGGGTAAAATAATGATAGATTTATTAGAAAGTTACATCTCCGAAGGGACAGACTTTCCCCTCTGAAAGGAAATATGGAGGGGAAGCCACTTCTCTTTTTAATAACTAGCCATAAGGGTTGGGGAAAAAAATAAAAGTGAAACACATATAAATATGATCCCTTTGCTCTTCCAAGTCCACAAGGGAGATCCCAATCTTCCCCATCTTTCAGCTCAGCCCACCGTGGGCTTCTCTCCACCTTTCCTGGGGGTAGGAGGGTAGGCAGGAAAGGCCTCCAGTGTGTCAAAGGGAGGGAGAATAGTACCTGTAAAGCCACCAATGGACCAAGCATAGATGACAATGTCCTGGGGCTGGAAGCCCAGGCGGTGAATGGCGAACTGGACCACCACGTCCATGGCATTGGCCTCATTCTGTGGGAACGGGACTCCCTGGAGGCAAAGACAGCAGCATATCAGCCCCAAAGCCCAGTTCACTTACTACCACTGCCTTCCCAACCCTTCCTGGAGCCACCTGGGAATAGATGGCAAAGTTTAGAAGGATGGTGGGAAAGGCTGTTCACCCCAGAAGATGGCCATTTACAATGAGGTCTACCCCATAATCCCACTGTTAAGGAGAATCCTGGCTTTCCATGCTGCCTCCCCAGCCTCCCTGCACAAGGCACCTAGGTCACAGGACAGTGTCACAGAAACACACAACCTCCTTCTTTATCCAGAAAAAGAAAGGAACATTATCTTCAGAGTGAGACAAACGATTCTTTGGGGAAAGAATGAGATTCCAGTGAGACTCACCGTGCTTCCAGCAAAGCCTGGATGATTCCAGCCCAGGACTGAATATCCAGCTGTAACACAGAAGGAAGGACAGACTGAGATCGTGATTCATACCTTCTCTCCTGCCCTGGGGGAAGGATCAGAAGGACCATGCGCTCTAATTTCCTCTAACCCTACACATAGTACACACAGCTAATGCCAAGCCTTCCCAGAACAGGCAGCAGCAGAGAAAAGTGTGGTTGTATGCAGTGTGTGATTATGTACAGAACAAAGTCTAACGTAATGCAGGGGGAGATATGGAAACTGATCACAATTATCATAGCATGGAAGAAGGGGACAATACATTCCAAAAGACAAGATGGCTGGGCCAGGGCCTACCTTCCAGGGGTGTGGAAACACAGCCCACCTCATAGAACCCTGCATTTCCCTCGCAGCAGATCACCTGTGGGAAGAAGGTGGGAAGATAGGCTGGGAAGGCCTCAAGCTGGACTGATGGGAAGAGCAGTGGTGGGAGCATTCCAAGGAAAGGACAGCAGATTCCGGCTCTCTCCAAGAAGAGAGCCTTCTCATTACATATTGTCCCCCAAACATTGAGAAGCAAAGTAGATACAATATTAGGCAAATCTGTCCCCCAGACTGAACTATTAAGCCATCTAGCAAGGGGCTTATTTTTCCTCAGAAAACTGTAAAGGGGTTCTCTCTAAGAAATGGGTCCCCCTTTATAATTTTTTAAATTTTTTTCTGTAACATTTCCATATATGTCTGTTGTGTATTATGCAGACTATTTCTTTCTTCCTGTCTGGGCTCCAGCTATGGCCAGATAAATTCTACCTCTGTGATGTCCCAAGAGATATAGGACAATCACAGATTCTCTGACCAGCTCTCTGGATGCCAATTTCAGGGTTCTTCCCATGGCTGCCACATGGAGGCAGAAGGCTATGGAGCCAGACTCCACCACTTATTAGTTGTAAGATAATGATAAAATTACTCTGTACCTCAGTTTCATCATCTGTAAAATGGGCCAATGTAAACAGTAACTACCTTACTAGACTGTTATGAGGACTAAGCATAAACCTTGTTGTGGGAAGTGCTGTTTAAGTTATTACTGTTTTGATTATGACTTGTTAGTCCTTAAATGCCAACGCCTATTTCCCTATCATAGGATTTTCCAACATCAAGAGGCTCTGGGGTAGACTTGGGAGATAAGGTTATCCTAGGTCAGTTTCCTCAAGGCTGCTGTGGAGCTAGGGTGCCTAGAACCTCTTCTTCCCTCCCAACACTCCACCTGTGGGCTCTATTGTTTTCACTTACCAGCTTCTGTCCCTGGGGTTCAGCTGTCCCCCGTCGGTCCACAAACATGGTATCAATCTCACTGCCATCACAGGCCAGCAGCTTTGCCCGGCGCCCGTTATACTTGGGGGAGAGATGCAACAGCAGGCTGTGAGGGGCAAGAGGGCCACACTGGGGGTAGAGGGTATGGCAGACAGGGAAACGGGAGGGGGGGCCTCACCTCTTCCACCAGCCGGGCTTGGCCCTGCAGGAGCACAGGCATGAGGGCCTTCTGAAGCAGGTACACAGAGCCTGGGTATAGCATCCGACGCCCCAGGGTGTGTGCCACCAAATAGCTGTGGGAAACAAGGGGTTAATGACCCCAGCCTCACCGGGACTTCCCTGGGGGACTCCCAACTCTAGCATTGACAGACTCTTGGGGTGCTATATCCTTGACCTTCGGAACTCTGCATTCTTTTTTCAAGATTTAATGAAATAATATACATACTAGAGTGGGTTTTTTAATCTTTTTTTAAAACTACTATCTTTGTGAGGAAGACTCTCAACAAGATGGACTGACACAATGACTGTAACAATGGGTTCAAGGGAGCTCTGGTGGCCTAGTGGCAAGAAGCTGCAACTACAATCCCAGAGGTGCACGGTTCGAATCCACCAGATGCTCTGCTGGGGAAGGAGGGGCAATCTCCTCCTGTACCAGTCAGATCTGATTTGATGGTACACGCACACAAAAATAATAAAATAAAAAAAAACAAAACCAACAATGGGTTCAAGTACATCAGAGATAGTGAGGAGGGCACAGGATAACGGAGGGCTCAGACCCACTGTTCACAGGGCCACTGAGCCTAGTCAACTTGACGGCAACCTTTGTGAGATAATTCTGATCAAATAGTTTTATAATATTTTCTAGACCTAATAAAAAACCCTCTTTTTTACTTATTATGCATGCCAAACTTATAGCTGACTCATACATAGATAGCAACTATTTAGGACAGAGCAGAATTGTCCAATAGGGTTTCCAAGGCTGTTGTCTCAACAGAAGGAGCTTGTCACTTCTTTCCCCCACAAAATGGCTGGGTTCGAACTGCCAACCTCTCAGTCTGCTGCTGAGTGCTTTAACCATAGTGCAACCACACATCCCTGCTAATGTATAAATACAACTTAAGAAAGTCTCAAATTAAACAATCCTTTTAAAAAATTGCTTCCTAAATTTCTTAAATTGATTTTGAGATTCGATAATAGGTCAAGATGTTCAGTTTCAAAAACACCAAATAAGACTGCAAATGCCACTGGGGCAAGTTCCTGGCCCATTTGTTAATGAGATATCCCCAGGACCTGACATGAAGTAGGCACCTGGCCTGGCACAGAGCAGAAGCTCAGTAAACATCTATTAAGCAAATGTATTAACCTGGACAGTCTCATATGGTAGAGACTGGCCTGAGAAGGTGGCAACAATTCCTAGGACTGAACTGTATGATCCTTTGCAGCAACCCCCTCAAAACCCCAAATCTGATTTACCTCTCTGACAAAAAAGTACCATTTACAACCACCACTAAATCTACTTCCTTAATATTCTAGAAAGGTGGAAGCAGCTCAGCACCTCTGAGGAAGAAAGATAGACAATCTCCTCCTGTGCAATTCACAGCCTCAGAAATCTGCTGGATGGCTAGCTATGAGTGGATTTGGTCTTGGCAATGAGTTTTAATTTCTCCATATTCTTAGGAGTCGCCTCTGAGCCTTCTTACTCACTGCTGTTGAAACATAATCATAACTGACCCTCTCCTGGGCTTCCAAGGCTGTAAATTGCATGGAAAGAGATTATCTTTTTCCTGTGGTCCTATCTTGCGCTATCCTCATGATCTCCCTGTTTTGATCACAGGGTTGCTATGAGTCACAGCTGACTTGACGGCGCCAAGCAACAATGAGCAAGCCCCCTAACCTGTGAAAAATTAAATTCCTGCTTGTTAAAGCCAACCATTTTTGACATTTTGGTTACAGCAGCATTAGAGAACTAAGACAGTGCTCCACTACAAACAGGAGTAGTTACTTGTTCATTCTATCATCATTACGATCTATAACTGCAATGCATTTAGGCTTGACTGTGTGCCTTTTTTTCTTTCTTTGTTTTTACTGTATTATCAACCACCCAGGCAAGATGGGATCCCTTCAGTATATGTTACTATAATTAACTTCCTTAACAACCTGTGAGGCAGGCTACTCAGGAATAAAGAAACTGAAGCACAGAGGGGACAAATAGTTTGTCCGAGGTGGGATGGCCAAGAACAGCAGGATCAGGAAAGCATATGGATGAGCACCATTTCCTGTTCCAGGAACAAGTTATGTATACCCTCAACACCATGCCTTGCTCTGCCTCATTAAAAAGAGAGCTCTTCTTTTGCCTTGGAGAACTGTGTCAATACCCTAGCTCTTCCTTCACTATTTGTGTGATTGGATTTCTCTCTGAGCCTCCTTTCTTCACACACAAATATGCATAAAAACTACTTTGCCACAAGCAACACACAACACTAGACCAATAAATGACAGCTACTCTAGACCAGAGTGCCCAGTCTCCAAAGCCCTTGCCCTTTGTCCCCTCTGCCCAGCCAGCCTTTCCTCTCTGCCCTTTCCCACCTGGTGATCTGACAAGGCAGCTTCTTGACCTGGTTGAGGAGGGTGTCTGCTGTCCCCCGATGCAGGGGCTCTGGGCGAAGCAAGGCCACACCCCGGCGAGAAGGGCCCCCTCGAGATTCCTTCCTAAAGAAGGGAAAGATGTAAGGAAGTATGGAGGCAGGAGCAGCAGCCCTGGATGTCTAAGGTCTTGAGGACTATAAGGTCCAGGAATGGAGCTCAAGAGGCAAATGGAGTGAGTGAGACAGGGCAGAGAAGGGAGCATCCAGGTGGTTCCAGAGAAGAGACAGTAAAGGAACTGAGGCCTTACCGGCTGCTGGGCTCCTCCCAGTGGAAGTCAATGGGCCAGCTCCTAAAGTCAAAGTTGTAGTTGGCAAGCTGTCTCTGTGATGAGTGGAAAGAGAAAGGAGGTGAGCAAGGGAAAACTGAGAATTGTGGAGGTCCACCTGGAAGAGTAGAGGATCAACAAAAGAGAGGAAGCCCTTCAAGGAGACAGACTGACACAGTGACTGCAACAATGGCTTGAGCATGGTGGACACTGGGAACACGGCGCAGAGCACGGCAAGGTTTCAATCTGCTGTTCAGAGGTTCACCATGAGTCACTGTCAACTCAGCAGCATTTAATAACAACAACATAACTAGCCAATCTCAACACCTTCATTACCCAGAGAACTAGCCCTACACATCACTGGGGAGAACAAGCAGAGGTCAACAACCTTCCTATTTACAGATGGAAAGCTCTGATAAAAACCAAGCAAGAGAAGCTGCATTAATAGGTAACAGGACTGGCCAACCTATCTTCTTCTGAGGAGAGCTAACATTCTATGCTTTTCCAAAAACCCAAGACTAGCCAACCCCAGGAAGGGTGTGGGCCTTCTGAGGGAGGCAGGTGAGGACCTGCTGGCTGGTCAGACTCCCTTCCTCATTTGAGTTCTTTACTGGGAGCTGCCTTGGAGGCTCAGAAATCCCCAGAGGATCAATGTGCCAAGGTTGACTGGGAGAGAAGGGAAGTCACGGCAGGTTCCTCTGGACCCAGGGTTGTATCTTAAATAAATCCCTCTCTGTTCCATCCTCAAAGCCAGCTCCCTTCCCTTAACTCCTATAGCCATGGGCCAGTGCTGCCACAGAGACCAATTGTGCCTCTGGTGACACCACTAGTGTCCATACTTTCTGAGGGCAGTGGGAGAAGAGTCTGAAACTGTTGTGTTCCTTCTTCCACCCCCCAGAGCTCCAAGCATTCTATTTTGAAGGGAGTGTGGTTTTGTTTTTTCGGGGTTTTTTCCCCCCTTGCTAGGGAACTTCTTTTCTAACATTTTCAAAAATAACTTGACTAAAAGAGTGACAGAAAAGCAGCATAAAGCTATAAATGACAAAACAAGATGAATAATAGTACATCTCAGACAGACTCAGGACAGACCTGTGCTTGAATCCAGACTCAGCTACCTCTGTGCTCTAACTCTGGATGGGGCACTTAACCTCTGTTTGCCTGGCTTCCTCAGATGTATAAACGAGGGTAATAATGCCATCTCATGTGGTGGTTGTGAGGATCAGAAAGGGTGAATGCAAAATGCCTCAGACTGTGGCGTGGTAGAACTTCATTACACAGCTCCATAAAGTGTGGCGTGGAGTAACCAGTAACACGATGACTGGTCATAAATGTTTGATCCCAGAAATCTTGTGTTATAGGAAGGGCTTTATGGGCCCCCAAAGCCCCTTCTCAAAGATAATCACACTCCAGCACTTGCTGGGCTGGCACAACTCCAAGGACACTGTGCGATGGCCTAGCTCTCTCCTGGGGCCATGCTGTCTGTGCTCCTGGGCACACCTGTCCATCTTGTCCTACCCTGAACAAATCTAGTATGAAGTTCAACTCATAGAGCAAAAAAATAAGCAAAAATTTACAAAACTGAGCTACTGTGATTGGAAGAAAACTCCCTTGTAAGAAACTGGCTGTATTCTACATTTAGACAACTCCTACAGATGGAGAGTGGGGGAGTTGAGAAACTATTCTGGCAGGAAATGCCAGTGGAAGGGGTAAGGTGGAAAAATCTCCTCAGGTGGGCAGTTCATTTATGGAAGGGAGAAATATGCAAACAACTTGTGTGGTGGATGGCAAACCCATTGTTCTCCTGGCAGAAGCCAGCAGCCAACAGTTTGGGAAGGTAGCTGAGGAAGTTGCTGCCAGGGACCTGCTTGGCACCTTTCCCAGAACCTCTCACCTTGTTTTCTGCAGACTGGTTTCTATGTGTTGCTTCTAAGATAGTGATGAACTGTCGATACTGGGGGTTTGTCCAGCGACCAATACCTAGAAAAGAGAGGATAGAAAACAGGATAACTAGCTAACCCCAGGAAAGGGTAACAGGATACCTGAGTTATAGAGAAAGAATTGAGGGTGGGGAAGGAGAAAGCCCTGGGAAAAGGAAGGGAAAAAGGACCTGAAGGCCTCAGAGCTACAGAAACAGAACTTCCTTTATATCCTCCTCTCCTTAGCTTCTTCAGTCTGTTTTATTGACCTTTCATTTTCCAGGATGTTCATAATCTTGCAAAAATGGATTTTCCGAATTTTACTGACACCTTTCTCCAATGCTTGCTTGCCTTCTGTCTTCTTTTTTATATAGTCTATTGTTCCTCACAGGGAACTCTGGTGCCCTAATGATAAGAACCTATGCTGTAATTCCAAAGGCATCTGGCTCAAATCCACCAGCTGCTCCACAGAAGGATGGGCAATCTCCTCCCCTGTGATTTCTGGCCTCTGAAAACCTGCTGGAAGGTCAGTTATGGGTCAGTTCCAACTCAATGGCACACAACAACAGCTGTTTCTTTAACCTCCTACAATATGCCTTCATAGTCTCTTACTTTCACCCCATAATCACTTCTTGATTGAATCAAATTACTCTTCCTCAGTTATCAACTACACCACTCAACACGCTTCCTATTCCTTCAAAGTACTTACATCTCTGTTTCCTGGGCCTGTCCCAGGCCTCCTTCCAATTCCTGGATAGCTCTCACCTTGACTTCTTTCTACTTCCCTCTGACAAAAAGAAATAATCCTTAACACTTAGCACTTTTCTCTCTTCACTGGGCCCCTCTGATACTTTCCCTTCAATGCTGAGGAGTCCCAAATGCTGATCCAATTACTATCCTACACATGGGAAACATCAAGAAGCAAGACCTCGGGGAGCTCTGGTGGCCTAGTGGCAAGAAGCTGGAACTACAATCCCAGAGGTGCACGGTTCGAATCCACCAGATGCTCTGCCGGGGAAGGAGGGACAATCTCCTCCTGTACCAGTCAGATCTGATTTGACGGTACACGCACACAAAAATAAAATAAAATTAAAAAACAAACAAAAAGAAAACCCAAAAAAACCTGAGATTATAAAAAAAAAAAGAAGCAAGACCTAACCACCAGGCCTTCACAGAAATGGCATTCTGGTTGGAAGTAAATAATATATAGTTATATACAAAAACATTTTATTTCTATGTAAACATAGGGAGCTCTGGTGTTCAGGTGGTAGGGAGTTGCTCTGCCAACCCAAAGGTAGGCGGTAATAATCTACCAGCTGCTCTGAGAGAGAAAGATGAGCAATCATCCCCTGTGGGATTTACAGCCTTTGAAAATCTGCTGGAGGGTCAGCTATGAGTCAGGTCCAACTCCACTGCACGTAACAACAACATGTATAAATACACAATTTATCCACCTATGATTCATAGTTAAAGATATTTGCAGTTTAATAAATAAGTAAATTAGATAATTTCAGAAAGTGATGTACTATAAAGTAAAATCAGAAAGAATTCATCATCAAAGGTAAACCCCAAAACAATAGAGAATGGAAGTAGAATGCTGTGTATGGATCACTGCCATTTATATAATGCATTGTGTATAGTCACTATATTTCATTACTTTTTTTCACTTCTTTTAATTTTTATTTTTTATAGCATATTCTTCCCATTTAATTTCTCATTCATTCATTGTTGCACATTTTCCTCTCTGCCCACCACTCCCCTCCAGGTCACTTTTCTCTTTGAAAAGAAAAAAAAATCTCTCATTGTTATACAATCCATCCCCCAAGTCCACAGTCCACTTTACCATGCATTTCCTTTTCTTTTTCTGGAATCTTGTCAAGACAGTAATACCTAATCATATATTCCTTCTAAACAGTTCTCTCCGTCATCTGTTTCAATGCAGTATACATTATTTATCCCCCTTTTTTTAAAATCTCCTCTCTTCTTAGGTTCCCTCCAACCCCAATGTCAGTCCAGTTTTATAACAGTGGCACTACGCAGTATTTGTCCTTTTGTGACTGAGATATCTCACTCAGCATAATGTCCTCCAGGGTCACCTATTTTGTATAATATTTCATGAGGTCCTTATTTTTCAGTGCAGCATAATATTCCATTGTGTAAATATACCAGGGTTTCTCTAGCCATTCATTTGTTGATGGGCACTTGGGTTGTTTCCAACTCTTTGTTATTGTGCACAAAGCAGCAATAAATATGGGTGTGCATATCTGCTTGGGTGGCAGTTCTGGTTTCTTTAGGGTATATTCCCAGTAATGGAATTGCTGGGTCAAATGGTATTTCTATTTGCAACTTTTTGAGAAAATGTCATACTGCCTCCATAGTGGTTGCACCAAATAGTTCATTAGTTCAAAGACGTATTTTTTTCATACTTGAAAATCAGGATGCATTTTACAACTAATGGCAGCTTAGATTTGATGAAATGAGGCACATAGTTTGGAAAAGTATACAGATTTTATATGTGGAAGGGTTTTAAAAAACCACCCTCACCAGATGACAGTGGTGACTTCTGAAGAACGTGGGGTTGGGGGGGAACCAATGGGAACTCCTAACTCCATGGTAATACTTCATTAACACAAATAGTATTTGAAGATTATCATAAAATATTAGCATTTTTGTTCTTTTTTGATAATTTTAGTCCCTGAACTTTTCTGTATTTAAATTTCTTTTTCTAAAAAATTAGAAATAAAGGAAACTAAAAATTAAGTTGTAACTTGTCAATAGGGTGCCGAGAGAAGCCTCATCTGAAGATGTGGGGGTAAATGTCACAGGTAGGTCCTCATGCCAGACTGGCCCCAACTGCTGTAACCCATCAGCCTTCTTCTCTAAGCATTCTTCTCACTTGGCTTTTCCTGTTTGCACTCACCAGCAATCATGGATCTGCTTTGTCTTTTTTTTTTAACTGTGAGATGCAACATACATACATAAAATATATTCAGTTTAAAAAAAATTCAGAGCCAATTCATGACGCTACTACCAAAATCGACAAAGAGAACAAAGCCACCACTCCCCCAGGAGTCCTTAGTATCCTATATACTCCTCCTTTCCCTTCAAAGGTAATCATTCCTTTGACCTTCAAGATAATCATGCCTTTGTTTTTCTTTAGTGTTATGTCATATACATGTGTCCCTTTTATTTTTATTCATTTTAATGAACATTTACAGAGACTTTAGATTTCCATTCATTCATGTTGGCACTTTTCTCCCTGGCCAACCTCCACCCCCCCACCCAGTTTGCTCTTCTTTTGAAAAGAAAAATTCTTTCATTGTTATACAATCCACCCCCTCCTCCCCAAGTCCACTCCACTATACAGCCTTCATTCTGGACTCCTGTCATGACAATAATACCTAATAACATAACTCTTTTAAACAATTTTCTCCCTCATCTGTTTCAATGCAGTATATATGATTAATCCCATCTTTCTCAGTTTCCCCCCCAACCCCGATGTCAGTCCCGTTTAACAGTGGCACTATGCAGTATTTGTCCTTTTGTGACTGAGATGTTTCACTCAGCATAATGTCCTCCAGGCTCACCCATTTTGAATATTTCATGAGTTGTTTATCAATGCAGCTTAGAATTCCACTGTGTGAATATACCACAGTTTTTCTATCCATTTGTTTGTTGATGGGCACTAAGAGCGTTTCCAACTCTTTGCTATTGTGAACAAAGCTGCAATAAACATGGGTGTACGTATATATGCTTGGGTGGTAGTTATGGTTTCCTTGGGCTATATTCGCAGTACAGGAACTGCTGGATCAAATGGTAGGTATTCCTATTTGCAACTTTTTGAGAAAGTGCTATACCGCCTTCCACAGTGGTTGCACCATTTTACACTCCCACCAACAGTGAGTAAGGGTTCCAGTTCCTTTTGAACTTTAAATAATCAAATACAGGCAGTATATATTATTTTGTGGCCAGCTTTTTTCATTCAACATGCTTGTAAGACTCATCTGCATGGCTGGTGTAGCTCCAGTTCACTCCCTTGTATTATTAGCAAGTATTCTGTCTCACAATTTTATCACAAAATGTTAATATTATCCATCCTATTGGCCATCAGAGGGGTTTATAGTTTAGGATTATTACAGACAATGTTGCATGCTATATACTCTTACAGATGTGCAGGAGTTTCTCTAGTAGATATCTATGAATAGAGCTAATGGTTGGAAGGGTATATGATGGAGGAACCTGGCATCCTAGTTAAAAGCACTCAGCTGCAAACCTCAAAGGGTGGAATTCAAGGCTACCAACTGTTCTGTGGGAGAGAGATGTGGCAGTCTGTTTCCATCAGGGTTTACAGCCTTGTAAACTCTACAGGACAGCTTTACTCTATCCCATAGGGTTGTTAAGAATTAGAATCAATCAGAGGGTGGTAGGTTTGGTTTGAGGTCTTTCAAGGGTATGTGTACTTTTTTCCAAGAAAATGGCAAACTTTTCTAGGTTTTTTGTTTTATTTTTCACATGTATGACTAAATTCCTTTAAAGAAAAGATTATGTCTTAGTTCATTCTCAGTCATCCCCTCCCCAGGTAGCACTCAACTATATTTGTAGAAGTTACTTAATTAATACATAGTGATAATGGACAGATTCAAACCAGGCTTCCCCTCCACTTACCTCGGAGGCAGGCTACGCCTGCTAGCAGCAGTAGCAACGTCCCAGCATAGTGAGAAAACGGCACCACTTTGGATAAACTCAAGTAACCTGGGGAGGGAAGATGGACCACATAAGCAGCTCTCCCCTCTGCCCTTTAGCTTCTCTTCCCAACTGCCCAATCTCCAAATGATACCCACTTTTTAGGATACCTACACTGTAAGAGAAAGAAGATGCTTGATGGAAGAAGGAAATCAAGCCATCCTCACAGGCCCCCTTTCCTCTTCAGGGGGCCAATGCATTTGCCAACAATCTGCCCGCTTCCCCCACCATCTTTGAGAACACACTGACCTTTCCTGTACAAGTAGAAGAAGGCGAAGGGAGAGGAGTAATAAGAGATGGACCAGAAGACTGAAGCCTACAGCAAAGAAATGGGGACAAGTAGTCAATAAATATGCACACACACAAACCCACAGTTCTGCTATTTCTAGACCTAATTTCTGAGCAAGGTGGGTAAACTCAAGGCTAGCCAATCATGTATAATATTAAGCTATTGTATCAGTGCATAACATCAAGTACACAGTAGGGGCTATGGTGTCTGCTGAACAGCTCTTATCCTCCTCCCCTGCAATCACCTCTGGATGGATATAAGTCCGTCAAATTTAAAGACTAGTCTCCTTACTCAAGTTAATCAAGCTTTCTCAAATGGCATGCTCAGGATCTCAATTGGAGATCCTGGCCTGATCTCCAAGAGATGCGCAAACGTCACCATAGGAACCCAGCCAGAGAGAACAGCTGTCTCTGCAGCCAAGGAGGCTAGTTGCCAGGGAGGACAGGTCACTGGGGACTGCAGGACTTAGAACCTGCAGATGGTCTCCAGGGTAAAGATGTTTTCCTTGTGGCTCAGGCTGCCCTAGAGAAATGGGGGTTCACCAAAGAAGAGTGCTAAGTATGTGCACTAGAGAGTGTGTGTTTGTGCTACTGAGTCCAGAGCATCCCCCACCTTCAGGACACTGCCTTCTTCCAGCCTAGGGAGGACTAAGTTCAAAAGGGCAGACAAGTCTAAAAGATGCAGTGAGTCCCAGATGCCAGGGCTGACATACCAGCGCCAGGATGCTGTCGGCATGTTTCTCCAGGGCACGGGGCTGATAGTATGAATCCTGCCAAGAAAGATGGGCTCATTAAGGACCCTGCTCACCAGCATACACTTATAGAAACCCAGAGGCGTCCCCTCTAGTTCTGGATCTCAAAGATAACTTTCCCAGGACATCCCTCCCTTTGCAAATGTGAAGCCGTTCTTTCCCACCTCCAACCTGTGCCTGGTTTCCCACCCCAGAGAGGAAGTACAAGGGACCTGGACATGGAAGCAAAAGTGAAAGAAGCATGGGGAGACTTTTGCTCCTTTTTTACAACTCAGGTTCAAATTCTACAACCCAGGGCTGTGAAAGTGTGCATATGGGGATGTGAGCGAAGAAAGATGACACCAGGACAACTTTAAGAGGGCTGTAAGAGCATCAATAATAAGGCAGGTTGATTACGGATGAGACAGACCTTTCGGATGACTGTGGCAGTTTGTAGGGGACAGTAAACATAATGTGAAACCACCCACAACAACAATAAAAGATCATATTTAGAGGCACAGCCTACCACCATCCCTAGTTTTCATGACTTGGGGTCTCCAGATTAAACTGGGGAGAGAAGGAGGGGCAGATACAGGAAATGTAGATGTCATTTTGGAACTCAAGCCAGTGTACAGAAAATAAACGGAGCGGGAAGAGCATCCAAGAATCACCGAGGCAGAAGAAACTGGGTAACTACGGAAAAATCCACCAGCTCCTGGATCGGTGGAGGGTCTCTTTTAGGGTTTAAGAGTCAATTGAGACCACCAGGCAGGGTGGGGGCCGCGGAGAGGAAAATCCCAGGAATGGAAATCTAAATGACAAACTGGTACACAAACAGCAATATATAAGCTAGGCCCTTAAGTATGACTTTAATCCATGAAAGACAAAGATTTCAGACTTTGTGGACAACTGGACAAGCTCCCCCTATTCGTATAATGAGCACTTCTAAGAAGCAAAGGCCGCAAAGAGGTTTGGGCAGTACCATGTTATTAATCGGTGGGGAGAAACTCGACTCACCCAGGAGTTGGAAGATGAGGTGGTAACTGAAGTTGGAGTTTCAGGGACACTCGATGGAGTCCTTTCTGAGTCCCTTTCTCGGTAGATTTTGTAGAGCCGGGGGCCTAGGACGCAGCTCAGTAGCTTCGCCATGGCCCCGGCTAGGGCCGCTGCTCCTTCGGCAGCAGGTCCCCCGGCTGGCCCCGCCCTCCTCCAGCCGCTGAAGAACTGCGTGCTCTTGACGTCAGCGCGTACTGGCTCCGCCTCGTGGCGAGTCGGAACATTTTCAGCACTTTTTGAGAAGAGCTTCGCGCCGGTGGGCTACGGATTCAGCAATGGTCAGAAATTAGTGTGGAGGCGTTTGGAATGCAGAGCGTTAGAAAAGTATTCAGCATAGTTAGATCTTTTTTCTTCCTGGCAGACTCTCCAGCGAGAGTAGGAGCGAGGGGTAAGATTATGAACATTTGACAAGGAAACAATTAAATAAACGGAATGCGCGAGTACATAAAGAAAAGTAGCAAAAGTGGTTGAAGAAGTAAAGGCGGCTTGGATAATTCGAGAGCTACACCGTGGTCAAGGTGCCCTGGTGTCACAACGGTTAATTGCTGGGCTGCTCAGCATTGTTAAGCAGTGTCTCTACAGGAGAAACAGCAGGTGATCCGCTTCTGTAAACATGACAGCCAAGAAAACTCTTTTGGGCAGTGCTCCTTTTGCATGCGTTGTCACTGTTAAGTCAAAACCAGCTCACAACACCTAATATCAACACTCGGGCCATGGATAACAAGGCAGTGTTGTAAAAATGTGTGATCTGTTTGTGAAAAAAAAAATTAGTCATTCTTACTCAAGTAGAAAACTGAAAACCATAGTGATTGCAAAAACAAAGTGTCAGAATAGCATTTGTGTAACATTTTAAAACATCAAATTGAGTTAACTGAAATGTTAATTTCCTATATCTTACCAAGTATACGTTTTTGTTGTTAGGTTCTGTGGAGTATGATTCATAGCGACCCTGTGAACAAAAGATCTGAACTCTGTTCTGTCCTGCGCTGTCTTCACACTTCCGGACACACAGAGTCCATTGCAGCAGTCACCTTGTCAGTTCACCTGGTTGAGGGTCCTCCTCTCCTTCACCGACCTTCCACCCTTCCTAATATCATGTCCTTCTCCAAGAAATAGACCCTCCTAGCAACATGCCCAAAGTATGTGAGGAAAGCCTCATCGTTCTTGCCTCCAAAGAGCACTCCAGCTTCACCATCTCTAAGATAGATCTGTTCTCTTGGCTGTCTGTCCATGGGATGGATGTTCAGTGCTCTTCTCCAACACCACAGCTCAAAGGTGTCAATTCTTTTCTTGTCATCCTTATTTGTTTTCTAGCTCTCAGATGCATAACAAGTAATAGGAAAAACTATGTATGGCCTGAATCAGACACACCTTGGTTCTCAAACTGACGTCATTACTCTTGTCAGTAATTTGGAGAGGTCCTTAACTGAAATGGTAATTTTCTATATCTTAACAGGTTTGCTTTGTCCTCCTCCTTTGTACCTTACTTACTGCCATCAAATTGATTCTGATTCAGTGTGGTTCCCTGTGTTCCTGAATAGAACTACACTCTATTGGGATTCAAGGAAGCCTTTTTTACCAGGCCTTTCTTCCACCAGAGCATGACAGCTTATCCTTCAAACTAACAGCTTATCTGTTAGTAATTGAGAGCACCAAATGAATGTATCCATATAATCAACATCCCAACAAAGAGGACATCTTTACCAGCTCCTTACTCCACCCAAAGTAGAAGCACTATCCTAATTACTAACTCCCTAATTTAGTCTTACATATTCTTGCACTTTACATAATATGTTATGTGCTGTTTGAATGTTGTTCTATTTAATCTTCTTAGGTTTGTCAGGGAACTCTGGTTGTGTAGTTCTTAGAGAATTGTGCTAATAACTCAAAGGCTCACCTCTCCGCTGGTTTGAATCCACCAGCTGCTCTGTGAGCAAAGATGGACATCTTTTCCTGTGTGATCTACCGATTTCGAAACCCACTGGAGGATCAGCTATGAGTTGGTTCCAACTCAATGACAATGAGTTTGTTGTTTGAGGTTGTTGTTTTCAACAAGTTTTTAGGTTTATTAGCATCAGCTCTGTTGTTTGTTATTGTAGTTTGCTTAGTCTTATGGCTGTCCATTGTACGGTTATTTATTCATACTGCCTTTTTAAAAAAAACAGTTTTTGCTGTGATAAATATGTAAATAAAACAAGTTTTCTGTTTCAACAACCTTCATATGTACAGTTCAATGACATTAGTTATGTTCATCATATTACTCACCCATCACTGTTTGTCCTTCCTATATTTTTCCATCTCCCTTAACAAAAGCTTGGTGTCCCCTAAGTGGTGTAACTTCCTTTCCTCCTCCCTTCCTCTTGCCCCAGATAATCCTAGTAAAGTTTGGTTTTTACGCACTTCTATATTCTATAGATGGCAAATAAGCAAAAGCACACAATATTTGTCCTTTTGTGACTGACTTACTTCACTCAGCATGCTTTCACAGTGTTATATCTTATGTATGTGTGGCATATTTAATGTAAAATAATTTTAAATTTAGCTCGGGTATCCTAGTGGCAAGAAGCTGCACTACAATACCGAAGGCACAAGGTTTGAATCCACCAGATGTTCTGCTGAAGAAGGATGTGTAGTCTCCTCCTATGCCAATGGATCTGACTCGATGGCACACAAGGAAAAATAAAAGTAAAATAATATTAAAATATAAGTAAGTGGACTTTTAAAATTTTTATATTAATTTTTTATTGATATTTTCTTGAAACTTTACAGAAAACTTAGATTTCCATTCATTCATTGTTGCACATTTCCCTCCCAACCTTGCCCCCATTTGTTTTTCTCCTTAAAAAGATTCTTTCATTGTTGCACATGGACTTTCTTTTTTTTAAAAAAAATAATTTCTTTTAGTTATGAAAGTTCACGGAAAAGTTGGATTTTCATTCATTCATTATTGCACATGGACTTTCACAATAAGTCTGACACATTACAAAGTTTTACAAGTGTTTGAAGATCTGCCCTGAGAGAGTCCTGTCAGGGTCAGAAGGATGAATCAGTAACTTCTCCAGGTCCCTGCTATCTTTCTCCATTACTGTGGATAATAACTTGGTGTATTTACCATGTGCTCATCAGAAAAGGTCTGTGGTGTGCCAGACAACTAGAAGACAAGTCATTCCAGATCATTTATGGGGTTCTAACTGGGTGTTCAGTCTTATGCTGAGGCATCTGTAGACCAACATGACAACTCAGCTCCTTCGTTCATGGTTATTATCTCTTAGGGCAGGAAAACAGACCACAGAATGTACTTCCTGACTAATGGGAGATGGACATCATGGCCCTTTTTGTGCAGGTTTTTAGCATTGACAGTCTTTGATCCAAGTACCCAGCTATTTGGAGTCAGATGGGGTTAAGAGGTGGTTTTCCAAGTAGCGTAGACAGCCCTCTTTCACCTCCCTTCCTCCCCCCTCTCAGGACCAAGAGGTGGTGGTTACTTTTCCCCGGTGAACATGCAGCTGAATTTTATCTCTCCAGAATTCATATGACCACCAGAGGCCCATGTCACTCCAGTGCGGGCAGTGTGGGCCTTTATCTAGAGACTGTTTCCTCCCTGAGTATACCAAGCCCCAGCACAAGCAAACAGCGGCAGGCTCTCCTCATGGCAGTTTTATTCGTCTTTCTTTTATTCTTATGCCAGCGTTCCCAGGCTTCTTCAGGTAAGAAATAGAAGGAGGGGGAGTCCTTGAGCTGTTTCAAAGGTTTGAAAGGGGTTCCTGCTATTTCTCCTTAGAGTTCTGGGTTAAGTATCTGACTTAAGATTTGTGCCAAGTAGCCTCTTCTTTCTAGCACAGGAGAAGGTATTAGACAGTAAGGGTCTAGGCCATGTAGTTTCCTTTAGAAAACAATGAATAGAGGAATAAATGCTTCCAGAAAAAGAGAAATGAGATGAAGAGAGACAGGCATTTGCCAACTGTTCTAGACTTTTTTTCCTTTTGCCCTCTCAGATCATCTCATTGGTTAAGAAAAGGGGAAGAAAACCCTTGTCCCTTAACCTCTTTAAGCTGTTATTTTAAAAGTGTGCTCACCATCACCAACAGAAAAGAAGCAAGAGGATGTAATGTGTCCCTTAGGCACAGAGAGTCTTGCACTGTTCAGACCAGGGCCTAGGTGAGCAGCAGCCATAGCAGACACAGTAGAGAACACGAGACCTGATGTGAGGCAGAGTGGACCTTGGGGCTGTTCTGCTGGTGAGCCAGAGTGAAGAGCCTTTTGCCCAAGTTAGTTGGAAGACTGATAGGGAGAGCCATAATTGGCAGGACTGAGAGCTTTGTAACACTGGCCTAAAGCTGTGAAACTCAGGGCGGAGGTGCCTGCAAGTATGTTTCAGAAGCTGTTCTGATTGACTATGTCTTGCTGTCAACCTGAATTATAGCATTTTGACTTCCCTTAAAAAAAAACCAAAACAAAACAAAAAATGTGCTCACCAGCCAGGTTAGTGTTGAGGGACCCTAAAAGGAGAAGAAGTTAAAGATTGGAAGTTGAGTGGGGAGTTGTCATTCCTGAAGATCTCTGGTCTCATACACACTTCTCCCCATAGAGAACATCCAACCCATCTATGTGGCCTTAGGGGAGACGATGGAGCTTCCATGTCCCTCACCACTTACCCTGTATGGGGACGAATATCTGTCCTGGTTCCGAAGCTCTGCAACAGGTTCCTCTACTTCCCTGGTGACCCAAGTCCAAATGGCCAGACCAATCCCAGACCCCTGGAAACTCGGAAGGGAATCCAGGCCAAGACTACTGGGAAACTACTCTCTATGGTTGGAAGGGACCAAGGAGGGGGATGCTGGACGCTACTGGTGTGCTGTGCTGGGCCAGCACCACAGGTACCAGAACTGGAGGGTGTATGACGTCTTTGTGCTCAGCGGTAAGTGGGTGCATACAAACCTGGGCCACTAGGGGGTGGGGAGGCACAAAGAACTGAGGGGTCTTCTCTTTCCCCACAGGTTCCCAGTTATCTGCAACGGATGCACATGGATCTCCCTGCTCTGTCCTCCTGTGCTCTGTGATTCCTCCCAGACACCTGGACTCTGTGACTTGGCTGGAGGGAAAGGGGCAGGTGAAGGGCCGTGTACAGTCCTTCTGGGGAGAAAGGGGAGCCCTGCTCTTAGTGTGTCCTGGGGAGGGGCTTCCTGAGTCCAGAGGCCGCAGACCAAGAATCATCCGATGCTTTGTGTCTCAGAACAAAGGAATCAGTTTCAGCCTGACAGGTAAACTGAAAGAAATGGAAGGAATGGTGGGTATATTCCATACTTGCTGGCTAGAGAAGGTTGTGAGACAGGAGGCCAAGCTATTACTGGCCAAATAAAGCAATGGATGACTTCTGGGGGAGCAGACCCATTGTCTTATCCATAAGGCGATGGATGACTTCTGGTAGAGTAGGGGGATTAGATTAATTTGTGACTCTTTTGGAATTGCCCAAGTGAAGAGGAAAACACTAAGATTTATTTCAGTAGGAGGTTTTCTTTTTTTTAAAGAAAGGATATATTTTAAAAAAAAGGAAAAACAACCCAAAAAAGAAAGGATATATGCATTGATGTTAGTATAATGGCCCATTGTCAGTGAAAGCAGAAGGAGAAAAAAAATTATATATATAATTATTTTACAATAAAAAGTTCATCATACAGAGAAGGAATGCTGAGTGTGGAAGAATCCATTTACAAGGCAGGAGGGAGAAGTGAAAAGCCTTTATTTCAGTAAGTAAAGGCCAACGAATGTGCAGTAACTGGAAAAATCTCTTACTTCTTCCTCCTCAGCACCTTATATGGTGCCTGGCATGAGGTGGTTGCTCAGCAAATGTTTACGGATTTGCTAAGTGACTGGAAGAATGTATAAGTGGAAGGCTCCTTAGTTTTTATTTTTATTATATTAAAGAATACTATTTACTATGAAGGGATAAGGGAGAGAAGCACAGTTATAGCTGGTAGTCTCTGTGGAGTTACTTGTCAGGAGGGCAATTCTATACTGATGGTGTATCATGGGATCAAAGTGGGAGGCCTGGAAGGGGACAAAACAGGAGGTGACAAGGATTAGGGACAGGAAAGCACAAAATGTTTTGAAAGAGTCCATTAAACTCTGGAGGAAACTTCTCCTTGGGCACCTGCCTTCCTCTTTCCCTCTTATCTTGCCCTTACTCTAGCCCCTGTGGATGCCTCTCCTGTCATCTGTGCCCCTTCCACAGTCTGGGGTATGCCCTGGATCCTTACACTGCTGCTCGTGGCAGGCCAGGCTGTCACCATCCTGACTCTCAGCATCATGCTTTGGAGGCGCAGGGTGCAGGGGACTCAGTGCACAGGTGAGTCCTCCCCAGTGGGAAGAAGGAAGGTTGTGAGGTTGCCTTTCACACCTCACTTTTTTCTGGGAAAGAGGGTGGCAGGGAACATAGCTCAGGGTTATCTGGTGCCTTCATTTCCCTACCCTATATGACTGCTCCCCAGATACCTCAACTCATCAGTTCAAACCAGAAATCCAAGTCTACGAGAACATCCATTTGGCTCATCTACGGTGAGGAGAAAATAAAGAGCACAAGCTTAAATCCCTGAAGGGACTGAGGATGGAGGGGAGACACTGGGAATAGGGGATGAGGATGGAGATTTTTTTTTTTAGGTGAATTAATTTTTAAAAAGAAAAGACACCAATTCAATAATTTTCATTTGTGCAATCCAGTAACATTGATTACATTCTTCAAGTTATGCACCCTCCTTTTCTTGATTAGCCCTCCTCCGTTAATAAAAACTTCTTGCCCCCTAAATTTCCTATCTAATATTTTGAGCTGCTGCTGTCAATATGCTTTCATACAGACAATTCTTAAAATGAGCACAGTGTTCAAAAAAAAAATGAGCACAGTGTTCAAGGCAGAGGCTTTATTCATTTGAGTGAGATATTTTTTTGCTTCAAAGAAGACATCAGGGGATATTTTCTTTTTGAAAATTTAGTGAGCATTTCCACAGGAGAAGGATGGGCAATCTCCTACTGTGTGATTAACTGCCTCTGAAAACCCACTGGAGGGTCAGGAATGGGTTGGTTCCAACTCTATGGTACACAACAACAACAACAACAAGTGGACATTTCAAGGGTAGTAGTTCTGGGGGCTTGTCTAGTCCCAGTGGCTCCGGAAAGTCTGGGTTCTGTAAGAATTTATAATTCTTTTCCACATTTCCCCATTTTGATCAGGATTCTTCTATGGAAGAAAATGGAGGTATGCTTAATCTGGCTCTCTGTTTCACTATTCCACAGCCCACCTGCCCCCAAGACCAGGTAGGTAATCTTGGTGACGTCTCCTGCTGAGAAGTGTGACCAGTTATCTCCCTGGCCATTTGGCACTTAAAGGATTCCCCAGCAACCTGAGACTTTGTGGAAGAGAGGAAGACTAAACGTTGATTTCTCAGTCCAGCTGGTCTCCAGCTGCCAGACTCTGGTGGGGAAGGGGCTGAAGGAAAAGGGGAGCCTTATCTGGTGATGCCATCTATGAAAAGGTGTGCTCTTCTGTCCTGTAGCAGCTAATGAAGGGTGGTCTTGAACCCCTTGTGTGGTGGTGATTGAGAAGATCCTAAAGGAACTGATGAGGGAAGAACTGAGAGTGGACAGAGATGAGACAGAGAGAGAGGAGTCCAGAGATCTTGCCTGTGCAAAAGTAATGAATCAACTATGGGAGAAGCAAAAGGACAAATGAGAGAAACTGAGAGAGAAAAAAGGGAAGAGAGTGAAGTCAGCCTAAGAGAACAGAGATGGACAAAGAAATGGAGGGAAAACAGGCCAAAAGGTGGTAGAATTGAGAGAGAGAAAGAGAGCAGAAAAAATATTCCACTCCTCCCCAAATTAAACCAGACATCCCCCCACCTCAATAAATAAGAGAAGACACTGAAAGAAAAACAAGAACCTTGAATCAGATTATGGGTTTCCTTAGACTGAAAGGGAGAAAACTGAATCAGAGAGGGGAGTGACTCTCCTGAACCCTCCTTATCCCAGATGCACACACACTCCTCGGTGGGCAGTTTATCACTGACGCCCAGTGACTGTCCACTGTCTGTGGGTAAAGGGAGTATCCCTCTGGCTGGCAGACAGATTCCTCTGTAGCACTCTAGGAGGGGCAAGTTATCAGGCCTAAGAACTCACTGTCACTTGTCACTGCAGACTGAGGGCAAGTCTGGGCTGGTGAAGCAGGGACAGGTGTTGATGTTTCCAACTGGTCACAACCTGGTCTCTGGGCAGAAGAAAGCTGGACTCCAGGCCACACCCTTGCAAGACAGTTCAGCAGGCCCCATGCATGCCCCTGCTCTAAACCAGGCCTCACTGGAGAGAAGCCTGGGAAGTCTTGCCTAATGCCTTCAAGGTGCAGTGGCTTAAGCTAAGCCTTTGGCAAGAGAGAAGACGCGAGTGACACAGATGGAGAATGAGGTGAAAGTTCTGGTTCAGGTTCCTGCACCCCAGCCCCATCCACCAAGTAGTGTGGAGATACACATATACACACACAGACAGTTACCGAAGTCCCAGATACCCTTTTTATGAAAGGAAGTATACTCCCCATGTGCTCCTTCCAGAGTTCCTGAGCTACCAAACTGGTCTTTCTTAGTGAGACCCTCTCCACCATATCTGGTACACCTTGAATCCTTTCACCTGGGACCTAGAGCTCCATTGAAATACCTGCCTTATTAGAGACTAAAAGAAGACATCAGCAATGGACATCTGGAAAGCATCTGCAACAGGTGTCCTTTATTAGACTGGGCTCTACAGGGAGTAGAGCCATTTTTGTAGGAATCTGATCTTCAGAGGGGTCTGTCAGGGGCTAAATTCAGGAGTCTGAGATCCCTGACCAAAACTGGGCTCTTGGGTAGATCTAAAAAGGGTCTTTACAGGTACTCCTGGGGACATGGTGATGGAAGAGGTGTCTTGCATGGGAATTGCAAATCTGTGGCTAGTGGAAGAGGTGGCCTCCCCAGGTGAAGCCAGCAGCAAGAAGAAGTGGAGTGGTGAGGAGGAGGGGGCTGGGGAGCCTCTGCCGGGCCATGGCCGAGTTGCACAGGTCCTGATGGCAGCAGCGGTGCAGCAGCGTGTAGGAGCGAGACCAATAGGTGGCTTGGCCTTGCAGGGGGCACTGGGACTTTAAGATGCAGCCCCTCCGTTCAATGGTCTCACCCTGCTCTGTGGAACAAAGGGGAATAGTGAAGGGAGCCAGAAGAAGCTGGTGGGAAGGGCAGGAGATGGGCAGAGGTGCAAGTAGGGAGTTACTTGGAGAAGGACCATCAGACCAAGGGTCCTACCTGAGGTACCAGTGCTGATGCTACAAACTTCATCATCCTGACACTCAGTGGGGACAGGATAACAGGGTTTGGCAAAATTGCAGAGATAACAGCGGAGCCGTCTTGGGGCAGGAGAAGTGTTGAGACCTGTAGGTTAGATTTGAGAGCCCAAAGGAGGGAAGCACAGGGAGGACAGGATGGGGAAGAAAGGGCAGACAGGAGTAGGAACAACGGGTTAAGAAAATAGGGAAGGGAGACCATGCAAGAAAAGAACGGGTTTAGACATGACATAACATGAACAAAAGCCAAGAGAAACAGCCAAACATGGAGACAGTGACACAAAAATCAAGTAAGGAAGTGAAGACATTAAGTAGATGGTGCCAGAGACAGGTGACAAAATAGGAGTTGACCAAGGGAGGCAGGCAGAGGTCCAGAGAAGAAGCAAAGGGTGAGGTGAGAGACAGTTCAAAGAGTCAAAGACACACAACAAAGAGACAAGGAAGAGGTAGTTAATCTCAAATGCCTTTGAAAAAAAAACTTTTTACCTCAACTTTTTCCCCTTCCACCATTCAGGCTATTCTGACACCATTCCCAGTAGATACTTTGTTTAAGTATCACAATTTTCATCTTCTCTGGACACTACTTCCCAGTCCACAGGCTGCTTCACAAGCCTCTTGCCCGAGTCCCCTGGCCCTGAGGGTTCCTGGGATCCACCCTTACCCAGTGCCCCACAGAGGTATAGGAGGCAGAGGAAGATGCTGGAGGTCCCCATGGCTGACTTCAGAGTCCTGGAGACTGGGAGAATGTGCTCTGCCCTCTGAGATCTTCAAGAGCTGGAGCATCAGTGTAAGACTGGGAGGGACCGAAAAACAAACATATCTTGACAGTCAATCTGCGAAGGTGGAACAGGACCAGATTCGCCAGCCAGACAAAGCAGCAGAAGACTCCTACCCTCCTCTCCTACCACCCACATTTGTCACCTCCTCCCTGTCCCCTACTCCAGTCCTCCCTGCCCTTGAGGGTCTTCCTTAGTTGCCTCTGTGTTAGTTTTCTCTTAGCTTGTCTGTCTGCCACTCCGGAGGTGTGTCTGCCACCTTCTTTTCTCCTCCTCTCCCTCCCTTCCCTTGTTTCAGCTGTTCTTTGCTCTCTCGACTTCATTTCCCTGTCTTGTTTTCTCTGTCTTTTCCCACTCAGTGTTTGTGCCTATCAAGGTCACTTCCAAACTGCTGGCCCAGATTTGAGGGAAGTGAGAATTGGGAATCAAACAACACATCAGTCCACCACCCCAACCTTACAGACACCAAAGTCTAAGTGTATGAGAAAGGGGACCCCACCCAGCTTCAGATCCCTTTGATTCCCCCAAGCCTCAATGTTACTACCCCATAATTATACCTTTTAGCTTTACTACCTTGGAGGAAAGGCTTAATCATGGGTGGGACCGGAAGGACAGATATTTCCACTGGTGGGTGGGAAGTTTGGTGGTCAGAAGTACTGAGAAGGTATATATGGAGGATCCGAGAATATTAGGACACTCTAGGAGGATTTAGCACAGGCAGCATAGGGTTGTTATGATAAGGATCCTGAAGTCTGGAGCTTAAGAGTTTGAAGAGAAGAGACAAGTAGCTTCTATAAAATCAATACAGAAACGTGCCAGGAGGATTAAAACTGGGAAGAAAGTGGACGACATAGGAGAGAGAAAAGGAGGCATCTGTAGAGCAATAGTTTACAAAAAGGTTTTAGTCTTAAAATTTATAACCACATTTTCCCCCCATCTCAGGACACTCTTTAAGTCACAAGAGACCTCACAGAACTTTGCTTTGTATTGAGTTATAGAAATATTTAGAAATAAAAACAGAAACATTTCAGTAGCTATTTAGAAATTTAGTTAAGATTAAAATAATAAACCTAATATATTTTCATGAAAAAAGAGCTATTATTTTCCAACCACAGAGTGAAAAGAATGGTGCTGCTTTACATTTTTACAAATCTATTTAATGTCAGAATTAATAAAAGAGAGATGCTTTTTTTTCTACATCAGTTTTTTTATTCAATCTATTGGATATATAGTTTAGGTGGAAGTATATGAGGAAAAAAATTCAGCCTCACACAGATATATAGTTGGAAGAGAAAGACACTGAGGATCATTCAGCGGGATTTTAGGGGCTCCCAGGAATCACTGGAGTTCACGGGGTAGCACAAATAGTTTGAACTTAGTTACTACAATAAAGGTTGATGATTCAACCCATGCAATGGTCCTTCAGAAGAAAAACTCAGCTATCAGGTTCATCCTGGAGAGGGTTAAACCAGACTGCTCCTTGGAGGCAAGGATTCTGAAGCTTCGTCTGACATGCTTTGGACATGTTGCAAAGAGAGAGCAGTCCTTGGAGAGGGACATCATGCTTGGGAGGGAAGAGGGACAGCACAAGAGAAGAAGACTGTCGATGAAATGGATGGATTCAGTGACTGGGGTAATGGGGGTAGGTGTGTAAGAGACAATCAGGTTGGCACAGGATAGAGCGGGGTTTAGTGCTGTTGTACATAGGGTTGCTTTGAGTCGCAGGTGACTCATTGGCACATAACAACAACAACAACAGCAACAACTGTGGACCTATCTCCTGGGTCACAGTTTTAGAATGGTGACTGAGGATGGAGAAGCTGGGAGACTCTAGAGGATGCAAGAAAGTTCTTTCTCCTTTGAGGGTTGCTTTTTGTCAGGCCTCATTGAGGCCCCTGGTAGATACCCAGCCCCAGGCTGAGGCATAACTCTACCCTCCCCTTTTTATTGTCCCATAAAGACCAAGGCCAGGGGGATATAAGGCTGCTAGAACTAAGCCAGGGAGGGGGGTGGGGAGGAGGGAGAAATTGCTACCTACGCAGGCAAACAAAATGAACCCCCAACTAGCAGGGATCATCCTGCTGGGCACCTTGCTGGGAGTTGCCTTTGGTAAGAAGGCTCCTTCACTCAGCCTGTCCACCCATCTGCCTGTCTGCTGCCTTGAGGGCCTGGGCCCTGATCCAGCACCTCCTCTCCCCTGTCAGGAAACCGAATGCGGTGCTTTGACTGTGGAAGCCCCGGAAGCTCCTGTAAAGATTCAGTAAGGACCTGTGGCGAGGGTGAACGCTGTGGCTTTCTGGAACGCAGACCTCATCCCGGCTCTGAACAGATGAAGGTTTCTGGGAACCGTGAGTCTTCACTGTTTTCCTCTTCTCTTGCCCTTTCCAACCTTTCCCAGTCTCCTCCAATCTTTTGGGCTGCCAAATCTCCCAAGCTCAGTCTGGCTTTGGACAGATGGTGAAGCTGTTTGAGTAGAACAGCCTGTAGTCCCTTCTGGGTGCTGGCACTGAGCCCTCAGAATTCCAGGGTCCTTGTGCTCCACCTCCCTCCTCTCCACTCTCTCAGAAGAAACTCACAGTTCCATTCACTCAAGTACAAATGACTCAAAAAGCTCTATCCTTTGAAGGCAGGGAGCAAAAATATTTAAAGAAGCTTTAACTTTCAGGCTTAATAATTTATTTTGGAAAAATTTTATATTGACAGGATGTTATAGAAATAGTAGTTTCTTTATATGCTTCAACCAGCTTCAGCAATCTTCACCTAATATTATTCAGGGAACTCTTCTGGCTTCTTGTTGTTGTTGTTGTATACGGTCAGTCGGAACTAACCCACAGCTGACCCTCCAGTGAGTTTGCAGAGGCAGTTAATCACATGGGAGGAGATTTTCCATCTTTCTCCCATGACAATGCCACTGGTGCTCCCTTATTTTATAGGATGGTTCTCAATTTGGATGTTACCTGCTATTTTCTCACAGTTCTATTGAGACCATGCATTTGGGGGAGGGGGACAAGAATGCCACAAAGGTGATAATATATTATATCAGAGGTTCCCGATATCTGAGTTTACTTTAATCACTTGGTTCCAGAAAAATGTTTTGAGTGGACTCCCTGAAATCACATCTACTCTGATCCCAAAAGCAAGCCTTCAAGTCAGAGTCCAACACTCTAGTCTCATTCTCTCCTTCAGCCTCAGTGACCGTGATTCATCATCGTCCAGCTTGTGTGGCAGCCCATCATTGCAATCAAGTGGAAACAGAGCTGGTGGGAGACGTGACTTACACCACCCATAAGGACTGCTGCCTCGGGGACCTGTGTAACCACGCCATGGCAAACACTGCAGTCCCAGCATCCATCTGGGCTGCAGCAGCCACCGCCCTAGCCTGGCTCTTACCAGGGCTATGGAGAGGGTAGCGGTAGGGAAGGAAAGGAGGGACATCTGGATATCTCAGGCAAGAAGACACTCTTCTGTGAGCCATTAAAATCTACTAACCGCTCTATAGCTTATTGACAACTTCCATCTTTGGTTGATGAGAGGGTTGAAGTGGTAATATTGGAAGAGGCATCCAGGGTCTAGTGGGGGGCTTACCAAACCTTAGTGAACTTTATTACAGTGGTGCACTTCTTAACTCACTAAGCTCCAAAGGATAATGGTAAATCTATCCAAAGTGACTCCTCGATCGTGTTACTAGGGACACACTTCCAGAGCAATGAGGATTTCTAAGGGAGATGGCTCTGGAGTGAAGATCATCAGAACTCCATGAACCTGGCTGGCTGTGTTTGTCCCCTGTCCTCCCACAGTCTCCCATTCACAATTGGCTTCTAGTGGGACTATTCTGAACTAAGGAAGGAAATGTAAGCTCTTTGACAGGAAAGTTGCTTGCTGCCTTATTTAGTAACCCACCCATATTGCCATCTAACTCTCTTACCCTTTCCGGAGAGCCTTCAAGCCAGGCTGCACCCCTTTCTTGGCAGCACAACAGAGAGGTGTGGCCTCCATTTGGGATAAGGCTTTGTTTCTCCAAACACTAGAGCCTGTGTGTCACCCCAGTACTGAAAGAGAAGATGAAGGTTTGCAAAACCTGTTCCTCCAGCTGGTCCAGCCCCTCTGCCCAGGGAAACTCCCAGAAGGATGCTTAGTGAGAGAGAGGGAATAAAAGTATTAGAATGAATACGGGGTTCTCTCATGGAAGAGTACCTAACAGGTCTACCAACAATAATAAACTTTGCACAGTTTATCAGACATAAAAGTTTATTTATACCCTGAAAACAGATGATATGAGAATGGGGTACATATGAGGACCCAGAGTTTGTGAATCATCTTCATGCAGTAAGGTCATCATGTCCCGTCTAGGAGCCTTCACTGGGGATAACCCAGAAGCCCTATTTCAGACCTGGATTCCACTCTCTCCCTAGTAGGGCAAGGTACAAAAGGCAAAGGGATATCCCTTCAAGGGGATAGTGAAGGATCTGGGATTGTCTAGAAGGGAAATGAGAAGGGACTGGATAAAAGCAAGAGTGAACTGTAGTTGGGGACAGATAGGGAGTCTGGTCTGGGGCAAGGAGAGTGTCTAATAAAACAGAGCAAAAGGATAGGGAGTAACCGTTCTGGGAAGTGAGGGGAAATGGAGACATGGGAAGAGAGGCTCAGGCTGAGGCAGGTGGGGAAAAGGGGTAAACACTTAGTGAGTCTCAGTGCAGCAGCCAGAGGCCAAGAGCAGCCAGGGAACTGAAGAGGATGACAAAGACCGGGGCTGAAGTGGGTCGCGGGGCTGGACTGTTGCAAGCATCTCTGCTGCAGCAAGTGGTATTATAGGTCAGGCCCAGCCTGTGGTTAGTTTGGTTGAAGGCCTCACGGCAGGGTTCAGCTGATGTGCCACAGCGCAGATTGGAGAAAACCCACATCTTACCTGGGGGTAGGAAAGGGCAGAGGGAGGGTCAGCTTCAGCTGGGATGGGGGCCCACAATCAGTGTTCCCTCCCTGCCCTATGCATCTACCCAGGTTCTTTCCTTCTCACTCCTGTCCTTGGCCTTCTTTCTCTCTTCTTATCCAATCTTCCACCCACACTTCCTCACCCCCTTCTCGTTCTCAAATTCTAGTTCTATCATTTATTGGCTGTGATACTTTGAACATGTTACAATCCCTTTCTGAGGGATTCCACATCATCAAATTATGAACATTAATTGGAATAATCCATGAAAAGACTTAGAACAGTTCTTGGCACATAATAGTCCTTAGCCAAATACCATCATTTTAAATTTCTGTTCCGTCTCAGACCTTACTGCTAGTTGGGCCTCAGTCCCATTCATGGAGGCTTCTACCTGCCCTTGGTACCCATTGAAGAAGGAGTTATTACCGAGGTAAGCATTCGTTGTTATGCATTGCTGGTTTGGCTCCAGAAGGCAGTACTGTCGGTCCACACAACCCAGCACAGGCACCTTGTAGCAGGAGTTACAGCGAATGTCAGCTGAGGAGACACAAATCAGGCTAAGACGATGTGGTGTCTGGTTTAGTGGTGGGTGGGGGTAGCTAAGCTGAGGTGGAAGGAAGGAAAGTGGAGAAGAGCCAACCAAATAAGCTCTGGGACTTGTTCGGTGTGGTCTAATGGGGACAGAGCCGGTGAGTGATGCAGCGAAAGTGGAAAGTGGGTGGCAGGTGTGGGTGGAGATGTTCCTTTGTGAGAGGCCCACACCCTAAACATCTTCTTTCATGCCACATCGTTTGAGAATGAGTCAAAAGGAGCAGCACTCTCAACACAAACTCAGAATTGGAGAAGAGAATAGAACATGGAGATATGTTGGGAAGGACTGAAAGGAGCCAAGGGAGAAGATGAAGAAATTCAGAAGTGGTCAAAGACAGAGACCTGAAATGGCAGGGAGAGGAAATATTATTAAAAAGAAAATCATGGGAGTTGCAACATGAGTAGCAATATCCCCAGGACCTTGAGGCTGGAGAGAAAGACCAGCTTTAGAAACTCACTCTTGCCCTCCTGGGACTGCCAAGAGCGTAGGAAGAGAAGCCACACCTAAAGATCTTCTCATTCCAGCAGCTCTCCGGCAGAAGGAGAGAACTAACATCTGGGAGACATATCAGGTTCCATTCTGATACCTTATCAAAGATGAAGAGGGTGGGTGCAGAAGACAGCGCCCCCAAAGTTCTCGCCTCTGCTAAGTCAAGGTTTGAGCATACAAGGTTTGGGAAAAGAAGGGGTGGAAGAGTCTTGTGAATATATTTCAATGTAGTCCATTCTACCCTGGGTGAGAACAGGCCTTGGCACCCCACTCCTCTCAGAAAGTTCACCGTTCTCCAGGAGGTTCTAAAAGGGTACTTGAGAAGTGAACTGTCCAGGAAGTCACTTTAATCTTTAGTGACTTTTGTCTGTAAATGTAGAGAAGGGGGATATATGACCTAGGAAAGAGCAGCAGGGGGGACTAGAAAGGCCTGTGTTGAGGGATTGAACATCTAGGCCCTAATCAAAGAGGTGGGAAGGGGAGGTGCAAAAAGAGGCTGGGCCCACTCCTGGGTTTTTTAAAGGATATCCTGGAAAAAGTGAGGGAGTAAGGCAAGTGAGCTGGATCTTGGACAGTTGGATATTGGGACCTGGATGGGGAAATGGATATCAGAATTTCTGAGAAAGATGCTCTTTTTTTAGGGAGGGAAACAGGCCTGAAGCTCTGATACATCAGCAGAGTGGATCTTGGAGGCAGAAAGGAATGGAAAGATGGAGGCTTGAACCTCCTACAAGCCATGTAAGGACTTTGTGGCAGGAAGGCCTGGTTCTGGAGGCCCAGGAGTGCTGAACCAACTAGGGCTGGGGTGCTTAGGATCCTAAGTAGTAGGTAGTGTAGGGCAGTGGATAGGGCAGAGTTGAAGGTCTTGGCCAGATGAACCAGGACTTTCTACCCACAGATGCTCACCTGAGACCCAGCAGAACAGAGCAGACAGGGCAAGCAGCAGAAGGCCTTTCATGGTGAGGGTCCTGAGAAGAGTAGCAACCACAGCAGCAGAGAGTAGAGTTCCAGGGATCCGGTTCTGGGAGTTGAGTAGCGTTTTGTGAATTTATATTCCTGAGGCCCCTCCCTTCTCTGCCTCTGGTAGCCCCTCCCTCTCCATTTAGGTAGTTTGTCAGAGAGAAAAACAAGGGGTAGGGAGAGGACTAGTAAGAGCAAAGTTAGGTAGGTGAAAGGTGATAGAGGAATGGAGAACCCATTTTCATTCTTGGCTTCAGACCAAGTTGTCCCTCCTGGCCCCCAGTGAAGGCCCTTTTAGTCCAGTCCCCTACATCAACGTCACTGAGAGACTCCAGGATGTTGCAATGGTTATGGAGGTGGTTTCTGCTGGCTCTTGAAAAGTGGACAGTGGGGTGCGGTACAAGCTGACTGCCAGATTTAGTTCCTAGCTGCGTCCCTGGAGGGCATCTGTGAGGGCATGCAGCAGCAAGTAAAAATTGAGGATGGGAAGGGTCAAATTAAGCTTAATTTACCTCCATTTATTCTTCCCAAATTCTCTGGACTCCTGCGATGTAGGGGTGGGGTTTGTGGCTTCACGGAGGATTTTTATGCCATCATAGAAGCAAAAGTGTAGACTGGAGCTGCACGTCAAGGAGATCTACAGTCTGTCTGCTAAGGGAAGACTTGTTCAGGCCTCCCCACAGGCTCTTGGGACTCAGTTTTGCCTGCACTTGAGGATGGTCTGGCCTCAATCACTTCACACCAACAAGGGCTGCTGAAACTCTGGACATAGGATGCATACACCCTTTCCAAAGTTCACCTATGCAACCAAAACCTCCTGGGTTTGGTGGAGCACTGCAGCTGGGAGGGGCAGTGTGGGCATGAGGAGGTAAGAGCTAAAATAAGAATCTTATTGCTATAAAGTCCGTTTCCACTCCTAGTGACCCTCTTTCGCATTTCCAAAGGACTGCCACAAGAACAAACAAATCCACTGGGGGGAAAGTGCAGCCACAGTGTTCCGTAGAGGCAAGAATGGTGAAACTTCATCTCATATACTTTGAGTATGTTGTCATGAAGGGCCAGTCCTTGGAAAAAAGACATTATTCTTGGAAAAGTAGAGAGTAAAGGAAGGAGAGGGAGATCTTTAAGGAGAGAGATTGGTACAGTACCTGCAAAAGATTGGGTAGTGCACTCGGCTGTGCATAAGGTCATTAACTGTGAGTAGGAGACAGAGGTGACAGCACCTAACAACAGCATGTGTCAGTCATTGTTCTTGGTATTTTGCATGTATTAATTCATTGAGTACTCACAACACCCTATGAAGTAAGCGTTACTATCATCTTCATCTTACAGATAAGAAAACAGGCCCAAAGAGGTTAAGAGATTTGCCCACATCACACAGCAAGTAGACCTTAAGGGCAGGACTTGAGCTCAGGGCCTCTCAGACACTGCTGACTTGCAGGAGTTAAAACACACACAGGTGAGGGTGGACTGCATAACAATGAAATAAATTTTTTTCCAAAGCAAAAAGTGAACTGGGCAGGGAGGCAAATGTGCAACAATGAATGAAATCCAAGTTCTTTATAAACTTTCATTAAAATATCAAGGGGAAAGACCCCCCCACACACACACACACACAGGTGCTGGTGTAAACAGTTTAGAGAGTAAATTTTAAGTAAGCATTGTTGGACTGCTGCTGTGAAAGGAACTGAAGTAATTAATTCAGAAGGGATCAAGCGGGGGGGGGGGGGGAGAAGTGATCGAGCAGCTGCTGGCCCCACTGCATTCTTATCTGGGCCCCTCTCCACAGCCCTCATGCTCCCCCAGCTTCCCTCCGGTGTCCCCTGCTGATTCACTGTTCCCTTTCCCCTGCACATTCCAACCATGGCCTTGGTTCTACAGCTGCTGCTGCTCTCTGGAACCCAAGGGGATCCTGGGGGTAAGTGATGTCTGGGAAATTTAAAATAAGCGAGGAGACGATTCTGGATGCTTGAGAGCAGGTGCCCTTGCCTTATCTAACCACCGCCCCCCCACCCTTCAGCTCTTCCAGTTTCCCTGGAGGGTCGCCCTGGGGACCGAGTGAATCTCTCCTGCATAGGTGTCTCAAACCCCATCCGTTGGGCCTGGGCACCTAGCTTTCCAGCCTGTAGGGGCTTATCCAAAGGACGCCGTCCGATCCTGTGGGCCTCGCCTTCTGGAACCCCCACCGGGCTTCCTGCCCAACCCTTCGTGGGCCGTCTACGCCCCTTGGAGCCTGGCATCCAGCATCTGGAGCTGCTTTTGAGCACGGGAGATTCCGGTACATTTTTCTGCAAGGGCCAAGAGGAAGAGAGTCAGACGGTGCTTCACGTGCTGGAGGATCGCACCGAATGTAGAGGCCGAGGCAAGTAGGGGTTTGCCTGCACAAGGCAATTAACTTGGACACACACCCTCCAGAGAAAATGGCTTTGGCTGGGCCGCCGTGAGTGAGAGAGCTAGTTATCTGTCTTTACAATAGTGACTTTGTAGCCTTATTTTCCTCCTACAGGGTCTATGTATCCCCAGCTTCTGATTCCACTGTTGAGCTTGGGATTGGCCCTGGGACTGGGAGCGCTGGGCGTGGCCTGGTGGTTGCACAGGTGAACAGCGAAGACTTGGGGGTGGCGTAGTGGTGGGCGTGGTCAGTAGCGGGGAGGGCGGGGCCCTAACGAGGAGGGGCGGGGCCCGGACCCTTTGGGGGGGGGGAAGGTCAAGGCAAGGCCACCAGCCTGGTAGGATGAGCCCTGGTAAGGAAGAAGCTAAAAGTGAGGAGAAAAAACAAAAAGATTGCAGAGTGAGCAGGATTACCCGTGTGAATGCAGCCTATGCTTTATTGTATATCTACAAATTGTTGTCTACAGTGGGTCTTGAAGTCCAGAAAAACAGGCAAAAGATTGGTGGGTCTATAGACTGTGTATTTCTCTTTCAGGCGCTCTCCTTCACAGCAGCACCAGCAGCATCCACCACCCTGCAGATCTGGTGAGACTCACTTCACCCCATATCCCTACTCCAACATCCCCTGCCCCTCAGTTTCTGAGTCTGAACCCTTGAGAGAAGCAGACACGTTGGTCATCTTTTTTCCATCCCTCAGCTGTGTCCCCCTCACATAGCTCCATTCATGAAAATCCAGTCGCAGAGGTCAGTGAAGGAAGAGGAGTCCAAGCTCCCTGGGAACTCTGACCAGGAGCCGGTAAGGCCTTGGAGACTGAAAGAAGTGGGTTGGCAAAGACAGAGGCATGCATCCTCAAAGGAGTCACACTGCTGGTCCCATTCTGCCTTCCTCCCCACCTTTCAGAGCCTACTTTATGCCGATCTGGACCATTCAGCCCTGAGAAGCCCCTGCCGCCTGTCCCCAGAGGTCACTGCTGATGCCTCCACCATCTATGCAGTTGTAGTTTGAAAGGAAGGTCTTATGCCAAACCTCATAATCTGAAACTTATCGTTCTTTCTATAGCTTTTGGCTCCTCACCCTTCAGGAAAAAAAAAAGGCACCACAAGATAGAAATGAGCACTAGATTGGGTGGATTCCACGCTAGTCTTGCCACCTATCTCCTTTAGTAACTCTCATTTCTCTTTCATCACTAGTACCTTCTCCCAACTATTAAACCTGATCAAGCCCTGTCTCTCCATCTTAAGACATCAGCAATTCTCAGTTGCCCTATTCCTTTCCTTCCTTCATAGTCAAGCTTTGTGAACCAGAGACCTACAGCTCTTTCTTCTTCCTTCTACCTCCCGCTGCTCATCTGCTGAAACTGTTCATCTGTTCTCCATAAGGTGCCAGATGTCCTAATAGCCACACCCAGTAAACACTGTTAAGTATTCATCTGGTTGACCAATGAATATTGATTGCCTTCTTTAAATTTTTCCTTTATTACTGGTGACTTCCTTCTGGGCTCTTCCTTCTTCCCTACACCCACAGCATTCCTAACCATTCTAAGTTAGCCTTTCTTCCCTTCCCTGGATTCTAAGAAGCTTTCATTCACAGCCAGGCATTCAAACCCTACCTCTAAATAACCCAGATCTGACTCCAGCTCATATCTCAGATCTGGAATTTCCAAAACAGTCTCTGGGACATCCCTGCCTGGCTGGCCCCTAGCATCTCACACACAGCATGTCCAAAGTCCAGTTCATTGTTATATTCCAAGCCACCCACTGAATGTTCTGGATTCTCTCTTGGTCAACCCAGTTGCCCCAGCCTGAAACTAGGAATCATTCAGACATCTTCTCTATCACTCTCACACCATAAGCCATTGAGTCTTCATGTCACTGCCAGATCCACACACTTGTCTATGCCCATTGCTGCTGTCTGTGTATACTCCTCTTCCTTTCTACCTGTACCTCACTTGCCCTTGTCCTCCCTCCCGGAAGCCAGAGATCATCCCTAAATGCGTTCATGCTCCTGACAACCCTTATTTCTGAGCTGTGGTATTTCTCTTTAGCCCTCACCTCTGAGTTCATGGTCCTTTACTTTAGGTACAGGATTGTCACTCTCTAGCCTCAGCCTTGCCACTACTCTGCATGTGTACAACCTGCCAGCCTTATAGAAATTCTCCTCAGCCCTCAAATACGCCTTTACATGTGTGATTCCTTCTTCCTGAAGTACCCTTTCCCTTCCTTCCTACCATTATACCTAATGACTCAGTTCAAATGTACCTGAGAAGCCTTTTCAGACCCTCCTCACCTTAGCCCTGCAAACACTCTGATGCCTTACACAGCTCCCTTATTTTTCTCATAGCAGCAACCTCCTGTGAAATTGTTCCATTACAACTCATGTTTCAATTTGCTATTTTATTTTCTGACAATAGGTGACTGACCCTTTTTGTACTATTGCCACGCCTCATTAAATGAGTCAGTGAAAATTAATAATGTCTCTGGATGCATCATTTATTCCTATCAAATTGAGGTGAGTTGGTAATCTATCTGAATCATCTGATGTTTAGATAAATCCAGAGAGTGATCCACCCTTACTCTCCTTTCTTTACCCTGGACATAGTCCCCACAATAGAGATACTGTCTTGTCCATCATGGACCCAAATGCCTATGACAGGGTTGGGCAATGAGTAAGTACCTAATAAGAGGTTCTTTAATATGAAGCCTTCTTCCAAGCACTGGCCCCAACTTCGGGTTTTAGCCTTGCCTCAGTCCCTCTAGCCCAGTAAGACAGCAGCCAATCCCAGTCTAAAAGGACAGTTCTATTTTATTAGTTCTAGAGAGGGAGGGAACTCACCCAAGGCCTCTTATCTTTTTTTCATCACATGCCCTCCCGGCTTCTTGGGGCACTCTTCCCACCACTATCTACTCACCATCTTCTATCTAACTTGTTTCTCTTTCTATTCTCACCACTGCTCTACCCCTAGCCAGAAAGGACCCAAGGCCAGGCTTCAGCTATGGGGGCGTGTGCTGAGCACCAGGCAGAGGGAACTAAGCCCAGCGCCTGCCTTCTCCAGTTCTGAGCAGGACACAGGTACCAAGGTGACATCAGTGAGCTTCTGCAATGCCTGCAGGGAGGGCACAGTAAAGAGAGGGTAAGATTCTGATGTCAGAGCCAGACCTCATTTTCAGCCAGCTCAGAGTAGCCCCACCTAGGCTTCTAGACAAGGCATCCCCCACCCCAGCCCTCTCAGTACCCCAGCCCAGTCTTCCGGACAAAGCTTCCCCCTCCCTAGTCCTCCCGGTTCCCCCACTAGGAGGGCCTGTGGCTCTTTTCTGTTTTGGAAGTGGTGCTACTGGGGATCCTGCTCTCCCTCACCTCCTGGCTGTTGGGCAGGTCCCCACCTCCACGATGCAGGAGGAATGGAGATGCACCAGGCAACCCAGGACGCAGAAAGAGACAGTCAGCTGCTGCGTCATCTGGGAGGGTCAGTGAAGTGTAGGGGTGATCTGTCAGCACAGCCATTGCCTACATGAAAGATGAATGGAGAAGAAAGAGGAAACTTTCAAACCTCTCTGCAAATGAATGTCTGTTTGACTATCACTAAGGAATGATCATGACAACAAACACATAGCTCTTGGTATTGCCAGGCACTGTGCTAAGAAAGCATTTTACATTACATTTACTAATTTTGATCTCAAATTCAAGAAGCCTTGGTAGTGTAATGGTTAAAGAAGATTCTAACAAAAGTCTGGGGTTTGAACTCACTAGCAGTTCTTATAATGATAACAGGCTAGGAAAGTCTATGGGGGTGATGTGATTCTACTCTGTACTATAAGAATACTATGAATTGTGGGCTACTCAAGAGCACACAGCAACAACCCGTGTTGTTCACATGCAGTTCCCTCCGCTTGCAACCTCTTCTCCAGTCCCTCTCCACGTTTGCCCCCACTCATTTTTCAAATCACATCTTAGATGCTACATTCGGGGGTTAATTGTCTCTGTTATGCAACTTCCCAGCACCCTCTCTCAAAATTACAATTTCTAGTTTATTGGCCAGTTTCTTCCTTAGATGCACCGCTCCATGAGCAGGGTCTAAAGTGTAAAGCCTCTCCATCTCCAAAGCCTCTCTCTCTGGGCCTCCCCTCTCCCAACCTTGCCCACATTCATTGGCCACGCCCCACGCATCACAGCCTCGCCCTCCTCACCCTGACAGCTTTTTGGGCAGCTTCGCTGCTGCCAGCGACTACAGTGCGTGGCCCACCCATGCCGCAGAGACCACGCAGGTGAGAGGGACCAGAGACTGGCACTGTGGAGACGGCAAAGTCCTAGAGAGAATAAGGGAAAGTATTTAGGGGGCGCGGGAAGAGTGAGGGGACGACCTCAAACAAAAGCTCTCCAGCTCTCTCTCCTTGGGGGGTCTTCCTTCCCCGCCCAAGGCTGGGCCAGCCCCTCACCCGGAAAGTGTCCGCCACGATCTCAGCTCCTCGGTGATTGGTCCATTTGGAGAGGCCTACGAAAAACTCCCGGCCTTAGGCCAGGAAGGGTTGGGGGGGGGGGAGGGTAGAAAGTGAGAGTTGGAAGCAAGGCCTGAAATGGCCTAGTCTTTCACTTTGCTTCCTTGTGCCAACACCCCAGCCTCACCGGTGAAAAGAACATCGGTGCCATCCAGGGTCGCGTTCTCATCACCCACCTCCACGATCCGGAGTCCAAGATCCTGGAGGGCTTTGCGGACTCCATCGACCTTAAGAGTTGGAAAGGAGGAGGCAAGACTGAGAGACACCCTCCTGTGCCTCATTTCTACCCCAAAGTGTAGCATTTTCAGCTCCTCATTCCCTCTTCTCACCCACCAGCGTCTAGATGCTCACCTCCGGCCTGCGGGCGGGGCTCCAGGGCCGCGTGATTAAGGCTGTGTCCCCTTGGATCACAGCCGTGTCACCAAGTAGTGGTCCTAGCGGCAGTGACTCCTCAGGAGGCAGTTCTAGCAGCTGCAGCCCAAGGCGCTGCCTCAGTTTACCCCCCAACACTCCATGCTCTCTCTGCGCTTTCGCCAGGTCCAGCGTCGGGAGACCGGCCCCCGCATCCTCCCCTGACCCGAGGCTCTCTGGGACACCCCGGATCAGGGCATGGGAGCAGCGGCCCAGCCCATCCCCTGGCGTCCCCATCCCATCCACTCAGGCGGCTTTTCCAGCAGCGCTGCTTAGTTTTCTCTTTTTACTTCACTGTCTGAAAGAAGAGACAGAAAGAGGGGAAATAAGAGAAAGGGACGTGCAGAGAAGGAATGGGAGGTGGAGGTTAAGTACGCCCAGGTTTTCTTCTTGCCATCTCTTGGAGCCCCTCCCACTCTCCCCACCCTCCATAGTCTTTCTCTTTCAGCTGAACTCCCTCATCCCGTATCCCCGGCAATCTGCTACTTAGCGCGAAGTCTGACAAAACGGACGGGGATCCCAGATTTCCAAAACACCTGTTGCCCCTGTTCTGTGGGCTTGGAGAGGTTCTCGTCGGGCGCCCCTCTTGGCAGCCGCTAGGATGCGCTCACTCCCCAAAAATGCACTGGCCCCGCCCCCTTAACCCTCAGCTGCTCGCTGCCCAAGGGTGCAGAAGTCGGGCAAGGGACACAGGGGGTTTTGGAACCTAGAGGAGACTGCTAGGGGGAGTCAGGTTCTGGGGGACAAAAATTCTAGATCTTTGGGTTAAGAAGACACAGAGGAGCCTGGAAGGTGGGATTCGCGCATAAAGAGTTAAACATCGTCTCTCCACCCTGGCCAGTCACGCTGCCCCTACCACGACCCAGCACAAACCAGACTGAATCTCTAGGGACTGGGAGAGGTCGAAAAAAACGAAATGAGGGGCGTGGAAACAGGGAAGGCGTGGTTCCGGGTAGCGGGCTCCACTCGGGGTTCTAGGAGCAGGTCCCTAGTCTATCTTCCCCGAAGTCCACTCCTTCAAGCTCTCTGCATACAAATGTTGTTCCAATGAACTCTCCATCTGGTGCATCCTAGAGCCCAGCACCCCTACGAACCAAACTTTGGCCCCCATATGGTCCAGGGGACAATCCTCACCCCAAGACTCACCTCTAACGGCCACCGGATTCGTGCTGTGATGCCTTCTTGCCTCGGGTCCCTCTCTCCCCAGGGCAGAGTTGGTGGAGAGGGGAGTCAGCCTTTAAGCCTCGGAGTAGAAGCTCTGGCTATTTTGGGGTCTTGGATTAGGCTCGCTCCAGTACTACAATCTAGTGGGGGCGCGACGGTCTGGCGGCTCCGGGGCATTGTCTAAGCGGGACGGGGCGGGGTGCCCTAGACCACGCCCACTCCGCCCAGCTAGGCCACGCCCCGATTATCTCTCCCCCTTCCCCAGTCCATAGGGCCCACCCAGACCAGACCAGCCCTGGCGGTGGGGCTGCAAATGTGGCATGGACTACGGAACTGCAATAGAAAGGACGAGGAAGAATCTTGCTTTTAGGCTCAGGCTGAAAATGGCAGCCCCACCACAAACCCCCACATCAGTTTAATTCTTGGCTTCGGTCTTGAATGCAAAGCCATTGACCCAGCTCTCATTCTGCATCACTCATCCTTCAAGTTCCCTTTGTGTAAAAACATCAGTAGATTTTTTTCATTCTGTGTTTTATTAATGAAATATGTTGTCCTATCCCATCCCACAATAAAATCTTACCCAGGCCCTCCCATCCTTTCCCCTCATTCCCCTAGCCAGTACTGCACAAGTGATCCAGGAATCCCTGCCCACGGGTCATTTTGGAGTTTGTCCACTGGATAACCAAGTGGAAAACACTCAGGCAGGGCTTTTGTGGGGGAAAATGGAAGGAGTCAATCCAGCCCCCAGAGGGTTTTATTTGAGGGCTTTGGCCACTTGCTCATAAGCCAGCTCAATTTCTTCATCATCTGGACAAGTGGAGGAGAATTCTTCCCGAGCATATGCATTTCGCAAGTACCGATGCACTCCCTTAAACTGTTCTGGGATGGAGAATCCGCGATACTTCTTACACACAACCTAGGGATGGGGAAATGAGAGGGGTTAATGCTTTAGCTCTGGGAGTCACACAGGCTGTCATGCTGATGGTTTTCCCCTTCTCCCAAACCCTACAGGATACAATCTACCCTTCATTACCCATGCATTTAAGAACTTTCACCATCATTTAAGACTTCTCTTCCTATTGATTGACTCTAGTCTCCCACATGAATAGTTTTTCTTTCATGTGAGTGTTTTAGTTTAGCTAGCTTTCAAGCACTTTGAAAGCATGAACCAATCATTATACATCTTTATAACTCAGCATCTACTATATCAATACATAGTTGTGAGGCAGACCGTCATTGGGCCCCCTTATTTCAAAAATGAAACCATAACTTTGAAGCTCTGACATGACAGAAACATGGGAGACAACAGTTTATATCTTCTAAGAGAGAAAGTAGAGACTGACGCTCTAAAGAGAGGTAACACTTTGATTTCAGGAAAAGCTTGCTCAGTCTGACCTAAGGATTTGGCAGAGATAAGGGACAGGAAGAACATTCCTAAAAGTTAAACTGAGATATGGTGCTTTTATATAGTTGCTTGTATCTACAGCTTGTATCAGGAAAGTAATCTTTTCAAGTAGTGGTCATGCCGGCAAATGACTAGGAAGAAGGACTAGGTGGGATAAGCAATTGGTGGCAATCTTTGGAAAGCATTTTCAGCTGTAGCCACTTTTGGAGTTGTTGTCCAGGAACACCCATTTGGGTGTCCCTTAAAGAGCCATCCCAGTGAATGTCCAACCTTTCCTCACATTGATCACCCACCTGAACAATGTGGAGTTTTGGCAACCGGTTACAGTCAGCCAGGGTGAGCTCATTGCCATCCAAAAATTTCCTCTGAGAGATGCCTTCATCCTCAGCACTGGTTTCATCCACTTCTTCTGGGAGTGGGGATACCAAGTAATTGTCCAAAATCTTTAGAGCTTTTAGGAGCCCCTTTTCTAAATCTGTACAAGAAAAGACTTGGTTAGAATATTGGGAGTAAGCCTTAGCTAGCCAGGACAAGAAAGTCTATTGTGAAGTAGGTAATAAAGGTGAGATCTTTAAAAAACAAAACAAAACAAAAACCCACCACAAACCACAAAAAATCAAAAGGGGCTCTCTAATAGTTAGTGGAGAGGGAGTTATACTGCCAACTCAAAGGCAAATGATTCAAACTTAACAGCTGCTCTGAAGGGAAATATAAGCAATTCTTCCTGTGCAATTTATAGTCTCTGAAACCCCATGGAAGGTCAGCTATGAGTTGGTTTCTACAGCAATGAGTTTGAGGGGTTTTTTTATGTAGTTCATTTTTAAAGTTACTCTAAGCATTTCACACATAACAACTAATTTCATTTTCACAACAACTTATGAAGTAGCTGTATTGTTATCTCCACTTTATAGATCTAGAAATGGATTTAAAGCAGGTTGAATAACTTGTATGACTTGCCCATGGTCATATAACGAATTGGATTTAGACTCAAGTAGTCTTGATCTAGGGTCATTGTGCTTAAGTGCAATACTATTCTGCCAGAAAGTAACCCAGCAGTCAAGTAATGTCTTCCAGTGGAGCACACGATGCTAGTAAACAAAGGCATGGCAAATGCAAATGTAGGAAATACAAGTTAATATAAGAGTTAAAATGCAAATGTAAACGTTAAGCAAAAATAAGAGAGAGGAAGGGGCCTGTGAATATGTGCTCCATTTTTCTGATCTCTTGACAGGTCAAGTTCTCAAGTTCTAGATGCCCCTATCCTCCAACCCTCTGGATTGCCCACTCTCTCCTTAGGGCCCAGATACCTAACCCACAAGACTCACTATCATTGAGTGCTGGGTTTGAATTCTTGATGTAGGCAGAAAATTTGGCAAATATGTCTAGACCAGCTGTGTTGGATTCAGGGTTCAGAGCTGCCAGCTTGGGGTACCTGAAAACCAATGAAAGAAACATGGAAAAATAATTTCCTGGGAAAAGCCTCAGCTACCCTGCCCTAGCCTCACCACCATTTCTGTCTTCAATTTCTTCAACTGCTCTTTTCCTTAGAATCTTCCAACTCCCTGTTCCCCCTTTTCTCCACCTATACCTGGGAGGGCACAGCACAGCCTCTAGGAATTCTTCGATCTTGTTGGTGTCCGTGTGCACTTCAGTGCCATATAGCAGGAATGGGAGCTGCCCTCCCGGGCATAGTTTCTGCACAGTTTCTGTCCGCCTGAAAGGAGAGGCCAGGCATCACAACAGGAAAAGGGGGCAGGAAGAACCAGAAAGGGGAGACGGAGGGATAAGGGAAGATAAAGAGATTCTGGGTAGAAGGGGGAAAGGTTCTAGATGAAAGGACTCAGGTAGGTGAGTATTTGTGTTTGTATATATGTATATGCAAGGGATACGTAAAGGAAGAGAAGAGAGCCCACCTCTTGGTGTCAACAGTGGTGACGTTGAAGGTGACTCCTTTGAGCCACAGCACCATGAACAGTCTCTGGGAGAAGGGGCAGTTTCCAATCTTGGCCCCATCACTGCCAGCCTGAAAAGCAACCCCCACCCCAAGATTAGGTCTCATGCATCCCATCTCCTTCCCCAGATGTTTTCAGCCTAGTCACAACACATATACCATCCCCACCACCAAAAGCTCCCCACGGAACACAGTTCTCCATCCTAGGTCACGGGGGACATTTTCTGCAATGGTAAGTTTCTGGTGTCTCAGAGAGCTGAGGACACCTATAACGTTGGCAGAGGAACCAGGTCTTAGAAAAACCTGGACCCTAGAGGGAGAATATCGGTGGGACTCTGGTGAGGCCAAAGTTGCAGCTTAGAAGCCCAGATTTCTGGTTCCTGAATGGAACAGGATCTGAAGGGCAGTCAGTATCTGAGGTGGAGGCCTGAGATTTGTTTCACCCAAATTGTTTTGGAGTGGAGACCCTAGGGGTCCTCAGCCTCACCCTAGAGATATGGGCAGCTTTTCAGAGGGGGCTGCTCTCTAATTGGCAAGTGGTGACCTCATCCCCCAAGGGACACTCCTCCTATGCTGAGAGTGATTCATCTCAGGCAGCTTCCTTCCTGGCAGGGAAGTGGGGGCAGGGACCCATGAGGCTTCTGTCTGGGTAGCTCAGGCCATCTCCCTCTACCCACCAACCTTGCTGGGGTCTCCCAGCATGCAGAATTAGTCCTTTGGCTCCAGATAATCCTCCTCACACAGGACAAGGGCCAGGACCTCTGTACCACTGCCTCACACAGGAGTAAAAATAGCCCCTGAGGCAAGCAAGAGAGTGAGGTGAGGACCACACCTAAAGAGGTTGGTCAGACCCTGGCTCACCTCAACCCCACTGGGCACAGGGACAGGGAATGGCTGCCCGAGAAACCCAAGCATAAAGAAAAGGAAGACAAGCAGGAACACACAAAGATGAGAAGAACAAAAGAGGGAAAGTGGAGAACAAAAGAGGGAAAACAGAGAAAAGAGGAAAGAGATGCAGGGCAGATGCGTAGACAAGGAGATAGGGGAGCAGAGACGCCAAAGGAAGAGAGGGAGGGGCACCCCAGAGAGATGTGATCCTGAGACAGAGAAAGGCCATGTGAGTGGGAAGGGGAGCGGCTGCTGGCCTCAGAGGGAACATGGCAGAAACCAGGAAAGCTGCTGTCTCTGTTTTGATACTCAGGTCACCATGATACTAACTCTACCCGTTCACACTCACAGAGAGGAAAGGGTCAGAGGAAAGGCTGTCCCTCAACCTTTCAAATACTCTAACCCAGTACTCATTTTCCTTTTGATATCTCTCTCCATACCCTTTGCTACAGCTACATTCCCATCTTCTGGCCACCTCCAATCTCACACTTCACCAAGTCACCAGGATGTTGTCTACCCATCCTATATCATCCTTCCAGCCCTGCTTCTTGATCTCTTTCTTTCCATCCAATACTTCCCAATTTACTTCCGCCACAGCATACCTACTTTTTAAAGAACTCATTCCCTAACCCTTTTTCCTCCTAGTTTCTAGCACTACACGCCTTGCCCCCAACTTCTGATTATCTCCTAGGGCCACAAGTCCTAATCAGGATGCCCCCTCAGAGGCAGTAGGTCTCCAGCTGCTCCTTTCACTCTCAGTCCTTCCAGCAGCTCCACCATCCACACCCAGTCAATCTAATCAACTTTCAGGAACGCTCCTCTTTCTCTACATTCCACTCCCTTAAAGCTGCGGGATACTTGTACTTTTTTGCAAACTTCAGCTTCAGACCTAGAACTCCTTACCAGATCGCAAGTCAATTGTCTTCTCCCTTCCTGCAATTCCCCCCCTTAAAGATCGTCTTTGGGGCCCGGGGTAGGGGTCGAAGAGGGAAGGGGAAGAGGAATTAAGGTGAGAAAGCTGGCTTCTAGAAGTTCTGAGGGTAGAAAGAACCAGAGGGAGAAGGTGCCCTTACCTTCACGAACAATTCGACTTGTGGTTGTTCTTCAGCCATGGTTGAAACGGGGACCAGGAAGCGGCAGTCGCTGGGGGAACAGGGAGGGGCCGGGGCCAGGGAAGGCGGGTCTCACAGAAGGGGAATCTCTCCCCAGTCCCTCGGGTTGTCGCTCTAGCGCGACACCAGCCGGGAGAGACCCACACACACCACACACACGCTCCAGACTCTGTCTCCACACCCGCTCAGCTATCCCACGCCCAGCTCCTGCAGTTCCGTCCCCTCTCGGGCTGGCGCGGGGAGAGGCTGACTCACGGAGCGGCGACGCCCTGAACCTGCGGGAGGGGGCGGAGCGGGGCTCCAGGGTCTGGGCAGTGGGCCGGGAGGGGAGGTCCTCAGGTCTCCCTGGGAACAGGGTCTGCAAGGGTGAAGGGGAGCGAGTACTGGGAACCCTTTTATGTTCTTCTCTCATCTCTTGGACACAAGACTTGTTTTCTGCCTCAGTTTCCCTGCTTCATTGATCAGAGAGGACAAATATACTCCAACCTCACACCGGAAACTTGACACCAATCGCTTGGCCACACTTAGTAGAGTCTTAAAAAAGCATTTTAAAACTGAAAGGGCGGTGTTTCTGTATTCCCTCTTCCTTGTTCCTTCCAGACTCTAGTCCAAATCCTGAGTTAGGGCTCGTAGAAGCAGGAATGGAGCAGAGTGGTGACGGGTCGAGCAGGAGCTAAGAAGAGAGATACCAAGGAAACTGAAGCCCAGGGCCTTAGCGTGAGGCCCAACTTGAACCCCAGAGCAGGTCATCACTAATGATTCCATTTCTGCCTGCTAACCCTGGGCCCCCTTCCTGTGCTCCTTTGTCCTTTCTTTACTGACAGGTTGCCTTGGAGATATCCTGGGGTTATTGTGGCTCCAGACTGAGCTGCACTAACCTAATGGAGTGGTGGTAACTGGACCTGTGGGGAATAAAGAGGGGGGGAAATCATGGAATAGTGAATAGAGTCCTCAAGGGCACATAAATAGATCAACAGGGAAAAAGAGTGATTCTCTTCCTCAAATTAATTATAACTTGGTGAAAAACAGCTCCAGAATACATCCTTCAAACTGGGTAAATACCTAGAATTTCTCCCATATTCACAAGGTCTCCTGTTTAACCTCTGATCTCTTATCTCTTCATCAGTCTCTATCCAACAAAAGGCTTAATGTTCTTTAAGTTTAAAAAAAAAGTCTCAATGTTCCAGAAAAACATGAAAGAACACTGAAGAAACAAAAAAAAAAAAAAAAAAAAAAGAGGGCCAGAGACTTAAAGAAAGTTAGAGACCTGGAGGAGAAGGGGAGAGAGCTAAGTGTGGTACTGCTAGAAACAAGCAGTTAGTGGTTTCCTTTCTTTCTTCCTCTTCTATGGGTTTGTTATTGAGGGTTGTATTTGGTGTTTTGTGTTTTTTTTTCTCCACAGGGGAAGTCCTGTCTCTTTCTGCACAAGGAAAGGGTATATTTAGTATTTGTCCCTTGCAATACAATATTCTAAGAGACTGTAGAAGGAGTCTTAGTGGGTGCAACATTAAAGGTTCAGAAGTTCATTGAAAGGTTGACTTTGGAAACTCTGAGAGAGCGATGTGATGATCTTTAGCAAAGATGATGATATATGTACCTTTGAGCCATAACATTATCAGGTTATGAACTGACTCATAGCTGATTCTCCAGGGGGTTTTCAGAGGCAGTAAATCACACAGAAGGAGACTGCCTATATTTCTCCCAAAGAGCAGCTGGTGGATGTGAACCTCATGGCTTTGGGTGGGCAAAGCAATTCCTTACTACTAAGCCACCAGAGATCAGCATTAGTAAGGAATAAACACAAATCCACCGCCATTGAGTTGATTCTGACTTATGACCTAGAAAATCCTATGGTTCAGCTCTGTCACATAGAGTTACTGTAAGTCATATCAACCTAATGGCACCTAACAAATTCAATTGTGTCAAAATCAGCTTGCTGTCCCTCCTTAAATGACTCAAAACCTGCAGACAGGACCCATCCAGAGGGGGCATCAAAGCAGCCCTATTTGCTTTCTCTCTCACTCCAGCTGGCCAGTTTTACACACACCTTTTCTAAGAGAAATGGGGCCAGCCCTCGGCACAAACAGGTTTGACAGCCTCTTCTCTGCCTCTCTTTTCTCTCCTCCAGCTGCTTTGATCATCAATATTGACTTTGGCTGGCTGGCTGGACAACCCACAAGATATCTTGCATTAACTCCCTAGGTTACGAGCAACGAGCAACGCTGCCCTCTCCTGGGCCACCTCCTATACTCCTAAATCCGGCTTCAGAAAAGTTTTCCTCTTATTTCTTGTCCTTGTTTTTCCTCCTATCTTATCTTCTCTTTCCTTCTTTGAGCTTCTCTTTCCATTCCTTTTTCCTCAGTTTGGGAAGCTGGTACCTAATCTCTTTTCACCCCAGATCAGAAGGTGTGGCTCTCCCTGATACTCTTCAGTGCTGTCACCAACCTCCCCCACGTTTCCAAAGCTCTATTGCTTAATAATTTCCCAGGGTAACCATTAACCCAGCCCTCAACTCACTCCTCCACATTTCTGAGGAGAATTTTCCAACCACTGGTCAGCAAAGGCAGGTCACCTTGACCCCACCACCTTTCATAACCTGTTGGATGGGTTGTTGTGTGTCCTTTAGTCAGAACTAAATCATAGTTGGCCCTCCAGGCAGGCAGAATCCAGGAGCTATTGGAATGAGAAAGATAGACAATCTCTTCTCATGATATTTACAACCTCTGAAAACCCATTGGAATGACGGCTATGAGTCAGTTTCAACTTGAACAGCAATGAGTGAGATAGCTTAGTAGGTTAAGTGTTGGATTGCTATCAGAAAAGTTCTCAGGAAAAACTGGATAGTCTCCCTCTGTTATGATTTACAATTCTGGAAACTGATGAAAACTCACTATGAATTGTCTTTCTTTCTCCATCACACACACCCCCTTCATCCACTAAATAAATAAAACAAACTTTTTGGAGCAAGGACTTAATTTTAATTTGGTTCATTACTTTGAGTCCATCACTTAACCAAGATGTTGATTGCCATCAAGTCAAGCACGGCTCGTAGTGACCCTATGAACAAAAGGCCTGAAGCCTTTCTATAACTATAGTCATTTATCAAAGTTCATAGAGTTTCCAGAGGCATGTTGTTGAGGAAGTGGATGCCACTCCTGCATTTGACCCAGAGAAGGCACTAAATCCAATGAATGAACGACTCTTGTTTTTAAGAGAACTTCCCATGCGGGGTGCTGGTGTGTGTCAAGTCTACTTTTCTTGGCTGGAATCTATGTAATTAGGGAGCTAAAAATTCTCTATTAGGCCTTGAGGTGTCCTTGTGGGTGTAGTCATGCTTTGCACCCAGGAAACTGGTAGAAGAGGACTGAGATAGAAGTCTCACTTCTCATTTCCGCTTATTTGTTTAAGACACTCATGTAACTCTTAGTATGTTTACCAGGCACCGCTCTAAGCTCTTTATAAATATTAACTCAGAGAGTACACATATTAATTTAAAGTTGTTGGCACCTGTTGAATTAACGTTGCTTATCACCACCTTCCAAGAAAGAACATGGCCCTACACCTTTAAGGTTGGCCCTGTACCCGCACCTTCCCTTCACGGTCCCCCTAAAGTACTCGGCTTCCGACATTCTCAAGGGCTCCATCTCATGTCAATCAAAGTCAAGAAATACTGAAGGTCCCAGGCCCGGCTGCTAAGTAACTATAGAGGGCGGGAAGTTTGAACTTTTTGGCCCCGCCCTAAACGCAAATAGGCCAATCAGCGTCCTGTTTCCTTGAACTCCTCCCTCTTGTTCTACGGGATGTCTAAGGGGAATCCCAGTTTTTCCAGCCAATGACAACTCGTGGGGGGTGGGAGGGAGAAGCAAGCGCGCGCATCCTGCTCTCGCGCCCACGCGCCCCTCCCTCAGGCTCGCAGTTGTTGGTTGGTACCACAGGCTTTCGTACGTTGTGACCTAGGTGACGGAAAAAGCGGGAAAACGCCTCTGGGCTTGAGGGGTTTTAGTCCGTGCTCGTGGGGAGGTGTGGACAGCCCGCCCCCCGGGGCCCACAAACCACCTCCTTACCAAGTGCAGCCAACGCTTAACAGGAACTAGGGTGGAACGAGTTTTCCAAAATCGGTACTTAAGTGAAATATTTGAAAAATCTCGCCCTCACAGTCTCTCATGGCGGTTCCCTCAGCTTTCAACCCTCCCCCTAATCTTGGGCCTCATCTCTCAGGAGTTCTGAGTGGCTTTGGGGTTTCTACGTTGGGTCCCTTGCGGGTGCCACACCGCTTCTGAAATGCTTGCATTTTCTGCATTTGTGTTCCCAAGCCCATGACTTCTTTAGCAGCCGCCCTGGGCAGGACGCCGCAAGGACCGGGACCTGGGACGACCTCGGATGCTTTCCCCATCCCGACCCCAGTGCTGGCCATCGAAGAGGCGGAGGGAGAGGAGGACGAAGGCGAAGAGCCTGCGGAGGTCTCTGGGGGCCAGAAGTGTTCTGGGAGAACTTGGATCAGGAGAGCAGGGAATTAGGAATATTTAGGATAAAAAGAGGAGAGCTCTGATGAGCACCTGTTTCACATTTACTAAGGATGATAATACCTATCTCAGAGATTTGGTAAAATGACCAAAGTTCAGTCATTCATGGCTCCTAACACTTAAGAGCCTTTGTAATGGACGCAGTGTGTGGTGGGCCGCTAGCCTAAATGTAGCCAGTGTGAATGCACTTCAGCAGCAAAGCAGCAGAAAGACCTGGCAAACTGTAAAAGTAGGAGATGCTCACAATCCCAGAGGTATACGGTTTGAATCCACCAGATGCTCTGCTGGAGAAGGAGGAGCAATCTCCTCCTGTACCAGTCAGATCAGATTTGATGGTACCCATAGAAATAATAATTTTTTTTTAAAAAAAAGGTAGGAGGTGCTGTGGATTTAATTTTGACAGGTAGTGACCTCATGTGGCAAAATAGAACACCTCCATAGGATTTTCTAGGCTGCTAAAAACCTTAGTAGTGTAACTTTGGGCTACTAACTGAAAGGTTACCAGTGTGAACCAGTTCCTCAGTGAGGCAAAGATAAAATAGTCTGCTCCAGTTAAGATTTGCTGCATAAAAGGAAAAAAAAATAATAAAAGATTTGCAGCCCAGGAAACCCCAGCAGTCAACCTGTTAGTTGGCAGCCAAGTATTTAACCTCTGTGGTAAGAAGTTGCAGTGCCAACCCCAAGGCATGGGGTTTGAATCCACCACCAGCTCTTCAGGAGAAAGATGGGCATTCTCTTCCCATCCAATTTATTGCCTCTGAAAACCCACTGGAGAGTCAGCTATTAGTTGTTCTGACTTGATGGTATATAACAATAACCAATCACTAGGACTTGATGGTACACAATAACCAATCACTAGGTTTCTTTCTGTAGAAGCCGAGCTCTCGGCAGTGCTGAATTGGAACTGACTCAGCTGTAAATTGTATAGGGAGGAGACTGCCCATCTTTCTCTGGTGGAACTGCTGGTAGAACTGCCAGAGAGGCTCAGCCTTTGGGTTAGATCACAACTCCTTTTGGACAATGACACCAGAGCTCCTGTCTATTGAGATCACTGTCAAGAAACTGTTATGAAGCAGTTGTACCCTGCACTACATGGAGTCTTCATGAGTCAGAATTGACTTAGTGACAACTGGTTATCTTGCACTTATGAGTGGCTCAAATACTGATTTCTTTCCTTCCTTACGGAACAGATCCATCTGTGCATGCTGTGGAATTCAGGATACTTGGGCATTGCCTACTATGACACTAGTGACTCCACCATCTATTTCATGCCAGATGCCCCAGACCATGAGACCCTCAAGCTCCTCCAGAGAGGTGGGAACAGAATCTCTGACTCCTGGGATTAGAAGTGTATAATTTATAGGCATTTACCTGGCTCAATCTATATAGCATATTGTTAGTTGACTCCCAAAGATTTCTAGACTTAGGAATTCATTTCACTATTTACTATCCATATATATTATGTATCAGTAGAGAGATCTGGTGGACTAGTGGTAAGAAACTGCATTGCCATCCCAAAGGCATGCAGTTAGAATCCACCAGCTGCTCTGCAGGAGAAGGATGGCCAATCTCCTCCTATATGATTAACTGCTTCTGAAAACACAACAGAGGGTCAGCTATGGGTCAGCTGGTAATAGAGTACTGAGCAAATCAGTAATTTCCTTCCCCCTCCTCCAGGAGTTTATCATCTAGCACCAATCTTCAGAACACAGTTTTTTCTTCCAGGCCCCTCCCCACCAGCCAGTGTCACTCTTACCCTAAATCTCATTCCTGACTCTTACCTGCATTCCCAATGTGCAGAGTACTCTTTACTTTTAGAGGGAGGAAATAAATTTCCTTGAGACCAGCAAGGAAAGATCAAAAATTAAGGCCCCTTTTGGTCAAAGGATAAAGGTAGGCATTTAAACTCATTATGTCTTCTTTCTCTCTTCAAGTTCTGGATGAAATCAAGCCCCTGTCCATTGTTACAAGTGCCAAACAGGAAGAGAATATGACTCGGTTTCTGGGGAAGCTTGGTAAGGACTGGGCAATGGAGTGAAAACTAAGATACAGAATGTTCCAGGATTTACAAGGGTCTTGAACTAGAAGCAGAAAACTAGAATTGGAAGATAAGAAAGGTGGGACATGGGCAAAAGAATGTGGATGCACAGGGTGATGACTTTTCTTTCTTTTTTTTTGTGTGTCTCCTCCACAGCCTCCCAGGAGCATGCAGAGTCTAAGAGACCTGAAATAGTACTTTTCCCAAGTGTGGATTTTGGTATTTCTTTCCTTTTTCTTTCCCCAAACTTCATCCCAGTTCCCTAATTCCACTTCTTAGTTCTTATCATCAGACATCTCCCCTTAGCCTTATTTTCAACTTAATCTTTGTGCTTTCCACATTCCAAAACTAGTCTTCTTGAGCTTTTTCTTACCTCTGCCTGGATCCACAATCAACACCTATGGATCCACCTCTGGAATCAAGCAATCAAATGATGTAGTGCATCATGTAAATCTGCTGCCAAGGGCATCTATAAAGTGTTAAAGAGAAAGAATGTCACTTTGAAGACTAAGGTATGCCTGACCCAAGCCATGATATTGCTTCATAAACATTTAAAAGTAGGATAATGAACAAGAAAGACTGATGGAAAAATTAAGGCCTTTGAATTGTGGTGTTGAATCTACAACCAGGAGAAGATAAAATAGATGAATGGGACCTTCTAAGAATCAAATCCCTATGCACATCCAAAAACTTCTCCAACAGGGTAAAAAGCGAAGCCACAGACTGGGAAAAAGTATTTGGTAATGACATGTCAGATAAGGGACTTATATCTATAATTTATAAAATATTTGAGCACCACAACAAGATAAAGGTAAATAATCCAATTGAATTGTGGTGTTGGTAAGGAATATTGAATATGCCATTGCCTGCCAAAAGAACACATACTCTTAAAATAAGTGCAGCCAGAGTGCTTCTCAGAAGCAAAGAGGTGAGACTCTTTGCTTCTCACATACTTCCAGCATGTGATCAGGAGAGACCAGTCCTTGGGAAAACACATCAGCAAAGGAGAGGAAGACCTCAAGGAGATGGACTCACACAGTGACTGCAAAAGTGTGTTTAAGCACACAGCAGAGATTGTGAGGATGGCACATGATCAAGGCAGTGTTTTGTTCTGTTGTTTATAGAGTTGCTATGAGTCAGAGCCAACCTGATGGCACCTAACAACAAGCAGAACAACAATAAGCTGCAGACATCCACTCAGGCATATCTGGAGATGAAAGGTGCCCCCTGACAAGACAAAGCAAGTGATGCTTGCACAGTTCTGGTTATTGGAATTTTCCCTTTAAGTCAGATCCATTTATCCCTTTAAAAGAAAAACAAAACAGGCAGACATTGATACGATCTAAAAGGTGCTTGCATCAACTTTAGAGTCTTAACAAAAAAGCACAGAGAATGTTCTCTGCTAATCGGATTTAAGAGCTTTCATGTTATTAGTAACTATAACACTTCAGTCTTTTGGATAAAAAAAAATTTCTTAATTCCAGACAGATATCTTCCGAGCCATTTATCTTTTTCAAGCTGTGCTCCTCAGCCTGACGGGTTTATCTGATAGATAAAATGAAAGAATTGACTAAGTGTCTAAAAGTTCCTCGGTTTTTCATTACCTCCCTATATGAACTTTGTAAAATTACATCATTTCTCTCTTTTTTTTTTTTTAAATTGCTTTAGTTTTAAAGTGAGGTGAAAATATTGGGCTAGAAGGTCCTTCTAGTTATTGTGTTCTAGAACTCATTCTATGGCCTACCCTTCCCTTCCTGTCTTCCTACCTTCCCCTCAAGTAGGTCTAGAGATAAGCAAGCAGCGCATCCTCTCTGCAAGCTATTCCTTCATCCCAGATACCATGACTGCCACAGAGAAAATCCTCTTCCTCTCTTCAATTATTCCCTTTGACTGCCTCCTTACGGTGAGAATGGGAACTGGGGAATAAGGGCTGGGATGATGAGGGCTGGAGAAAGGCCCAAGCGTCTCCGTTGTAGGGTGTAGTCCTGAGAGGAACTGGCCAAGTTCTAGAAAATATCATCTTCCTTGATATTTTCTAGGCTCTAGGACATTGGGATTTACCTTCATTACAGATACCCTTCCCCTTCTAGGTTCGCACACTTGGAGGGCTGCTCAAGTTCTTGGGTCGAAGAAGAATTGGAGTTGAACTGGAAGACTCTAATGTCAGCGTCCCCATCCTGGGCTTTAAGAAATTTGTGTTGTAGGTTATTCACTCTACCCTCAACCAAAGTAAAGGTGGGATTGGGTGGCCTGAAGAGTAAGACAGAGTGCACGGAGGTGACAGGGCCCAGTCAAGGCCAGTGCTCCAGGACACGCAGGAGGGCCTAGGGTTTGTGGAGCTTTGAGGAGGTGATGGAGGTAGTAGTCAGTGTTAGGGACTGGACAAACTGAACACAGACCTCTTATATCCCCACCGCCTTCTGTTCTGTTTGTTTTATTTCCTCAGGACCCATCTGGTAAGCATAGATCAAGACACTTACAGGTAAGGAGATAGAGACAGGCTGCTGTGTCTCTCGGGAGGGAGAAGGATTAATTTTAATGCTACAAATAATCTTTATGAGGTTCAGTTTTCCTAATCCTCAGCTATTAAGATTTCTCTCCTTGAAGGAAAAGAAAGAGGGAGATGTGGAGTAGAGAGGAAGGAAAAGCACAATCACTCTTCTTTTCTAGGAGAAACTGAGGCATGGAGAAGTGAAGAACAAACTTCATAGCATACATGATCTTAGGAGGATGTCTTATGTCCTTTCTCAGACCTTAACCCCTATTTTCTTAAGAAACTCAAGCTTTCAGTTACTCCAGACTCCTCCATTTCTCTAACAGTGTTTTGCAGATATTTAAGAGCGAGTCTCACCCTTCGGTGTATAAAGTAGCCACTGGATTAAAGGAGGGGCTCAGTCTTTTTGGTAGGTGTGCTTCTTCCCTCACCCTACAATTAAAAAAACTGGCCAGAAAAACAACTGCCTCCATAGATATGCCCCAACCTTCTTTTTCCATTTTACCCCTGTGGCCAGCTATCTCCTTCACCCTCTTCGGTTTTCTTGTCCTCTCAATACCCTCTCTGAGCTTGGACAGCTCGTCATATTCTGTCTACTATGTAATAATCATACAGGGCTGTTTGCCTATTAGCTGTTACTTTACCAAACAGATGCTTATTTTCTGGATTTACATGAATATTTCTACTACATGCACTTATCTAGGGACTTTGGGAAAGTCTTTTGTTTAAAGGAGAGGTATGTAAATGCTTGTCTTTGATTTATTTCTAGTCCTTGTCAGTTGTCTCTGGCTTTAGGATATGTTAAGAGAATCACCCCAATATCCACATAATTTCACCGAGTATATATGAAAGGGTCTATGTTAGGCTCTTTGTGAGGCCTACTCTGTGTGTTTTTCACTTGAGTATTCCTGAGAGTACCCCCTCTTCTAGCTGAGTGTGGTAATCTTCCTCAGGCTTGTGGCTAGACACTGGTTTTGGCTGCCTTTGTGTCCTGTAACTGGGCAACGCCTCCCAGCCAGCCTACCCACACCCGTATCCCTGACCCAGATGCCTCAGCTTAGACACACACACACACACACACACACACACACACATTCCTTTCCGGTTGGTGATTGTAACAAGCTTAATCTTGCCTCCCCCCGCCCCCCACAGGAATCCTCAACAGATGCCGATGTAAGTGGGGAGAAAAGCTACTCAGGTGAGTGGTTTTCATACACATGCTGCACACAAATGCATGAATTATATGTACAAAGTACATGTTAATGCCCATTAAGAGGCATATACAGGCTCACAGATACCACCCCTACATCTACTATAACTGCCCTTTATCCAATGCTGGCTAAATGCATTTAATCCTTACATTAGTCTCATGTGGTAACTAGTATTATCCTCATTTGATATTGTTAGCACAGATACACATATACTGATGATATACATGCACACAGCAGAAACATGTCCATAAAACATGAGTGCATACACTACAATATCTTGGTAATTAAGAAGAACACACTTCCAATTTGAACTATTCTCTGATGACTCTCAAATTTGTATCTCTAGTTCCAAACTCTATATATGAGGAACACTAAATAGTGTATCATCACCACTCACAATTTCCATAGGATCTCAAACTTAGAGCATTCAATGTTGATGCCCAACAGACCTGCCTCTTTTGTTTCATTTACTGTCTTGATTAATGTCATTGCTGGTAATACAACTTTTCAAGCTATCCCCATCTTCAATTATTCATCAATGTCTTTAGTTTCTGTTCTGACAGGCCTCTCACATCTACCCACCCTTCTAGTTCTAGAAATCAGCATTTTTAACCTCACCCCTAAATTGGTATCTCGACTTCTATCTCTTCTTTTTCTAATCCATCTTTTACTCTAAAATACCTGTCAGTTCAAAACAGATCTGAGCCAGTCATACCACTGTTTTTAAAGTCTTTATTAGAAAAAAATAACTAAATAAAACAATGCAAATCTAAAAAACCCCCAACAAACCCAATATAAATCTCAGGAGGCTGCCTCACTTCCTGCAGGATGAATAATAACATCTTTACCATCATGTTGCTCATGGTCTCTCCCATTCATCCAAGTTTTAATATCCAGGCTCTCCTTCCCTTTTGTACTGTCTTCCTTTTCTATATTCCTCTAAAGTCACTTAGGGTCACTTGCTATTATGGAAAGACCATGTCTGTTCCTACTGGGAAGTCTTTCTCCTGTTTTCTACATGTCCAAATCTTACTTTCTCTTCAAGGTGCAGCTCACTTGTTACCTTTTCAGCTAAGCTCTCCCTGACACTTTATAAGGAGACTGACATCACCCTCCTGAGTGCTGATTTAGTGCCTGTAGTTGTTTTTCTGGTTGCACTAACACTACTAATTAGAATTAGCAGTCTGTGAATCTGCTTGCCCTTGTAGCTGTGAATGATGTGCAGTCACCATTCTTGTTACTTCCTGTGTCTGACACAAGCCTTGAACTTGGTAGCACTCTCTGAGTCAACACTGTATAGGAACACAAGTACACTGGTCACCTCATCTCTAAAATCTCAGAGCAGATGCCTTTACTGGCTTCTAAGTACATAATCCTTTCCTCTGCCATACTTGAGTTTCTTTTGGGGGTTATTAAAGAATAATGTCAGAGGTCATCTCTATGTAATTAGTAGAATAGTTTAATTACTCATACATTTCCCAGTGTTTGAGTGCATCACTGTAATCTCAGCCAGGGATAGGAGGGAAGGGATTCTCAAAGAAGAAGACAACTGAGTTAAATGTGGAAGACGAGTACAGATTCTCCAGAGAGCCTCCAGCAGGGTATTGAATCATAACTTGAATGGTAAACGAAGGATCTAGCTGCTTAAGCGGCATGCCTGTGAAATTGCAGTACAGCTTTTCCACTAGGTCATCAGAGCTCCCATTAGGAAAGGTACTTTACAGCAAGGCCAAGGTTTAGAGGCACTGCGCCTCTGGTCTTTCTCTCTTTCTCAGACTCTCTATCTTTTTCCAAGATGTGCCCAAAATAGTTACCCTGAGCTAGAACACTTCAGATTAGAGTGAGGGTGAAGTCCTAAGTAGATTCAAAGGTGGGTTTTAGGCACCTCTGCTTTGTCTCACATATTTTGGGCATGTGGTTTAAATCTACCAGGTGCTCCATGGAAGGATAGGAACTCTCCTTTCAGGTGATTTATTGCCTTGGAAAGCCCACTGTAAGGTCAGCTGTGGTTTGGTTCTGACTTGATGGCACCACAACAGTGGCTCACCCTAACGAAGGAAAGAATTCCTGGTCTCACAAATCATTACAGATCCTCATACTTTGCATAGCCACAGGGAGACAGGAGCACCCAGAATTAGACAAGCCTACATAAGACATCTTTTTAAAAATTTATTATTTTTGTGTGTGTACCATCAAATTGGATCTGACTGACACAGGAGGAGATGGTCCCTCCTTCTCCAGCAGAGCATCTGGTGGATTTGTACCACGTACCTCTGGGATAAGACATCTATTTTTATATGTTGTTGTTATGTGCCATTGAGTTGCCTGAGACTCATAGTGACCCTATGTACAACCGCTCTGAACCCTGCTGTATCCTGTGCCAACCTTACTGTTTCTGACACACTTACCCTCATGACCCCATCACTCAAATCAATCCATTTCACCAAAGGTCTTCCTCTTTTGCACTGTCCCTCCACCCTTCCAAGCATGATGTCCCTCTCCAAGGACTGGTCTATGAACTTAATTTCTTAAGAATTACTTAAGATGCATAAAAAGGTTTAAATACTAATATTGTAAATTTCTGTATCACTCACAGGAACAAGACAATGCTGTTGAAGCCCCTTAAGTGTCCTTCCTCCACCCTTTTTTTTTCCTATAGAAATGACCATTATTATAAATGGAAGGTTTTATTATTTTACATGAAGCTGTTGCACACTTTTATAGGAAGAACATGAAAAGACTAATTTTGGTGCTGTTATACCCAGAGACACTTTGAGAGTTAAAAAAGATAAATAAATTCATACTGAATCACCCCCTCCTACTCAGCCACAGAGAGAATCAGAATGTTGGCACAAAATACCTCAACACACTGCTCTTCATCTCAAATATTGACACGCTCCATCACACTTCCACATGGAACAACACATGCTTATACCCATTGTAATGTGCAGACGCAGTCATGCTCACTCCCAGTAATTTTCAAAAGCTACATGTATAAACACACCACATAGATAAGGAAACTGCACTTGCCAGTACAGCATGTCAGAGAGATGATTGTAATTTCCAGGACTTCAAACACATATGTCAGCCAATTAAGATCAGGACAGTGAAGAGCATAGATACAATTTTACCCTCATCTCCTTCCAGATTATGGTTCACACGTCCAACTCTGGACCTGCGGGAACTGAATTCTCGTCTTGATGTCATCCAATTTTTCCTGCTGCCCCAGAATCTGGACATGGCTCAGATGCTGCATCGGCTATTGAGTCACATCAAGAATGTGCCTGTGAGCGGGAAGCCGTCATGCCCAGGGTGGGAGGAAAGTGGAGGAGAGTGAGGAGGGAAGTCCAATGATTATACTGAATGCTCAGCTTCTTGAGGAGAGCGTGGATTGGGAAGGGAAAACAGTTGCTGTCCTCTCGTCTGACTGTAGCTAATACTGAAACGCATGAAGTTGTCCCACACCAAGGTCAGCGACTGGCAGGTGCTGTACAAGGTAAGTCCTTCCTTTTTGGTTCCCAAAAGCTCAGGTTTAGCCCCTCAGCCTCTAGACCCTTTGTACTCTAGTCATCCTATTTAACTTTACTCCAGCACTTTTTTTTAAAACTTTGTATGATGGAAAATTTATAAAAACATGAAGCACAGAGAATAATATACTATTGAAGGCTGAAGTCTTTTACCTTCTGCAGCAAGTACTTTAGGTCCTCCTCAGTTTCAGCAAGCAAGATTGTGTTATCTGCATAATGTAGGTTGTTGATGAGTCTTCCTCCAATACTGATGCCACACTCCTTCTCATAGAGCCGAGCCTCCTGGATGATCTGTTCTGCATATAGATTGAAAAGATATAGAGATAGGACACATTCCTGGTACACCCCCTTCCTGAAACACCAGTGTTTCCTTGCTCTGTTCTGATGACTGCCACTTGGTCCACATATAGGTTTCACATAAGCACAATCAAGTGTTTTGGGATTTCCATTCTTCTCAGAGTCAGCCACAGTTTGTTGTGATCCACACAGCTCACATAAATTTAACTATTTAATATAAAGTTTAAAAGGTATCATCTGCCTAACACAGGTTATTGATGAATCTTCCTCCAATCCTGATAGCACATTCCTTCTCATAAAGCCCAGCCTCCTGAATCATCTGTTCTGCATATGGATTGAAGCTAACCATCAAGAAAATAAAGATTTTCACCACTGGGCCAATTGACAGTATCATAATAGATGGAGAAGAGATTGAGGTTGTTAACAATTTCAGCTTGCTTGGTTCCACAATCAGCATTTGTGGCACCAGTAGTCAGGAAACCAAAAGATGAATTGCATTCAGAAAATCTGCTGTTAGGGGCCTCTCCAGAGTGCTGAAGAGCAATAATGTCAGTCTAGAGACTAAGGTGCACCTGACCCAGGTCATGGTCTTCACAATTACTTGCTATGCATCAGAGAGCTGGACAATGACCAAGATGACATAAAAAAGAATAGATGCCTTTGAGTTGTGTTGCTGGAGAAGAGTATTGAACAAACCATGGACTGCCAAGAGAACAAACAGGTCTGTCCTGGAGAGGGTTAAACCAAGGTGCATCTTGGAGGCATGGATTTTAAAGCTCCCTCTCACATACTTTGACATATGGTTAGGAGGGACTAGTCCCTGCAAAAGAAAATCATGCTCAGAAAGGTGGAGGGACAGCACAGGAGAGGAAGACCCTGGATGGATGGATTGACATGATAACTGGGGTAATGGGGTAGGAGTGTCTGAGACAGTGAAACTGACTTAGAATAGGACAAGGTTCAGAACTATTGAGTCGCAGGTGACTTGACACAATATCAACAACAATAAAATATCTGATGTTTAAATTCCCCCTCATTTAGTAAATGTTACAATTTTGCTTGTTAGAAATTGTCTTCATTAGAATTGATGTTGGGTGGCCTGGAGTCAGTTGTGACCCTACATACAACAGAATGAAACATTGCCGTTCTCACAATCGTTGAGTCCACTGTTGCAGCTGCTGTGCCATTCCATCTTTTTTTTTTGCTGACTGATCCTCTATTTTATCAAGGATGATGTCCTTTTCCAGGGACTGGTTCCTCTTACTAACATGCCCAAAACGTGTTGCACAAAGTGTTATCAGATTATTAGAATTAGGATCCAAGTATAATCAACATAATTGCAATAAGATGATGTGTTTAGTCTATAGGTTCAATATCTGTCTGTCTTCTCTTCCATACCATTTTGCAGTTTTATTATTGAAGAAATTGGAGTATCTGTCCTATAAAGTTTCCCTTAGTCCATGGTGTGGTTTGCGGTTTCTTTTTTATAAATTTTGAAGCATTTGTTTTTTCTTATTATGATCTCACTGGAGTTTTACAAAACAAATTGGTTTTTCATTCAATTATTGGTATGTGTTTTGTTTGAGAACTTTTTTATAATAAGGCAGCAAGGGATGACAAAGCAAAATTTTGTTTTGTTGTTGTTATGTGCCGTCGAATCGCTTGCGACTCATAGCGACCCTATGTACAACAGCCCTAAACTCCGCTCTGTCCCGTGCCAATCGCACTGTCTCTGACACTCCCATCCCAATTATCCCAGTCACTCAATCAATCTACCTCATAGAGGG